TGATAGTTTTGAAAAGCCGCTTCGCGGCTTCTTTTAAAAAGCCGCTACGCTAAATAATAAATAAAATTATTATTTCGGTCTTAAATTAAAATCTGGCGAAGCCGCTTCGCGGCTTTGTTTTAAAAAGCCGCTACGCGGCTTTTTATTAAATATCTTCCTGACCCCGACTCCGGTGTTTTACCGTCTTTTCCCTATTATTAATTAAGCCAGCCTTAATAAAGGTAAAACAAAAAGTGCGTAGCTGTCGAAAAATGGTTCGAAAAAGAGATGGATCCATCTAACGTGGACTGGGTAGATAGGCGACCACGATTCTCGCGATCGGGTTTCTGTTTTGATTTGAAAGTGTGGTTGATGAAGGAAATCACCGCGTCATTCAACACGGCTCATAGGGTCAATTTTTCGTGATAATAAATTTTCTATTACCGCCGCTGCTTTAATTTTTCAAGCTGCAGGCTAATTTTATTCATTTATGGAAACAATTTTTTGTCAATAAAAAATACGCATTGCTGAAAAGAGTAATCAGTTTTCATGTTTTCTTTTCAGCAGCAAAGTCGAGAACAATCGGATGGGCTTTGGACCTCTCTGCTGGATGTTATCTCGTCGGTCGAGAAGATACTGTGACAGGAACTCAAGAATTATCAATCTTTTTCCATGGAAAAGCGCATTTACCTTTGAGAGGCGAATTTTCTGAGCCAATTTGGCATATTGTTTCTGGGTCAGATATTTTGGGATTTCGGTCTTTCCTTTAAATTTTTGCTTTTTCAAAAGACCGAGATTTTTCTGCCGCGACTTAATAGTGAAGATGAATTACTCGCAAATTTTTCCGCTGAGCTAGCTCAGAAATTTTGATGTGAGAGTCAGCTCAGCTCAATTTTTCTAAAGAAAGCCAGCTCAGCTCAGCTCAATGATTCTTCGAAAAGAGCCAGCTCAGCTCAGAAAAAATTTCAAAAATTTTCCTCCCTTGATGCTGAGAGAATGTTTACCTCAAAGTATTTCCGAAGCTGAGAATTGTAAAATTGCCTTTCTCCGAGAATAGTGGAGAAAAAAGAAAAATCGGAAAAAATCGCATTTTTGAAAAAATAATATTCATCGACGATTTTTAAAGAAGTTGAAGATGTTCGTTTGAATATTCTAGAGCTACTGTTTTACCTTGAAAACACACGTGACTAGTAGCCTATGAGTCATAATTTATGCCCCTAGGCAAAAAAATATTTTTCTAGCACAACTTTTACGCTCTTTCAGATGAGCACATAAAAAGGGGGTCATTTTTGCCCGAAAATTTCTTATTGAAATTCGTCTACAAGTAGTGTTTCAACTTTGTACCAGGTTCGACTTGACGAAAGAAACGATGAGTCATCAATGATGAGAGAAAATTCTTGGGGCAGCTATTTTTGGATAAAATGGAATACACTCGAAAAACGTGAAAACGATGAGCCAGTGTTAACTCATCAAGCCGTGTTTCCTCGCGTAAATGGGTTAAAATCCAGCTTGGATTGAGGCTGTTTATATGTCTTTCAATCAAAGCCATATCTCTCCTCTCAATTCTCCCTAGAAATTTTTCGACAAAAATTTTTACGAAAAAAATTGAAAAGAAACTGTTTAGGAAATTGAATCATAAATATCGCAAATGAATGCATATGAAAATCTGGTTGTCTCCTGATCCGATCAACCAAATCGCCAAAGCCAAACACCCTTTCCCAGAAAATGGAACGTGGCTCAATCCGCGGCTCAATTCGCGTGGCGGAAATTATTTTTGATAAACTTTTCAAAACAGTGCCAGGTTACCGAGTTTTTTATCGTTTATCGCAAAAAGCGAAACAACGTTTTTAAAAAACTTTGTTTTAGAGACAAAAAAAATTTGGTTAAAATCGGCAACCTGCGTGGAAATCCTGAGTCAGGGTTCTGGAAGGTTTTCAACGAAAAGCCGCGTAGCGGCTTTTAAAACGAAGCCGCAAAGCGGCTTTGAAAGGAATTTTAAAGAGATAAGGGTGATCTTATTTTTGAAGCCCCTCTGCGGCTTCGTGTCGAAAAAAAGCCGCGGCGCGGCCATTCGTTAAAACGTTTCGACGACCCTGAGTCAGGATTACCGCACATTTTGCTGGATCGTTCATTTTATTCTTTCGGCTAAAGAAGTGTTTATTTCATCCAAAAAGCGCAGTGAATATTCAATCGATTTTCAAAGGGTCTTAAATTCGCAGCTGAGTCAAGCGAAAATGAGCCAAAATGAAGCCAAAGCGGTGTTGACGTGTTCCATTTCGGGAAAAAGGATGCCAAGTCGCGATAACTCTCCTCATTAGTCAACTGATGGCGGTAAGTTGGGTAACCTTAGAGCATCAAGACTCGATGGCGGGTTATTTTGATGTCAACCGCTACGTTTCTTCATTTTTCTTGGGTTCGAAAATTTACACTGTTGATGAAACTACAACTACTTTTTACCGTCATAGATTTTCCACTTGCGGTGGCTAGTTGTTTTGCTTATCATTAAGATTTTAAGGGGCAAGAATCAGAAAGTAACGGTCTTGAACCCGAAACTTCGTGAACTTTGAGGGATTTTAGCCGCGCTTTCAGCGGCTTTTATTTTTATGAACTGAAAGCCGCGCATGGCTTTTTGATATTTGGTCATTAGGCGCTAGAAATTTCGGAAGAATAATTATTTGAAGAAGTTTTTAAAGTTATTTTCTTATCATAATATAAATATCTAATTTATTAGTTATTTTTTATAATTAATTATTAAAATAATAAATATCAATACACAAAGATGTAATTGTTAATAATTTATTTATTTATTATAGAATTAAATTTGAATAATTTATTTTATCAATAAATCAATTAATTTATTGATTTACTGAATAGGGTTGGCCAAAAAAAGGGATGGTCCTTCGATTTCCTTTAAACTTTCCTTGATTCATTATTTGGGTCCATATAATAAATATTTTCAAAAAATTCCCCTGGAGAATCACCCGCTGAGTAATTTGATGCTAATCCCAAGCTTATCTTCTGCATACTTACTGAGAAAAAGGGTAAAACTTGAATACTAAAAATCCGCCTACGCGAAAAATACAGTTTTGTATACCGATTTTCGAGGTCTTCCGCTCAACTTGATGATTCATATGGGGTATCAAAATGTTCGTCTCGTCGAGATCTATCAGAAACTGCAATAAAATTCGCTGAAATGAGACCTCACTTTTTCTTGGCCTACCCTATTACTGAATTTTAAATTTAATAAATGTATCCATAATTTAATTCAATTTTTTTGAGAAAAGATAAGAAAATTGACAATAAGAGTAAAATTTTTTTGTTTATTTTTTACTTCCGGTGTGCTCGATGAGTAGGAAACCAGCGTGAAGAAAACTATCAGAGCTTCAGAAATAATTTTCTTTATTTTTGAGAAGATGGTTAACGACAATACCGATTTCTTTAGCTTTTTGACTGAAGAGCAAAAAGCCGCGTTTGAGAACTTGCAAAAGGCGCAGAAGGATTTCTTCGATGTCTTGTCAAGTGCGGAATTGACTGAATACACGCTCTACTACAGAGACCAGATCGACAAGGGATTTCGATGGGGATGGCGGGACCAAGAAGATAGTCGACCTGCTTCTTCTTAATAAAAAACCTGAGAAAATTTTCAGAATAAACTGAACTGTCTAAAAAGGTCTTATTGACTTGTCTGAGCAGGAATGGATCTACCAAAGCACTCAAAAATCACCAACGTGTTTAAGTTTTTGATTCTCGCAAATCAAGAGTCCACCTTTTTCTTTTCAAAAGGTTCATTCAATACGCACTTTTTAGTACTTAGTTTTTGAGTTATTGAGGTCAATCTGTTCTTTTCCGAACTAAGGGCAATTACCACTAGATCAAAGTCTTATTATGAATTTGGTTAGCTATTCAGGTTAGCATTCAGAATCGCCCCAAAGCAAGAATTTTTTTAACAAAAAATGGTGTAGCGCAGAACAATTTTGAGCCGGAAATTGGCATAAATCCAGAAATTCCGATAAAACGTTGCATAAAAATTTCACTAACTGGAGGGACTGCTGGCTAGGCTTGGCAAACTGTGCTGAAAACCTGAAAATGAAAATCTGCGTAGCGGCTTTCTCCTAAAAATTAGCCGCAATAGCACTATTTGTGTCTAATTTTCGCGGCTTCGTATTTTTTAAAAAATGCCGCTTTCCGAGCCCAGATTGCTGGATTTTGAAAATTACTGCTTTTTTTTTCTTTAAAAAAACCCTAAAAAAAGAAGAACTCTTAGAATTCAAAAGGAAGTCACTTGAGTGATGAATATTTTCAAAACTGCGTTTGACGCGTTACCACAAAAGTGAGTACGTCTTTTAGTTGCCTTTTTTAGAGCATTTATGCATTCCAGCACTTGAGCATGTTCATTTCTTCGAGTGCTTTTTCTCCCCTATGACTTGGTAATTCACTTTTCGTAGGAAATTCTGGTGAAATAAAGACTTGAAAAAAATATGAAAAAAAAAACTTTTTTTCAGGGTCATTTTTCTGATTATTTTTTGAAGAAATCAAAAATATATTTAATAAAAATTAAATAAATTGATAATAAACAAATTTTTTTAGGGTCCCCTTATTGGGGAGGTTTTGCGTAGAAATTTTCAACCAGTCAAAAGCCTGGATTCGGCGAACCGGCCAATCAGCAGCCAAGTAGCCGCCAACGCAAAATTTGTTGAAAATTTTTTGTCGGTTCCAGACACCATCCCCCCTTATTTTCCAAAAAGCTGATAGAAAAGAACCTTGGAGCATTAAAATTTTATTTCTCCCCTTCGCTTCTTTTTTCGTAATACCCCTAGTTGACGCGTCGAACACGCAATTCCCGTCATCAGCATCATTGCCGCGCGATCGAGATCTCTCATGGTGGCGCTGCTTCGCTCCCTTGCGCGATTGCGCCGCGGCGATTTAAAGCGCGCACCGCTAATGCGCATCTTCACAAAACAATTCCTTTTCATTCATCCCCTTTTTTCAAGAGTTGAGATAAATTTTTGAAAACATCAAACATGAAGCTTTTTCTCGCGCTTTCAATTTTCGGGTCTGCAATGAGCACGATTGTGAGAAGAAGCGCGGGAGCTGTGAAGATGAGCTTTTCTGGAGAAGAGAGCAGCTTTGAGCTCGATAAGATTCTAGCGGAGATTACTAACGGAACAGGTAGACAATAGTTTTAGACTATTTGAGTCTAAATTTGGTCGAAAATCGATATTTCAAACGACAAACTCTAAATTTTGGTCAAAAATATCAAAAATTTAGCCATTAAATCGACAAATTTGTCAGAAAATCGATTTTTAAATCGAAAAAATCTAAATTTTAGTCAAAAATATTGAAATTTTTGTCGAAAAACTCAAAGTTTTGTGCATAAATGAAGGAATTTCGAGTTTTTCGACTCAAAATTTGATATTTTTTATTTTTTTGGCTAAAAATTAGACTTTTCGATTTCCAAATAGATTCATTTTGTCAAAATTTACGATTTTATGGGTAAATTTTTGATATGTTCGACTTAAATTTAGTCTTAAATATCGATTTTTTTGACCAATTTTTTGAATTTTTCGACTTCATTTTCGATATGAAAACTTGTTTTCGAGTCGGAAACATTTCGACTAATTTTTAGACTTTCTCTTTTCAAACTACCCTTAGCCATAAAAATCAAATGATATATCCTCCGTTTGCAAAATCCTTTTCTAGTGGATGACATCGAAGAAGAAATCCGCCGAAACATGGGAATGGTCCCCGCGTTTGGCCTCGCTTCGCGGCGAACAAACGAAGTGATCGAGCGTAAGTTTCGAAATCTAAAAATTCTAGTTCTTTGGCTCCAAAGAGAGAAGCTCTTTGGCAGGTATTGTTACTACGGCTGCCACTGCCTGCCGGAAGGAACGCACAACATCGCAAGAGGAGGCTATGGCAAGCCGGTCGATGATTTGGACGCGAGTTGCAGGCGCTTCGGACAGTGCTACCAGTGTTTAATTGACGAGCACAAGGATGACAAATTCAACATCAACGGCGTCACGGAATGCAAAGGAGAAGAGATCGGCTACCAATTCGAGTTGCTGGAAGACGAATATGGAAACAAGTCCATTCAGTGCATGAACAAGGTAAATCAACGAGTGAAAGATTAAATTCGAGCCTAAAATACGAGAAGCCGCTTGCGTCTTCGAGTCAAATATAACTTTAGCAGCGCGAAGCGCGGCTTTTACTTTTCCTTTGCTCAAAACTTATGAATAATTATCTTAAAACTCATGAAAAACGAGAAGAATAAAAGCCGCGCTTCACGCGGCTTATTTTTTAATTTGACTCGAAGCCGCAAGCGGCTTCTCGGTTTCAGAACTTTTTGATTACAATATTTTAGCTTGGCTCCTGTAGAAGAAATATCTGCGAGTGCGACAAACAACTGGCTGAGGGACTCTACGAACACGAACTTAGTTGGGACGAAAAGTAACGAACTCAGAAAAGATTTCATTTGAGCAAACAAAATTTTAGATTTCACTCAAGAAGAAGCGGATTCGACAGAAATGACTCTTGCGCTCTTCCTGCTTCGAACCGTTAGTTTTTAGAAAATCAAACCTCCAATCTTACTTTCTTCCCTAGCTGGTGTGCGATTCGAAGAATGCTGCGGCTCCAGAACGACTTTTCCATTCAACGAGCCAAAGAACAACATGCAGTGCTGCGAAGGCCCCCTTTCCCTGCCAAATGGCCAATGCTCTTCCTAAATCGCGCCCCTTTCTAAATCTGTAAATAGCGACCTTGACGCCTTCTTTCGAAATTATCGAGACAAGATGAAAAATGAAAAAAAATTTCAAAATCTGTTCTGTTGTAAAATACACTTTCATCGATTCTGTTTTTATTTACTTTTGGTATTTTTCTTGAAACTGACGCGAAAAGGGGTTGAAGAAAGATCGCCTTCAGAAAGTCGAATTCGCTCGGCGAAGTTTTTAAGTCTTCCTTGATTTCAATTTTTTTCAAGAAAAAGCGTTGTGACACCCTTTTTGAGGCGACCCCTGAGTCAGGTTCTGAAGAGCTCTACTGACCCTGACTCAGGTTTCTTAAACAGGTCGCCGAGCCTAGGGCCCCTTATTCTTATCCTTGAAACCTTGCTTATCAGTTCCAGCTCGATCGCTCTAGAAATTCAAGCATTTGATACTTATCTCGTTTTTTGACAAACCTTTTGGACAAATCTTGAGCTGGCTGAAAGTCGATACTCATCTTTTTCAAAAAAGAATGAAAATATAAATGCAAATTTATTCCGGGCGAGTTTTTTCTTTTATTCGAGCCGGAGGGAACGATCCTGAAAAGACTGCTTTTGAAGGAGTTCGGAACAAAGACACTCCGATAACATCGTGCTTGTGGAATAATTAATCGATGGAACAACAAATGAGAAGGTATATGATAAGCCTGAATGACGAGGAGACCGATTTATATTGTTTTCAAAGCTCAAAGAAAAATAATGCTATTTTGGCTTTAATTTTTCGGTTAGAATTTGGTTGACGCTGCAAATAAAATCTGGGTCAAAAAATATTTTGCAGGAAAAATTAATTTAGCAAAAATAATGTTCTAGAACAATTTTCAGTTTGAAAAAGTAGCAAAAACGTTAAAAGCTACATCAAAAATATTTTTGATAAACTATTAAATTGAACTTTGTTAAATCATTTTATTAGACTCAAAATAACTTCTTCGTTATCAATTCTTTCATCTGAGAAGGGTTGAATTCTCTTTTTCAGTGTTAAATTTGATCGGCCGCGATTTGCAAAAAATAACGTCATTTTGAGTGCTGACTTTTTGCTGATTTTGTTAAAAACTTCTTTATTTTTAATGGTTTTTTGATTTTTAATAAAAAATTGACCTTGTTTGATTTTAATTTTCTGATTTTATCCATTTCGTGCGAATTCGCTTTCAGCCTTTATTCAGATAATATTTTCATTAATTTTGAGAGAAAAAAATATATTTTGTTCTAGAAAATTTTTTATTGGAAGATTATTTGCAAAAGTGCGAGATATTGCTAAAAGTAAAAATTATTCATAAATTTCAACAAAAGCCGTCAAAATTATTTTATTGAACTCAAAATAAGCCTTTCAGACTTTATCTGATCTTGTGGCAGAGCTAGAATTCGAGTTCTTTAGCATTTTTTGCTGAACAACCTGGGTTTACAAAAAGCGTCATTTTTCAAGAGTTTGTTCTCAGCTGGTTTAGTTAAAACATTCATTTTCTCAAGCTGATTAAGACGCTTATTTAAAAACAGAAATAGTTTGACTTTAATTTATCTTTTAATTATATTTGACTTTAAATTTTATCTTTTAATTATGCATTTTCTTCTTAATGATATTTGCATCCTGGCAACTTAAAATTTCTATTTATTTTCAAAGAGAGAATAAACAAAAATGTTCTAGAACAATTCTTCTTTATTTTTTATTTTGTCAGTTTTCAGAAAAATCAACAGTTCAATTTCAGCCAAGCCAAGGTTTCCAAAAGCCCTGATGATATTCCGGGAAGCTCTTTGGATCCACATCGGGAAAATTGATCGGCACTTGCGTCGAGTTCCAGAAAGAAAGTCGATCCAGCAGAAATTCAACAATGTCCAGATGAAAGTCTGAAACCTCGTTGCCCTCAGTTGGGTCCTTGATGACGTCATAGAGGCGGACAAGTCGGTCGAGAGGTTCTGGCCGCGGCGGGATTGGGTATTGAAGCCCGTTTTCGACCGTGAAAATGGGCTTTTTGTTGCCTTGGGGAGGAATGGTGATTGGAAAGTCTGGGTAGCCAGGGTCGCCGGTCAGCAGCTTCCAGTTCTTCCAGCGAATCGCCGCTTGAAATATTGGGTTGAAATTTGACGGTTGATTTTTTCTTTACCTTGGACGGAAATATTGAAGTCCGACTTGAAGGTTCGATTGTCTGACCCTTTCGCCACGGTCATTTCGTCGATATTATGCAAAATTTCATCCCGAGCTAACGAAAAACAATCAAAGAAGAGCGCTAGAATTTTGACTCACGAGATTGCTCAAGATCCAGGAGCATTTTCCACTGAGACATTCCATCTAAATCGGGCGAATTCGGCGCTTTCTGGCAGCCAGTAGCTTCCATGATCGTCGGGTACCAGTCGGAAATGTGGATGAGCTCCTTGTTGATGACTTCGTTCCCGGTTCTTCGGGTTTCAAAGTATCCTCCAGCGACGAAGCCGTTTCCATGAACGCCGCCTTCCCAGTAGCCGGCCTTGTTGCCTCGCAAAGGGAGATTGTTGCCGCCGACATAAGCTTGTCCGCCGTTGTCAGTGGAGAAGATGAAGATCGTGTTGTTCCACAAGCCGGATTCCTTCAAATGAGAAGTGATGTTTCCAATCCCTTCGTCCATCACGGACACCATTCCCGCGTAGATCTTTCTCGGCTTGTCGTCGATGATTCCGTCGTATTTGGCGATGTACTCAGCTGGTGCTTCTAGCGGCGCGTGAACGGATTGCATCGGGAGATAGAGAAAGAAGGGCTTGTTCTTGTCTCGCCCGTCAATGTACTTTTTCGCCTGGCGAATGTATTTAAACGCCGAGTATTCGCTTGGATCAGCTTGGTAAACCCGCTCCCCGAAAACATCTCCATCCGTGTTTTGGTCGATTCCGCAAGTGTGCGAGTCCAAGCACCGCGTTTTCTTGTAATAATCCTCCGATCCGCCGAGGTAGCCGGTGAAGTTTTGAAATCCTCTGCCCCAAGGCGTGTTTGCCGTTTTGGCGTAGCCGACGTGCCACTCGCCCGCGGCCATCGTGTGGTAGCCGCAGTTTCGCATCGTCTCGGGGAGCAATTCCGTGTCTAAGGGAAGAGCGGAAGGCATTCCCATCCAAATGAGCTGATGCTGCAGGCCAGAGTGGATTTGATAGCGGCCGGAGAGGAGCTGGGAGCGGGAGGGAGTGCAGATTGGCTGCACGTAGTAGTTTTCAACGTAGTATGGAAAAATGTTTCGGTAAAAGCGACCGAAATATAAATCACTTTCAAGGGGTCAAATGTGATAAATATTTCGGTAGGCAGCCGAAAGAATTATACAAATAAGACTCGTTTTTAGCAAAAATATTTCGGTACGAGCCGAAACAAAAATCAGAATTTGATGTCTTTTGAGCAATAAAGTTTCGGCAGGTTTTTCCATTATCATCCTGATTTGCGCTGGTATGTGCATTCAATGAGTGTGCCTTGTCATTTTTTTACCTTAAAAATCTCGAGTTATTGTCTGTTCTCATATCCAGAAGATCATTTCTTTGGCTTCATTCTTTATTACGCAAAAATGAAGGAAGCCGATGATTAAAAATTGAAATCGAAGTATTTGCTTCAATAAAGGTTAGGGTTAGGGGGCACCTTCAAAAATGACGGAACAAATTACCCGAGGGGGATAGGCTAGGGTTAGTTAGGGTTACTGAAGGTAACCCTAAGTAACCCTAGACTAGACCCCGGCATCTTAGGACCTAAGGGGCGAAGCCCCGTGGTCAGGGGAACTTAGATTCCTTGATTTCTATCATCTCCGGCGCTTTTTTTGCCGAAATGTTTTTGCTAGAAACGAACCTTAAAGTGAAAAAGATTTCGGTAGCCTGCCGAAACATTTTTGTGAAAAAAGTGGAAAAAAGTGAAAAAAGTTTCGGCTGTTACCGAAATATTAATCAGAAAATAAGCTCACCATATTTCGGCAATTTTACCGAAACTTTTTTCCATACTACCGAAATAAACAGGGACAGGTGAGAGAATATGTCGGGGAGGAGCACTGAAAAATATTTTTTAACCCGATAACGAGAGCGGGAGCACTAAGTGCTCCCGGAGCTGGTTGTTGCATAATGATTTTCTTCAATTTTGAAGATAATTCAAAAATTCGAAAAAACTTAGATTCGTACACCCTTTCCGCACTTAGTTTTACTTAAAGAAATTTTCATAATTCTTATTTAATCCTTTTTTTTTACAAAAAAAGAAGCAAAATTTCGGAAACTCATCTCGAGAACTCGATCTTACGTAACAGTCATCAAGAGAATGCGCGTTCTTCTCGCGTTTTTCCTTACGAAAAAGAATTCTCAAGAGTTCTAGACCAAGCATTTTTCAAAAATCCGACGAAAAACCCGTCTTACAGACTGAGAAAACAAGCAGGTTTGTCCTTTTTTTGATTAAAATTGTTCTAGATAGCCTGGGTGGCACCCAGTGGGTGCACTAAGTGCTCCCACTCTCGTTATCGTATAATTTCATACTCTCGTTATCGGGTTAATCTCTTCAAAGTTGACATATCTCGAGTACCCGGTGAACATGACGATGAAAGTGGTCAATCATCTCGACGTTTCCGGCCATCACCATTTGCAGTCAAAATCGATTTCAGAAGTCAAAAGGTCAAAAAATCTCATCCTTGATTTCAAATTCTATTTTCAGCCGTAAAATAAGACAGATGAATTTTGTTCCCGGAAGAACACGGTCAAAACGCTCCAGTAGGCGCTGCAACGGCTGTTTCTCTCAGAGCGAATCAAAGTTCAAGAACGGTTCTGCCTTGGAACAAAGAGAACTGTACCAATGTTTATGACTATAACGATCCGGAGTTTGACGGGCATTATACTTACAGAGCTTGTCAAAAAGGATGTCTTCAGCGGCATTTGAGGGATGAATGCGGCTGTATATCGTCATTGTATTTGAAGAAAAATGACCCTGTTTGTGGTTTACTCGACAAAACAACTTGTAAGTGACTGTATTGTCTCCTCGGTAATTTATTTAATTGAAGACCTTTGTGTTGAGAAAATCAAGGAAGACTTCCAATCTGGGCTAATTAGCGACTGTTACTGCAGCCAGCGTTGTTCCGAGGTCTTTTATGACTGTAAGTAAAACAGTCTTGAAACAGTAAATAATCGTTTTCAGTGCATTACAGCACTGTAAAATGGCCGAGTTCGCAGTACGAAGGGCTGTTGCTCAGCGCGATTTCGAACTCAACCGCTGCGGCGAAAATTCGCAACGCAACTGATCTCCAGTCCGCTGTGGAGGACAATCTGCTTCGATTGAGCTTCACTTTTGACGAGTTGAACGCAAAACTGATCGAAGAAAGCCCTAAATACGACATTTGGACGCTTTTTGCGAATATTGGCGGAACACTCGGACTTTACGTCGGAATTTCTTTCATTACTTTGTTCGAATTTCTCGAAGTTCTGACCGACATTTGCCTGTTTACATGCTGCTATCGCTGTAGCAAAGAATAATATCAAATATAAGGCTTCTTTTGTTTTATTTGATTTTTATTAAAAAGACAATCTTACAGGAAAGATTCTTTGGAAGAAGGCCAGACTGAAACTGAAGCTTAAATTTTACTAGAATTTATCCAAAATATTTTAGCTTACTGTTTATTCCGTAGTAAGAGTGATTGAATAGGCTTGAGGCAAAAGATACCACTTTTCTGTGTCCATGTTAAATTCTTCGTTCGTCAAAGCAAGAAACTCGTTATTTGGTCCGTAAAAAACATAATCTTTGTTCCAGTGGAAACAATATTTCATCATTTCTTCAGAAGCATAGAACTCGCGAGAACTGGGAATTCTGATTTGAGCGCCGGAATGCTCGATGAGAGTGTTTTGGAGAATGAAGGCGGAGTTTTCGACTCGGTCCAGCACCATTTGGTGGAAAATCATTGATCCGTCGGAATTAAGGTAACAGCCGGTGACGGTTAGGGGACGGGTGGGGGAGAATTTGTCGTGGAGAAGCACTGAAAATATTTGATTCTTTTCACAGTTTAGATGACGAAGTTAAGATACCTGGCTCGAAATCCAAATTGCCTATTGCGTGTCCAAAGTCATCCATTTCTTCAATAATTTGCCATCCACTTGGATTCAAATAAGTCTTAAATTTTAATCTTTTGAGAAGCAACTCAATTTCGTTCGTTTGGAATTCTTGTTCTTTAAACTTCGGATTGAGATTGAGTCCAGCCAAACTGCGCGGATAAATCACCATCGTCAGAATTGTAAAGATTTTTTCAAAAGAATAAAATTCTTTCATTTCCGAATCTTTAACTCCCAAATCATTTTTCATCGCCCATCTCAAAAGAGTAGTGACAGAAATCGGCACACAAAGATTGGTTCCTTTTTGGTTCAAAACATTTTTCGTCACGTTTTCGAAGTCGAAATAGATTTGTTTCGTCATTTTCTGTTTCAGAGTGGCCATCGCAGAGGACTTTGTCAAGTTTGGATCGTCCAGGCAAAAATGGGAAGGCGCGTTTTTGAGCGAAATTATTTTTGATAAGTTTTCGATTTCCTCGATTGATGGAGTTTCTCTTGATAACCAGGCCGCAGTGAATCTCTAAGGAGTTGCAATTGTCAATAAAACAAAAAATTCAAAAACCTTAAATTCATTTTTGATCTTTTCTCGCTCGCCTTCTTCGATTGGATTGTAAAGAAGACTCCAAGCAGACTTCCAGTCGCAAAGAATAAAAATATGAAGTGGCGATCCTTCTTCTGCTAAATTAAAACAAAGTTCGAAACTCCCCGAAAAAGCAGCAGAACCAGAATCTAAAAAATTCCCGGAAAATTAATTCAAAATATACGAATTTTAAACTTACATAAAAATTGACTGAGTCTATATTTGGTTCCTCTCCGCGCGTAGCCCATTTCGCGGTAGCTCCTTCTTCCAGTCCTTTCTGCCAACGTTCCGTAATCGATCATTTTTGGTTCTCCATTTTTCAGGAGAATATTTTCGGGCTTCTTGTCGTGATGTTTGATTCCGACGCTCTCCAAATAATCAAGTCCGTTTTGCACTCCAAGTGCTATTTTCTTTCTTTCTTCCAAGCTGAGATCTTCATTTTTCAGGCGGCCTCGAAGATCGCAGTCGCATTTTTCCATGATCGTGATCCATCCGAGGCAGTCATCGTTGTTTTTGTCAAAGCTTGAGTAGACTTCGATGTTGCAAAAATTCTTGATGATGTTTGAATGAAGGGGGATCACGGGAACGTCATCTTTTTTGTCGTTTTCGGCGGTTCCATAATCTAAGAATGAAAAAATAGAAAATATAATGATTATTCTTACCATTTGAAAGATGAATCTCAAAATTCAACTCTTCATCCTTGTCCACAAACAGCGCCGAGTCAAAGGCTTGAACCCTCACAGCCACCTCGAGTTCATCAAATTTTTCTTCCAAAACAATTGCTTCTCCTCCTTCAGAAATCGTTTTGAAAGATTTGTCTAGAATCCATTTTCCAGTTTCTTCTTTCAATCCAGATCGCGCGATTATTCGACTTTTAAAACTCGGATTTTTTTCAAGAATCATTTTTTGGAAAGCAGTAATCGCCCAGATTTCTTTGCCATAACACGGAAAATTTTTTCCTTCTCCATTTTGAAAAACAACCTCCTCCCAATTAGCATTAAATTCATTTTCAAACTCTTGTCTCTCGACCGACAAAATCAGTCTGTCCAAATCATTTCTGCTCGTCGTTCTCTTCAACTTCTTCTTAAAACCCTCCAGCCATTTCTCAACCGCTTCTCTCGTCAATTCTTTTGGATGTATGCAATTAGTCTGAGTACAGACCCAGACTTCGAGTAAGAATTGCTAGTCTGGGTCCAGGGGCCAGAATTGGTTATATTTCCGTAGTCTGGGTCTCGGGACCAGAGAAGCTCTTTTCACTGGTAGTCTGGGTCCAGGGCCGTAAATAGCCTTTCGTATGGTAGTTTGTACTAGGATTTCGGCACAGTACTGACATTATAACCTTCTTTTGACTCACGCGATCATCAGCCCTGGATCGGGTGGACCCGGTTCATGATCTGTGTGAACCCAAAATTTTCCAAAGTAAGAAATTACGGGTCAATATGCGCTCCGCGCCTGATTTCGAAGAGAAACTCATTTTTAAGGTGTTAAGCTTTCTATGCAACCGCGCCTTCAGTCAATTCGAGTCACTTTTTTGACCGAAATTGTGAACCATCCTCCCGAAATTTTGAACCGGGTTGAGAAAATTTGTGAAACTAGGCGCCAGCCACCCCCTGAACCCAGACTACGGGTCAAAAGATCTTCTCTGGGCCAGAGACCCAGACTACGAAAATATAACCAAGTCTGGGCCCTGGACCCAGACTAGCAATTCTTACTCGAAGTCTGGGTCTGTACCCACTGGTCTACTACCCAGACTAATTGCAAACCTCCTTTTGGATGCGTCGTTTCTCGACTCATCTGCAGCTTCTTTTTCTTGAAAATTTTTCTCAATCTCTTCATTTTTCAAAAAAAGGAGTTTTTAAAATGGTCTCTTCCTTGAAGAAGATAGTTAACCGGCAAGAAAGCGGCTGGCTGGTGACTCTGAAAAACAAGTCAAAGTAACCAAATAGTCGTGAAGTCCTGCGCTGCGTCCAGCAACCAGTACATATTTATTGAAAAACGTGAGTCAGAGTGTCAAAGATAAATAATGAAATTTTTGAAAAACGAATCCGCAAAGCGGCTTGGCAAGATGTTAAACAGAAATTATAAAGATAATTTCGCAATGCGGCTTTTCATCATTGATCTTTCAGACCCTGAAATTCAGGGCCTGAATCAAGTTTTCCAGAAATTTCGCCGAAAGGTTTTCAAAGAAAAAAGCAATTTGCAACAACTAAAACAATTATTTTTGAGAATTAAGAGTTATTTTTTTCAAGCAAAAGCCATAGAAAAAAATCATAAAAAGAAAGAGAAAATGTAAAATTCGAAAGCCAACGAAGCGGCTCTCTTTTCGAATTTTTGCGAAAACACTTCCGCCCATGGCCTCGGGAAAATCTCCGGATCAAAGAATCGAATTCTCAAATCGACTTGGGCGCTGATTTTTCTGATTTCGCTGACGATTTTCTTCTAGCAGGCGACGATGCTGATCCTGGACTATCTCGAGTACCCGGTGAACTTGACGATGAAAGTGGTCAATCATCGCAACTCGACGTTTCCGGCGATCACCATTTGCAATCAGAATCGATTTCAGAAGTCGAAATTGCAAGGAACGCCTTTTGAGCCGCTTGTTCGAATCGACGAGGCGCTAGAAAATGACCCGTCGCTGAAAAGAAGAAAGAGAAGATTTGTCGAGCTGCAAGAGTTTTCTGATTTTGAAGAAAACGACAGTCAGTTGGTTTCAGATCTTTTCGTAAGAAATGACAAACTCAACTGGACAATAATTCTTGACGAAGTCCCTGTCGATCGAGTCGCTTCATTAGGAATCGGCCAAAAGACTGACATTTCTTTGACAATTTGACTTTTTTAGCCGAAAAAAGACAGCCTTATTTCCGCTTCGAAAGACCAATCTGAGCGATTCGGGCAAAGCTTTGAAGATTTTGTTATTTCCTGCGAATTCGACCAGGCTCCTTGTGGAAGGGATGATTTTTTGACTTTTCAGCATGAGCAGTATGGAACTTGCCATACTTTCAATGGTCATTCCATGAAGCGCAGGAGTACCTCAAACATCGGTTAGTTTCCCCGAATATATAGAATATGAAAGTCTTGATTTCAGGAACGGAGTACGGATTAAAGCTAATTCTCTTCGCCGACGAGTCCGAATACGTCGGCGCCACCTCCGCGACCGTCGGAGTCCGCTTCGACATCCACCAGTATGGATCAATTTCGTTTCCAGAAGAACACGGTCAAAACGCTCCAGTTGGCGCTGCAACGGCTGTTTCTCTCAGAGCAAATCAAATTTCAAGAACGGTTCTGCCTTGGAACAAGGAGAACTGTACCAATGTTTATGACTCTAACGATCCGGAATATGACGGGCATTATACTTACAGAGCTTGTCAGAAAGGATGTCTTCAGCGGCATTTGAGGGATGAGTGCGGCTGTGTGACGTCATTGTTTTTGAAGAAAAATGACCCTGTTTGTGGTTTACTCGACAAAACAACTTGTAAGTGACTGTATTGTGTCGTCGGTAATTGATTTAATTGAAGACCTTTGTGTCGAAAAAATCAAGGAAGACTTCCAATCTGGGCTAATTAACGATTGTTTCTGCAGCCAGCGCTGTTCCGAGGTCTTTTATGACCGTTAGTAAAACATTCTTTAGACAATGACTAATATTTTTTCAGTGCATTACAGCACGGTAAAATGGCCTAGCTCTCAGTACGAAGGGCTGCTACTCAGCGCTATTTCGAACTCAACCGCTGCGGCAAAAATTCGCAACTCAACTGATCTTCAGTCCGCTGTGGAGGATAATCTGCTTCGATTGAGCTTCACCTTCGACGAATTGAACGCGAAACTGATCGAAGAAAGCCCTAAATACGACATTTGGACGCTTTTTGCGAATATTGGCGGAACACTTGGACTCTACGTCGGAATTTCTTTCATTACTTTGTTCGAATTTCTCGAAGTTCTAGCCGACATTTGTCTATTTACCTGCTGCTATCGCTGTAGCAAAGATTAATATCAAATAAAAAGCTGCTTTTCTTTTTTAAAAGACAATCTTCTTTGATTTCCCGGAAGACAGGTTTTCAGCTGCTCTTCAGAAAAATCATTTTTTAAAGATGTTTTACCCAGGATTCTCGTGAATGAAACTGAAACTAGAATTCTTTCAAGATATTTTTGCTCACTGTTTATTTCGGAGTAAGAGTGATTGAATAGGCTTGAGGCAGAAGATACCACTTTTCTGTGTCCATGTTTAATTCATCGTTGGTCAAAGCAACAAACTCGTTATTTGGTCCGTAAAAGACATAATCTTTGTTGTAGTGGAAACAATCTCTCATCATTTCTTCAGAAGCATAGAATTCGCGAGAAATGGGAATTCTGATTTGATCGCCAGAATGGTCGATGAGAGTGTTTTGGAGAATGAATTTCGAGTTTTCGAGTCGGTCCAGCACCATTTGGTCGAAGATTAATGATCCGTCGGGGTTGAGATATGCGCCGGTGACGGTTAGGGGACGGGTGGAGGAGAATTTGTGGTGGAGAAGCACTGAAAATATTTTACTCTTTTCAAAGTTAAGATGACGAAGTTGAGATACCTAGCTCGAAATCAAAATTGCCTATTGTGAATCCTCCACGCAAATTTTGAATAATTTGCCATCCACTTTCATTCAAATAAGTTTTCAATTTCAATCTTCTGAGAAGCAAATCAATTTCGTTTGTTTGGAATTTTTGTTCTTCGAATTTTGGATTTAAATTTAATCCAGCCAAACTGCGCGGATAAATCACCATCGTCAGAATTGTGAAGATTCTTTCGAAAGAATATCTTTCTTCCATTTTCCCATCATCAATTCCCGAATCATTTTTCATCGCCCATCTCAAAAGAGTTGCGACGGAAATGGGGACACAAAGATTGCTTTCTTTTTGGTTCAGAACATTTTTCGTCACGTTTTTGAAGTCGAAATTGATCTGTTTCGTCATTTTCTGTTTGAGATTTGACATTGCCGAAGACTTTGTCAAGTTGGGATCGTCAAGGCAAAAATGGGAAGACGCGTTTTTTAGCGAAATTACTTTTAACAGGCTTTTGATTTCATTGGTTGTTGGTTTTTCTTTTGATAGCCAGGCGGCATTGAATTTCTTAAAGGTTGCAATTGTCACGAAAACGAAAAATTCAACAAACCTTTAGTTCATTTTTGATCTTTTCTCGCTCGCCTTCTTCGATGGGATTGTAAAGAAGACTCCAAGCAGATTTCCAGTCGCAGAGAATAAAAATATGAAGTGGAGATCCTTTTTCTCCGAACGTATTACAAAGTTCACTTATTCTCGCAAAAGCAGCAGAGCCAGAAACTAAAAAATATCGGAAAATTTATTCAAAATAAACGAATTTGAAACTTACATAATAATTGACTATCTCTATATTTGCTTCCTCTCCGCGCGTAGCCCAATTCGCGGTAGCTCCTTCGTCCAGTCCATTCTTGCAAAGTTCCGTAATCGATCAACTTTGGTTCCCCATCTTTGAGGAGAACATTCTCGGGCTTCTTGTCGTGATGTAAGATTCCAACGCTCTTCAAATAATCAAGTCCGTTTTGCACTCCCACAGCTATTTTTTTTCGTTCTTCCAAGTTGAGATCTTCGTTTTTCAGTCGGCTTCGGAGATCGCAGTCGCTCCTTTCCATGATCGTGATCCACCCGAGGCAATCTTCATTTTTCTCGTCTTTACTTAAGAAGACTTCGATGTTGCAATAATTCTTGATGATGTTTGAATGAAGGGGGATCACGGAAACGTCATCTTTTTCTCTATTTTCAGCGCTCCCATAATCTAAAAATAAAAAATCGAAAACAAAATGACTAGTCTTACCATTGGAAAGATGAATCTCAAACTTCAACTCTTCTTCTTCTCCCACAAACAGCGCCGAGTCAAAAGCCTGCACCCTCACAGCCACTTCGAGTTCATCAAATTTTTCTTCCAAAACAATCGCTTCTCCTCCTTCAGAAATCGATTTGAAAGATTTGCCAAGAATCCATTCTCCAGTTTCTTCTTTCAATTCAGATCGCGCGATTTTTCGACTTTTAAAAGTCGGATTTTTTTCAAGAATCGTTTTTTGGAATGCAGTTATCGCCCATTTTTCTTTTAAAAAGCCAGAACGAAAAACTTTTCCTTCTCTATTTTCAAAAACAACCTCCTCCCAATCAGAACTCGAATGATATTCAAACTCGCGTCTCTCAAGCGACAAAATCAGTCTGTCCAAATCATCTCTGCTCGTCGTTCTTTTCAACTTCTTCTTAAAACCCTCCAGCCATTCCTCAACCGCTTCTCTCGTCAATTCTTTTGGATGCGACGTTACTCGATTCATCTGCAGCTTCTTTTTCTGGAAATTCAAAAAAGGGGGGTTTCAATAGGTCTCTCCCTTGCAGAAGAAAGTTAACCGGCAAGAAAGCGCTCTAGTGATTCTGAAATAACGACTGTATTTTTATCAAAAAAAAAAATAAACGAAGACAAAGTAACCAAATAGTCGTTAAGTCCTGCGCTGCGTCCTGCAACCAGTACGTATGTTTGGAAAACGTGAGTCAGAGTGTAAAAGATAAATAATGAGATTTTTGAAAAACGAGTCCGCAAAGCGGCTTGACAAGATGTTAAACAAAAATTACAAAGATAATTTCGCAACGCGGCTTTTCATCATTGATCTTTCAGACCCTGAATCAGGTTTTCCAGACAGGCTGCCGAGCCAAGCCCGTACGAAAAAATAGAAATCTTCTTCTATCGCCGATAGACTATCCGTATTTCCCCCCGTCTACAAATTTCCAAAAATCAAAAATCGGCTTTTCATAGTATATTATCGGCATATCACATATTATCGGCGATTCCTGACATTTGAAGGAAGCCGGCTTGTGGAACAACACGATCTTCATCTTCTCCACTGATAATGGCGGACAAGTCTATGTCGGCGGCAACAATCTCCGAGGCAACAGGGGCGGCTACTGGGGCGCTCCTAAAAAGCTTCCTTTCTTTACGGTCGGATAAACTTCTTGAGCCCAGCGCCTGGGGCCAATCAGAACGCTCGGAGATTCGCCATCTTTTCTCGCTGATTTTCAATCTCCCGTTTATACTATTTTTCGCACTTTTCCGCGTAAAACAAACAGTTCAAGAGTCTTCAAGAGCATCAACATGTAGAGAAGAAAACAGTCAAAAATGAGGATTTCCTATTTTTTCTCGCTCTTAGGATTCGTTTTTGGAGAGAAATTGAAATATGAAGAAACAGAGTCTGACAGACCAAATATCGTTTTTGCGATAATTGACGATTACGGATACAACGACATTGGATACCACCAGGTACATTGACACTTTGAAGCTGTGGAAAGATCTGTTCTTTGAAATAGGACATCATCAAGACGCCGAACATCGATGCCATTTCCGCCTCCGGAGTGCGCCTTGAAAACGGTAGTATGGAAAAAAGTTTCGGTAAAATTGCCGAAATATGGTGAGCTTATTTTCTGATTAATATTTCGGTAACAGCCGAAACTTTTTTCACTTTTTTCCACTTTTTTCACAAAAATGTTTCGGCAGGCTACCGAAATCTTTTTCACTTTAAGGTTCGTTTCTAGCAAAAACATTTCGGCAAAAAAAGCGCCGGAGATGATAGAAATCAAGGAATCTAAGTTCCCCTGACCACGGGGCTTCGCCCCTTAGGTCCTAAGATGCCGGGGTCTAGTCTAGGGTTACTTAGGGTTACCTTCAGTAACCCTAACTAACCCTAGCCTATCCCCCTCGGGTAATTTGTTCCGTCATTTTTGAAGGTGCCCCCTAACCCTAACCTTTATTGAAGCAAATACTTCGATTTCAATTTTTAATCATCGGCTTCCTTCATTTTTGCGTAATAAAGAATGAAGCCAAAGAAATGATCTTCTGGATATGAGAACAGACAATAACTCGAGATTTTTAAGGTAAAAAAATGACAAGGCACACTCATTGAATGCACATACCAGCGCAAATCAGGATGATAATGGAAAAACCTGCCGAAACTTTATTGCTCAAAAGACATCAAATTCTGATTTTTGTTTCGGCTCGTACCGAAATATTTTTGCTAAAAACGAGTCTTATTTGTATAATTCTTTCGGCTGCCTACCGAAATATTTATCACATTTGACCCCTTGAAAGTGATTTATATTTCGGTCGCTTTTACCGAAACATTTTTCCATACTACGTTTATTTCAATTCAAATGTACAACTTAAAAAAAGCATCTCTCATTCTAACAAAGCCCAAGCGGCTTGATGGATCCATCGATGCAGCACATTTTCGTTTCTGAATTGAAAAACTCTCGCTTACCCGCCTCGCCGCAGCACTCCAAAGTCACTGTATTGCTGTTTCCGGAGCCATTCGAGCCAGAAGAATCACGTGAGGTGTAGCAGTTTTGTTGACGCTCAAATCCGTTGAAAATTAATGAAATTTCATTCTGAACAATAAAATAAATTTTAAAATAAATACCGCTCTGCGGCTTCATCTCTAGAAAATAAATCTTTAACAATGACTACCTCCAACAACGATATTTTAGTGAGCAGTCAAGATGAAACAGTAGTGGAAAGCACAGTCGTCAGAACACCTGTTCGATCGCGTCACAAATCTGAATGCGATGCATCAAAAAAGATGCCAGCTCCACCACATCGAGAACGACGGAGAACATCCTCTGATAGCGGCGCACTTCTTTAGTATTTATTCCCGACAACTGTAAAAACTGTAACGATGCTATTTATTAGTAAAGATTTGTAAAGAGATACTTGAATTGCTGGATACTTGCAGATGAAAACAAGGAAGACTAAGGATTGCGGTTGAACTGTGGTGTTTATTGCAGCGCATGAAGAAATGTCGAAAAATAAATAAAAGTGCCTAAGACCTCAGTGTCATGTCATTGCTCTAAGCGAAAGCTCGTTATTCTTGTAAAGCAGGGTTAGCTCTTGGAAGAAAAGGCTTTCATCAGGCATTCCTTGCTTGTGCAAACTCACCGATCCGCCATCTGGAAGCACCATCCCAGAGATCTTAGAGATGCCTGCTTTAACACGTAGGATGCCCGTGTAGAGCATATCCTCGATGCGGAACTCTCTGTAATCCGTTTCCTTTGCCGCTTCGTATATTTTTCTTGCTGCTGATGCTGTGAGAGCGGTGGCTTGCCCGTTACTATAGGTGGGAATAAAGTACTTTGGAGGATAGAGGTCAATCCAGGTATAGTACTTTCCGAAGTACATTGCTGGCGCTTCAGGGATGCATTCTCCTTTAAATATTTGTCGCGTCATTGTTTTTCAAATGAAGGCCCACCTTTTAAACACTTTATTTCGGGCACGGACGGATCCAACTTTTCTAATTGACCCTTCAGCTCGTCGAGCTTTATGAAAATATCGTCGTCGTGGAAGATCGCATATTTTTCTTCTTACAGTGATCAGTGAAAAACTGATAACCAGCAAATGTTTTCATTGGCAAGTTTTCATAATTGTCCTCATAATCATATAACACTATGTCGTTGTGTTTTTCGCTCTCGGCTTTGATTTCGTCAGTTAGCCATTCTTTCTCTTGTTATAGCTCACCAGATATTGTCATAAATCGAATTATTATGTATTCTATGGAGAGTTGCAAATTTGGCTTTATTTTCGCTGAGCTGAGCTGAGTGAGAAATTCTCTGAGCTGAGCTGAGCTGAGCTGGCCTATTTGAAATAGGCTATTTCGGAGCTCACTGAGCTGAGCTGGCCATTTTCAGAGGTCATTGAGCTGAGCTGAGCTGAGCAGACCTTTTTTTAAGGTAGTTGAGCTGAGCTGAGCAGACCCTAATTAGAGCTGAACTGAGCTGAGTGAGCTATTTTTCACTGTTTTTTTGTAGTGAAATTGTGTTTAAATCATTTAGCTGAGCTGAGCTGAGCTGAGTGATTATTGTCTGAGCTGAGCTGAGCTGAGCAGATAAATTCATTTTCTAAAATCAGTGAGCTGAGCTGAGCTGAGCGACTCAGCCAGCTCAGCTCACTTAGCTCAGCAAATCTGCAACTCTGATTCTATGTAGGTAAGTATCCGTAGCCTTTCCTTTTGACGATGGACTTCCAAGAAGAAAGAACAGATGGAAGGAATCCTGGTATTGCTTCTTTAAAATTTCCATGTAATATTTGCGGATCTCATCTCGCCGAAAAGAGCCCTTCCGGCTCGATTTAATGAAACTCACGAAACCATCTCCGCTGCAAGACGGAGGTTTTATAAATTTGACTTGTTTTTGTTGCGATAGAATTTGCGTTCCACGAAGATATTTTGGCAGATTTCGTTTCGTTGGATGCGCAGTGAAAACTGAATTAGTAATGACATCTATTTGAAAAGCAAAAGAAAAGCGTTTACGTTGATATGCTTTGGATATTTTCAGCAAAGATAAGTTCATCTTTTGGTGAAGCGAATTTCGAATGAGTGTGAATCTGATCCCAAGAAACCACTTAATGGGTTCTCAAAGATCGAAGATAGCTGCGAATATTCTTGAGGTATTTTCATCATCGTAAAAGGATGAGTTTTTCCTCGCATGTAAATCTTTTTTCCAGTTTCAGGAGTGAACATCATTGCGTCAGCGACGCAAGATTCGCCATTTGATCCAACACCACACAAAAGCGTTCCTTTGTTCGGTAACGAAAACTCTTAAAGATCTTGATCTGAGTACTGAGTCAGTACTACTGACTGGAAACTTTTGGAATGAGGAGGTATATCTTAAGGACCCCCGTCAACACTTTTAGAAAAAATATTTTCGGAATTTCAAAATTTTGACCCCGGAAATGGATTCTACGGGTCAAAAACGATTTTGAGGCTTCATTTTTGGGGGTCTATCTCGACTCCTTCGCCCTCAAAATCGCATTTGAAAATCGGACTTTTTGACGAAAAATGACGAAAAAGTCCCAATTTTGCTAAAATTTTAGATTTGTTTTTAAATTTTCGATTTTTTAGGAAAATTGTTGCCGGGGGTCCTTAAGTTCCTTAATGTTCTACCGCTTTCCTGGAGGGCTAGTGGAAAGAGTTTCTATTCCATCTTGAATCGTTGTTATGTCAATGATGTTGAGCCTGTTCGCGATCCAGACAATAGCACTGTACTCCGACCATTTTCCCTGGTAGGGATTTCGAAGAGGAGCTACTGGCATGTGAGAATTACGAAAATCCCCGAAAACTTTCTCGCTTGGGTCAAGAAAGTTGCCATAGAACTGAACGTCGACTTTTAATGATGGATAAAGCTTCATTGCGAGACGCGCCATTTGACGGTGCATCATGCGGATATCCGACGACACCTCTTGAAGCGTTGAATCATTTGAGCTCGGTGTGTTCACCAACACTAACACACTTTTTCAACGGCTATTCCCATAATTTCGTTTTTATGGAAAATATACAAAACAAGTGTCAAATGGATAAAGCCGAGTGCCTGTGTTTTATCGGAATATCCTGGAGTGGAACTTCCGCGTCTTCTATCGAGTCGAAGATAGATTGAAGAGCAATGAGGCCTCCGTCTTCTCTGCCATTTTCCCAGAAGTCTTCGTTCTCATCCTTTGAATCCTCTTTGCTTTCTGAGTCTTCTTTTGTTAAGGTTAAAGACAAGCTGGGACTACGAAGACAGACTCGACAGACTGTAAATATTATATTTTTGAAACGAAAGCAATTATAAAATATATTAAAATATCTGTAAAGACTTCTTTAACCACACTGAAAGCGCACTTGATGAAGAGTCATCATCGTTCGCTGTCATCTGAGAATATTCATCTTTATTCCTTTCTGTAAATTCGCTTCTTGAATACTGGAGAATATTCAGCAAAGTCAGACATATACAGAGCAGTGTCAATCTAAATACAATTCAAGGCTCGCTTTGACAAAATGCTCAAAATTCTTACTTGTCACCCTTTAAAAGCATATTTAAAAGAGATGTCCCTTTCCGGGAGATTTTTGCATGACGCTCCAATTCTAAGGAGTTTGTGTATTCTCCCTAAGTGAATTTCTCTACTTCTCTGGGAACTTCAGATCACCGATGAATGGTGGGTTTTTTCCTCTCATAAAAACCGATAATTATTTTCTTTGTCTTCCCTTCGATCGGGAAGAGTTGTTCACTTTCGAAAAACTACAGCTGAAAAAATTGCGTCACATCTTGGAGGCGCCATTTCGATTCATCCCCGGGCAAGGAACGATGAGAAAGCGCGTGGGCACCCAACCGCCGGTACTACAATTGTACAATTTCTGCCCCTCGGTCCGAAGATGTTGGGGGTCTAGTCTAGGGTTACTTAGGGTTACATAGAAGTCTTAAATGAGGAAGCATATTACAACACTTTATTTCGCAGAAACAATCAACAAAAATAAATATTAAGCAGATACAGGTACTTAGTACAGGTTTTTAATAAACTGTTTCATTACAGATATAATCAGTATCCGTTTTTAAAAACCGGTTTTTTATTTTTCTCAAATTCTGCCTCGATATTTTTGCGTGGATGTTGGCGGCCTAGGCATCCCTTTTCGCGATGCGTTTATGTACCTGAAAAATTTAATCGGTTTTTTTTATTTGCCATCGAAAAAATTACTTTAGGACTTCTTCGGTCGAGTAGCCAAAAAGCACAAAGTCCAAATAATAATGTCTGTAAATCTCAATAGCTGTCTCTCTCGGGACATTTTGCCAGTGAAGTTCATCTGGTGGCCTTTCTGTAGTTTCTGTATCTCTTCGATTCTTGACTTTTTCGTGTGTTCTTTCATCCCAAGTGTATTGCCCACCGATATGAACTTTTCCATCGAGACCGATTTCCTTCAGCAAGGATGGAATTTCCTCTTCGCTGTTTTCCAAATGCGTTATATAATTAAAATCCATTGCACAAGCAGAACAAAGGGAGAAAATAGACCTCCAGTGAATATTGTGCCCAGCTTGGCCTCGATTTGCCGCGATGAATTCGATAAACGATTCGAAAGATTGGCTCATTCCTTCTGGGATGCTGCCGAAATAGGGTTGAAAAGGCTCAATCGCGCCGTAATATCTTTCAAAATGGTTCATCCATTTGGGTGTAGCTCGCATTTTGTCGTGGTATGCTGAGTAGACTCGGGCGAATGGGTTTCTTTGAGCGATTTCTTCCATGATGAGGCAAATTTGTCGAAAAATGGAGAAGAGATGAATTACCATAAGACTTTTTGGCTAAAAAATTTTTCGAGGTATCACTATATTCTGAAAGCCCACATCAGAATAAGTGGATTCCCAAAGTTCTAGCGCCTAATGACGTAATTATGAACTCATTTATGACGATTAAAGGTTCGAAAAAGGTCCCAAAAGATGAAACTTTTTAACCGTTTTTAAGAGGATTTTGTTTGAAATTCAATTTTTCTTTTTGAAATCTTGTTCAGTATGAAAAACTGAATAATCACCCAGCAAAATTTCATCGAACCGACCGTTTTTATTTTCGACCGGCAAAATAACCGGTCGGTTAACTACGATATCGGACGGTTTTATGTCGGATGAGTATTCAGTTTTTCATGCTGAACAATATCCCGAAAAGAAAAACTTGAATTTCAAACAATAACCCTCAAAAACGGTTAAAAAGTTTTGGCTATCTTGATGCTAAAAGCATCTCTTCTGACGTCATAATGACGTCATCGGGCGCTAGAACCTTGTGAATCCACTAATTCTGATATGCGCTTTCAGAATATAGTGATAACTCGGAGAAATTTTTTTGGCCAAAAATTCTTATGGTAATTCATCAAGAGAAAATGAAGGGATTTTTAAAACCGTTTCCTTGTATTTGCGACTCGATTTGACGCTGTTAGAACCTCTCCAAGATTTCTATTTTCTTTGGTATATTGATGAAGTATTGGGGCGATTGCTCTTGGCATAATGTTATAGATGCTACCATAGGTATTCCAAGCTTGATGATTTTCGAGCTTTTCCGAGTACTCTTCTGCTGCTTCTGATCCGTTTGTCACTTTTAAATAATGAACATTAAGGCCCTTCTGCCAATTTGTTGTTCCGCTTTTTGGTGGTAGGCAAATCATGAGATCCATCGATTCTGTCAAGTTGAACACGTGTGATTTTGTGATGTTATTTGCGATGCAGCTATCGGTAAATTTGGGAAGAGGAGCCTTTAGGTTATGGATTTGTTCATGAAGTCGAAGAAGTTTTTAGCCCAGGAAATTGTTCGGATTTGAGAGTTTGCTGGATCAGAGGAAGAGCTTTTACGAGCTCGAGAGGCTGATTTTGAGACAAAATTGAAAAAAAAAAAATTAATCAAAAGTTTCTGGAGCCCTTTTCAGAACATGCTCGGTCGTAAATCAGCTTTCTTCTTAGAAAAACTTCTCTTGTTCGTATTTCTTGAATTTCTTCTTTCAAAACTCTCTCAGTATCGATTCCTGCGTATTCTTTCACGCTCGAAAAATCGCCAAAATAAATCATGTAGAATAAAATTGCAAGGGGAAAAATTATAAATGCTTTTTCCATTGTTTTTGACCAAAAATCTGGGTGACCAAATTTTGAAAGCCTCGTTGCGCGCCACCCATGTTATGCAGTACTCTAGAATTGCTGTGCCCGTGGGCGGCGCAGCGCGAGTCGAAAAACTCGTTCACGTAAAAAGCACGCTGGGTAAGGCCAAGTTCTCCAGTCAGAGAGAATGTTAACCCTTCCTTTTCTTCTTCTGGTTTTACTAGAATCATGCGTATCAGCAGATGAGAGACCAAACATAATTTTTGTGCTTACTGACGACTTGGGATGGTCAGATGTCACTTGGAATAATAGAGCCGTTGATTCAACTCCGTTTATGGCGAGTTTGATCGAAACGGGCAAAGCGAGCAAATTGAGAAACTCTTATTCGACTCACAGGAAGGGGAAGAATAATGAAATTGATCGTTGAGAGAAATGAAAAAAAACCCTCGAAAGATGCACTCCTTCGCGCGCTCAGCTGCTCACTGGTAGGTATGCTTTCCGATACGGCCTCGGAACGGACCCTCTTTCTTCCGAAGTTCCAGCTGGACTCAGCCTCGAGGAAAAGCTCCTGCCACAATACCTCAAGGAGCTCGAATACAGCACTCACGCAGTGGGGAAATGGCACCTTGGATACTGCAATGACTCATTTCTCCCGCAAAACCGAGGATTTGACACTTTTCTAGGGTAGGTATTACTAATTGCTCTCCTGATTTTAGTCTCAATTGAAGGCATTACGGGGGTGCAGTCGACTATCATAGCCATGTTGCTTCTGGCGATTTTAAAAACTATCTCAACCATTTTCTTGACGGAAAACCGCACATTCCTGAGAGTGGCTTCGAGTTCGCCTCGTATACTTGGAGCAACAGAACGATCAAAATTTTGAGAGAAAATGCAGATGAGCCAAATTTCGTGTACCTCGCTTTCAATGCTCCGCATGAAAAAGTCGATGCTCCACAAATTCTGAAGGTGAGAAATTTCTATTATCTTAGAAAAAAACCTTTTGATCGATTTTCAGGATGAAATGGACGCTCTTTATCCTGATTTACCAAGTACCCGACGAATGCAACTCGCCGCTGTTAAATCAATTGACATCGCCATGGAAAGTGTCATCAAAGAAGCATCAAAACTCGACCGAGAAACCATCGTCATTTTTCATAGTGACAACGGCGGCGCTCTCCAGGCCTATGGCAGTCTTGAAAAAGGTCCACGAGGATGCAGCTTTCCCTTCAAAGGATATAAAAGCACCCTGGCGGAAGGAGGAACTCTGAGTCCGAGTTGGATCTATTCAACTAAAAGGCAATTTCATTCGAGAAATATCGACGGAATCATTAGCATCATGGACTTTTTTCCGACGATTCTTCATTGGGCAGGAAAGCGCTCTAAAATGATTTCTTTATAAATAAATTTACAACTTACTGCTCTGAAAGCTCTCGAAAGGTTACAATAAACCGCTGCCGAGAAATCTCGACGGAATCGACCAACACGCGCTTTTCGAGAACTCGACTGTTTCTCAAATCAGAGATAAATTTATTTACGCGATTTTGCACGAATGGGACGATGATTCTCTTGCCTGGAAAACAACTTACGCCGTGCGTTTTGGAGATTTCAAGTTTATGAACTATCGATCAAAGCTCATCGGAAATACTCAATGTCCCGAAGGATGGTCAAACCACGAGCACACGAAGTTTCTTTTCCCGGATCCGAGTCAAAGACAAACGAAAATGAGAAAAGTTTGGGACTTGTCTGATCCTCAGCCGAACAAAGAAGTTGGCGAGATGATTCGAAGTTCTGGATTTTCACTCTATAATCTGAAAAACGACCCCTTTGAGCTCAACAATTTGGCGTTGAAGAATGAAGCTTCAAGAAAATACAAGGATTTGATCAACGAAATTCAATCATATGTAGCGGAGGAAATGCAGAAGGGAATCGAGTATCCGCTCACGGGAAAACTGAAAGGAGGCAAATTACTCGCTAAAATTATGAGAAAAATCCCATTTGAAGAGAAAATGCAGCACTACTACGACACTGGACGAATTTATCCTTTTGATAGGTATTGAGATTTTTAGTGTTCAATCCTGTTTCACGCAAGATTCTAGTGTTGTTCGAAACAAAACAGGTTTGGACGGATATCTGGGAAGTAACTGGTGTCCAAACAAGCTCGACGAAGCTTTATTCAGCAAAATGTACTTTGAAGCCGTCGAAAATAACCAAAAGGTGAGCAATTATAAAAAAAACGGATAGACGAAACATTTTTTTTTAAGAAAAACGCCTTTTTGATCAATAAATATCTCTGGGATGGCCTTGGTCCAGATCGAAGCGGAAACTTGGACGAAGAAGATTTCTGATTAAAAGAAATGAAATGATAATTTTAATGAAAATAAAGACATTAAACAAAAAGTTATTCTTTGAAAGTCGCAGAAATAGCCTTGGCCCCCTTAATCATGAGAACGAAAACAAGGTGCCAGATAGGGGTCAGCATAAATCTTGAAAGGGAGCAGCTTTACTGTCAGCGCCGCAAACTTGGCTGCAAGTCATTAACGCTCGTCAAGTCGCTCATAACTCGCCTCGAAAAACAATAATCAAGGACCGCTGATCACGTGTGAAATTTTATTTCTGCGGGGCGAATTTTGCAGAGACTGAGAAAAAAGAAGAAGACGGGGAATATGAACAGCGCTTTAATCCGGAAGAGAAACAATCAGGCCAAAGCGACCAGCAAAAAGCTGAGAGATAAATGGTAAGGAAAAAATCTGCCTAAATTTTTGTTGATTTGTGATTGATAAAAAAAGACTTGTATTTTGTTTTTTATATACATGTACATAACGATTGCTAGAGCTCGGCGAAGGGGAGGTGTCTGGAACCGAGAAAAAATTTCGACAGATTTTGCGTGGAAATTTTCAACCAATCAGAAGCCTCGATTCGGCAAACCGAGTAGCCGCCAACCAAAAATTTGTCGAAAATTTTTGTCAATTCCAAACACCTAGGCAACCTGTGTCAAAACCTGAGTCAGGTTTTGAAAGATCGCCTTATAATAAGAAATCTTTCAGAACCTGACTCAGGTTTTCTACACAGGTTTCCGAGGCCACTTCAATTCTTCGACCCTTAGATGAAAGAACAGTTTTTCTTCAAACAAGCAATTTTTGATACAGTAACAGTCTGGCAATTCGGGATTGAAATGCTGAATGTCGGGGTTTGACATTCACAAACGAGCGGATGAGTTCTTTCACCGACTGTCGCGGCCAGTTTGATCGATCATTCGCGACAGAAATTAACCTTTTACCGGAATCGCCGCTCATTTTAAATTTTTCTTTTTCAGGAAAAAGGCCGAAAAGCGAGAAATCAACCTTGGCCAGCTTCTTCTCTGCGCGCATTGTAATCCAAGGTAAGCGAAAAAAGCTGGGTAGAAAATCTGTGTCAGGGTCTGAAAAGCGGAGCGCCTGTATTGAAAACCTGAGTCAGGGTTAAAATTTAAAACAAAATGATTTATTAGGTTATTCTTGCGTAGCCGCTCTGCGGCTTTGTTTTTTAAAAAGCGGCTTTTAATTAATGATCTCTAAAACCCTGACTCAGGTTTTCAATACGAGTTTGCGAGTTCAGAAAAAGAGTCGTTTTTTAACTTTTCGAAAACGAAAGTGGATAGCGGTTATCATGGCTGGAATAAAAATGATTTACGTTCTCAAGCATTTACGGTCATAATTCTTGTTTATGAACATCCAAGGAAATAATTAGCGTCGAACGAAAAGGGTAGATGTGATGGTCATTTTTAAGAGAAAAAAAGGATAAAATGACTATTTGGACTTTTGGAAACAGTTTTAACAATAGAGTTAATCGACGACTTAAAGGGTGAATACCTTGTTTCTGTAAAATAAGGGGGTAACTACGCGATTCTCATTCCTGACTAACGGACTCCCCAGTCAGTCAAATCGGTTGGACACTTTACAATGCAAAATTTGTCCAAACGAATTGAATTGGTTCCGTGGGAACCCCGTCAAAGTCACTCCGCCCCCAATTCTTTGACCGGAGGTTGAATATATGATTACTCTTACCAATTCAGTTTTTTTTTTGACCACGTGATCACTTGGAGGACCCCTGGAGGACCCCACCTACTGGAAGACCTCTTTGCTGGAAGACCAATAATAACAGGGACAGACTCTCACATATTGAATTTTTGTGGTCATATTTCTACCACGTGATCGTGGAGGACCCTTTTTTTCTGGAGGACTCCTCTTCTGGAAGATTTTTTGTTGGAAGATCAAGTCTCAGCCCCGTCCCTGGCTTTTAAATTGAAATGGGCTTTAACTGTTTACGGGCTAGTTTTTCTTTTTTTTAACAAATTTAGTTCTAGAGAATATTCTAGAGATTAGATTCTAGAGAACTTAAAAAAGAAAATTTTGAACAAAAATTCCCTCTTTTTTACCGTTTTTCGACTCAAAAGTCCATTCTCCGCCATTTTCGGTCCAAGATTCTTTCAGCAATTGACTAATTAAGTGCGAACAATCAACTTTGATTGAGCCTTTAGCTCGAAAATTATGAGCAGGTGAAAGTTAGAGCCCTGTTAGATCAGGTTTCTACTGTGTTTTTTTTTCAAGCGAGAAGAAATTTGATTTTTTAGAGAATAAGGTGCTCTTTTTCATAACAGTAAGTTCGCCGATTCGACAAGGGCTTTTTATTTTAATGATAATTAATAATCGGCTCATTAGCATTAGCATTACTGGCGCTTGTTCAGAAAGAACCATTAGATGGTGACAAATTCGCAAAAGAAGTTAATTAACTTCCTCGTTTATCTTTATTATGCAGAAGAAACGGATCACGGCGGGCCAGGCCGATCTCCAGACCTTCCAGCTTTTTCGAAAAAGAGCTTCCTTCTTTGCAGAAATAAAGCGTTTTTAAGGAACATGCTTAGTTCTGTTGCTGGGCGAGCGCATGGATCGAGAGCGAGACCTTCAAAAGCCAGGTAAGAAAGAAAACTGTGTAGAAAACCTGAGTCAGGATTTGCCAGCGCGGCTTTTATTAAAAATCATTCTGAACCCTGACTCAGGATTTTTACACAGGTCAAATCGGATGAAATTTTTTATTACGAAATTTTTGCAATCAAAAATTTTTTTTTGAAATCAAGGAAGAGTACAAAAATCATAAATTCCCGATCAAAGCAAAAAAATTAAACCAAGATGGATGACAGGATTATTCGAAAGATTATGTTTTTACGATGCTAAAACTATGAACCTGAGAAAATGAGGCACGGAAAAAATCCGATTTATTAGAAATTTTTTAATTTTAATTTGAATGTTCGTCAGAGGAAGAAGGCATTCGAGTTTTAGCTTGGGCAGTTTGGGCGACTCGGGCAGATTTTTACAAAAGTAAGTTTTTTCTTTTTTATGAAATACAAGAGGAGCTATTAATCTAAACGGGCGGATTTAGTGGATAAGCATTAGAGTCTTGGCTCGAAAACCTGTGTAGAAAACATGAGTCAGGTTTTGAAAACCTAAAATAGAAAGCTACGCGGCCTTTTATTATATGGATATAGTCATCGATTTTGGTCAGGTCTCCAATTTTGGCCAAATCGACGACTATACCCTTAAGTCTTCAAAGCCTGACTCAAGTTTTCTACGCAGGTTTCCGAGCCGAGGGTACTTCAAGTAGTATCCAAGATAGAACATTTTCTAGCTCCCGGGAATAGCCCAATAAATAATTAGCCATGCGAGAGTTTCTTTAGAAATACGTTGTAGTGCGAACAAGTGAACCCTTGGAGCAAAGCATGTGTGTTTTGGAGCAGAAATAGAAGTAGTTTCTCGAGCTGCTTTGAGCGGATCAGGCGCGCTTATCTTGAAATATTCACTCAGACAAATTCTCCATTTTTTCTTAATCTCTTTGTCCCGAGACACAAGTGCATTTAAAAATATGCTGCAAGCCGGGTTTTCGAAACTGGTTACTGCTAAACAGAGAAGCGAGATTTGAGAAAAAAATTATGCTAATGCTTTCTCGAAGAACTTCGCTCCAGCCTTTTAACGGGTTCAATAAAGCCAGAAGGTGAGAAGTTTTAATGATTTTTACAAAAATTTAAGGGGGGTCTGTTGAATAAGGGGGGGGGGGCTTTTTTGGCCCTTTTTGAAGCCTGCTTTTATTGGCGAAATATTGCATTTGTAAGAGCTTCTTCAACTTGTTGAGGAAATCTTTTTGCGGCGTCGGAAACCTCAGAAACCATGAAAATAAATTCGCGCCTTAAAGACACTTCACACAGTTTCAGAGTCCCATTTAGGAGAGATGAAAAGAAATAGGAAAGGCTTCACATTCTCAAAATTTATCAATTGTAAAATAAGCGGCGTTCGTTTTTATGGTTTCTCAGGAAAAGGACCGGCTCGGCAACCTGTACAAAAAACCTGAATCAGGGTCTGAAAAAGCTTAGCGGCTTCTCGTAAAGATGTTTCAGACCCTGACTCAGGTTTACCACACAGGCTGCCAAGCCAAGCCCCTTTACGTTTTTTGTTTCAAACTAACTTGATACCAATGTATGTATACCAACTTATCGGTGTCTATCCATTTTAAATACCCTCCGAATTCTGCATCCCTTTAGCCTTAGCTACAGTAAATTATAGATGAAGACTGAGTCTGTTTGCCACGTTCTCCGCCACTTTGCCTAAATGCCGGTTACAGTTCGTTGCCTCCTTCTTAATAATTCTAGAGACAGCTGTAGCCACCAAATCGCTTCCTCCTATCCCTCAATATTTCCTTTAAAAATCATTATTAAAGAAGAAGCTCCTCCACTTGAGCTGCCAAAACAGACTTTTTTTGAATATTGACAATTCCCTTTTTTTTGTCCTTCTGAGAGAAGCTCAAAATAAAAGAGACTTTTTTATTATGCTGGGGCGGCGGTTGCAAGTGCCAAAAGCACGCGTCCATTGGAAAAAGGCTGCGCAGAAAATGAGCTTGTAAGTCGAGCTGGAAATTTTAACACTTGTCTCATTGGGAAGACGATGCGCTTTATCACTTTTTGAGTGATAAGGGCATTTTAAGACATTGGCTTATGTAATCACTATGTGTTTTTTTTTCTTAAATAATTTTATAATTTGCGGCATATTATATTATATAATATTTACCTAAGTTTTTAAGGAGCTTAAATATAAAGCCGCCTAGCGGCTTTTTTTTTTAAAAAGCCGCAATATGACCAATTCAATCATTTTTTTTAAATAATTGCGAAGCCGCTTTGCGGCTTCGATTCTTTCAAAAGCCGCTGCGCGGCTTTTCATTTGAGCTCTTTAAAACCTGACTCAGGTTTTTGCACAGGTTTTTTATATCAAATTTAGAGCCTCAAAGTTCTTTGTTTGTGAAAAATGAAAATGAGATAATTCTGCGATTTTGAAAATGCCCCGGATTTTGAGCAATAAAAAAGTAGTACTAGCAGAAGAAGGGCGCGCTTGTATTGTGAGTGCCGCGAAGATAAAAGTTGTTGAAAGTGTTTCAGCTCGGTGACATACGCGTTAGGCTCCGAGCTTATGGCTCTTTTTAAACGCTCAATAAGAGCAAAATGGGAAACCATGCTTCGAGAGGAGGCAGACCGTCGAGAATAATTCTGGGATACGAGAACAGAAACTGCCTCGGCGAGAATTACTGGTAAGCGGAAAGGAGCTCTTAGTGGCTTTTTAAGAGTGCCAAAGGGGAGAAGATAATAAATTAAGCCAGAAAGAGGGGCGAAAAAGAAAAAGGGATAGGTGGGCTAACGACAGAAACGAAACGGCTTAAAAGTGACAGGGAAGCAAGGCTAGAGCTGTCAAACTGAAATTTTGCCGAGTCACGTGAGCACCGAAACTTATTCGGAGGCCGATCACTGTTTTCAATTACAAACTTTATAATGGGGGTTATTTTTAATAATTAAAATATTTTATTTCAACATTATACTGAACATTTTTTATTATAATTTATTTATATAAAAAATTGATAAATATTAAATATTCCAATTTAAATAAATAATTTTAAGTAAATCAAAATAGATTTAAATTATAACAATTAATAACAAAGCCGATTTAAAATTTTGTTAATCTCTTAGTTAAATCTTTGAATAGAAAATCCGATAAATTTGCATTTTGAAAAGCATTTATCGAATCTGACAGTTGGTTAATTTTGCTGCTTTGGTAGGTTCTTTTGTTGAGTTTATTTATGGTCTATAAATCTTGGGCTTGTCGAAGGAGCTGCCAAACTCGTCAAGCGATCTTTCTCGCAAGGACTTCAAGTTGAACCCTTTCTTCCTTTTTCATCCCTTTTCGTTTTTTTTCAACCCTTTTTCAACAGAGATTTTCGGGATCCCAAATGCACCACGTCTCGATAAGACGGCTAGATTCTGGAGCCAGTTTCAAGAGACATTCGAAGCCGACCAGAAGGACTACTAAAGAAGGGTAACAGTAACTGACTGTAAATTTCAACAGCGGGCAAATAGAAAAACTTGTAAATACTGAAAAGTCAGAATGGAGAGAATCAGTCTTGGAGGCTTGCCAATTTTTTGATGGGAGATCCGCACTTTTATGCAGAAGGCAAATGTTGATTTTTGTTGCTTTTTCTGTATTTTCCTACGATTATTCGCTCAAATTATTTGATTTTTATTTGACTTTTTTGAACTATTCATTTTTTCTCAATAAAAGGGGCTACAAACTTTAACAGACAGATAACGATCTGGGCTAGGGGACCTGTGTGGAAAACCTGAGTCAGGGTCTGAAAGTTTGACGGCTTTTCATCAAAGATCTTTCAAACCCTGACTCAGGTTTTCCTCACAGGTTATCGAGCTAGTAGGAGTAAAAAAAATAATTTTCCAAGCAAATAAATCACGCGCAGTCGAATAATATTTTTCGTGACAATTAAAATGTTCTCACTAAAAATGATTTCTGCTCCGAATTCCGCTCGATCATCAATAATTTTCACTAATTGCCCGCTTTTTTATGTTCACAAGTATCCGAAGCGAGATCCGAACGTAAAAGCTGACGGCAATAAAGCGAGTGCTTAGTAAAACTGGAAATACTTTTGACTTTTGCGCTTCTTGACATTTTCGACAAAGAATGAGTCCTTTTCAGAAGCAAGAGACTTCCTCTTTTTCTCGCTGAAAAATGCTGCTCCAATTCAAGAGCCAAGTTAGAAGGAGTAGCATCCAGAGATGGGATCGGCAACCTGTGTAGAAATCCTGAGTCAGGCTTTGCATTGAAGCTTTTCAGAAAACCTGACTCAGGCGTTCTACACAGGTTGCTGAGCCTAGACACAGAGATTCCAGTAAGTCAAGAAAAAATGAACAACTGTCGTATTAGGAGACAATCTGGAGGGCAGCTTCTTTTTGAATAAATTTCAGCGGGCAAATAGACGGCCTCAAGCATCTGATCTTTTGTCAGAATACTCGCACATTACAGTTGTGAGGAAGTTGGTTTTTTCCTATCAGGGATCATGGAAGAAAATAGCGTAAAAGAGGAAATACAGGACTTGTAAGATTTCGTTTTTGAAGTATTTCTTAATTTTAACCCGAAATGATTCATTGACCAAAATTTTGGAAAAGGGAAAAATGTGCCTTGAAGAAAGAATGATTCAATTTTAAATTTATCAATAAACAAAAATAGCAAAAACCCTTGAGGCTAAAACGCTTAATCCAGAATTAAAAAAGGTACTTTCGTCAATTTCCCCCCGAAAATGCCGGAAGAAACAGAGGAAATTGAAATCGAAGAGTTCTACTTTTTTTTTCGTTCAAATTCTCACCCGTTATTTCAGGTTGACCCTGGACAACAGGACAAATGCGATAGTACCGGCGCCGCTAAAAGCGAATCGGGCGAGAATCAATGTCTCGGGGACGAAGTTTGAGACTTTTATCGCGACGCTAGAAAAGTATCCAGGTAAGAAAAGGTTGCCATTAAGGGTTTCTCGTTGTTATTTAAGGGGAGAGGTTTTGATTAAAGTTTGTTCAGCTTCATTTATTTGATTAATTGATCGCCAACGAGTTCAAACTTAAGGGTACTACCATCGATTTCTCGAACTTTTTCCTTTTTGGATATCAAAGGTAGTCCCCTTAATTTTCTGTTTTTTTTTTTAGATTCGCTACTTGGAAATCGCGAAAAGCGCCAAAAATTCTTCGATGCCGAAACTGACGAATACTTTTTCGACCGAAACCCCGAATGTTTCAAAATTATTCTGGAAAGGTCAAAAAACGCCTTGCCGGGGACAGTCTTTGCCGAGCACTTAAAATATAACTACTTGGAAAACACTTGGAGTCCAAGTTCATGTTTGAAAATTCATGATTTTTGACCTTGACTGTGAGTCGTTTCTACAGTCGGATAAGCTGACGCTGCCGATGACGGTGGACATTGAAACCCTCGCCGCGGAAATTTCTTACTTCGAATTGACGTTCAACTTCATCGACCGAGAAGTTCAAACTGAAGAGGACCTTTTTACAAACAAAAAAAAGGTATTGACCCCTTTTGAACCCTTTTTATTTAACAAACAAATGAAGACAAAAAAGGACAAAGTGGTAATAGTAAGGGTAAGAAATTGCATCTTTCGTTTGTCTCGTCAAAAATGATATGTCAATAGAAAATATCAATAGCATAAGTGCCAAACTACTAGAGAACTCTTTGTGTCTGTTTAGATGTCAATATTAAGGGTATATCAAGGGCTTAAGGCTTGGAAGCCCTTAATATACAGCCAGAATAAGTGCCTGTTTTTATCCGCTTTTTAGGAGAGCTCTCGAAATCGGGAAAAATTCGAAAAGCGATTTGGGACATGCTGGAGAAGCCGCAGAGCTCGACTTTTGCTTTCTGCTTTTCGGTGTTTATTCAAATGCTTATTCTGCTCTCCATTCTGATTTTCGTCTTGGAGAGTTTGCCTGAATATCGCATCGAATACGGTAAAATCAGATTATTCAAAAAATATTGTTCAAAAAATTTTCTCAGTGCCGACTTACATGGAGCCCGTTTTAAAATCCTTCAACTGCGAGGAAATAATCGACCGCTCCTGCTCCGTCTGGAACGACGTCAGTTCCTCCGACTGCCAACAACTCTGTCTCAACAACTCGATTCCAGACGACTGCTCCTTTTTCAACAACCGCCAATGTCACTCCGTCAGCTACGACGAATCCAGCAGGCAGTGCGTCTTCCAATCAAACTGCAAGGAAGAAGAAGTGCTCTTCGAAAAAGTGATAAACGACGAAAAAGCGAGCGACATCGAAAAAACACTGGCGGTTTTTAGCAGCATAAATGCTGTTTGCATCGCGGTTTTCACGATTGAAATTATTTTGAGACTCATCGCCACTCCAAAGGTACAAATTTGAGAATTTTTTTTAAGAAAAATAGTCTTCCATGATTTCAAAGACTAGAGTTAATCGAATAGGCTATTTCAATTTTAACCCATCAGTGCTTGCTAAGTCCAATCTTGGCTCGGAAACCTGTCTAGAAAACCTGAGTCATGGTCTGAAAGATCTTTAGTGAAAAGCCTAGTAGCGGCTTTTTTTAAAACAAAGCCGCAAAGCGGCTTCGCTAAAATAGAAGAAATTGATTCAAATTGAAAGATATTATATCCTTTTTAGCGAAGTTGCCTTGCGGCTTAGTTTTTAAAAAGCCGCTGCGCGGCTATTCATCTTGAGATTTTTCAGACCCTGACTCAGGTTTTCTAGACAGGTTGCTGAGCCCTTTATTTATTCCGGCAAGAGTTGATGGGTTAACTCATCATTGCTTTTTACCAATTATTTGGCTGTCGATCAGTTTTTAACAGTTGATTTAAATTTATCCAACACAGATTTTAATTGTGATTAATTAAAAATCTCGAATTAGAAAGAAGGCCCCCGTAGCAAATACAGCGGCTTCGGAGTAAGTAATTTCTTTCCACTTTGCATATTCCGTGCTTTGCATTTATAATCCGCCGTTGCTCATTCCATTTCCTCGTAACCCGCAAAACTAACCTTTCAGAGAAGACAAGAGCCACGGAAGAGAAAATCGAGCCGGCCGAGAGGCGTTGAAGAGAGTTCTTTTCACAAACGGCTGCGCTTTTTCTCAGCAGATTTCCGAGCTGCTCAAGGGTATCCTTTTTCGGGTATTTCTTGTCCAATCAAAATATTCATTCGTTTTTTTCAGGGTGATGATTTTTGTAAGCTATTTTTGAAATGCATGCTTTTGCAGAATTGCAGGTTTTTCAACGACTTTTCGACTAAAGCATCAATAAGTCCTTTTTGGGCAAATTTGCTCAAATAGGTTAAATTTAGCGGATGAGCCATTGACTTAGTTTGGCAACAAGTGTAGAAAAGCTGTCTCAGAAATCCTCTTCTCAGAGCCCTGAGGCAGTTTTTCACACAAGTTGTTAAACCAACTAAATGGTTTCTTCGCAAAATTTAACCCATTTGAGCAAATCTGTCCAAAAAGGACACAAATCAAAAGTCGTAGGAAAACGCCGCAACTTTGGTGTTTCAAAATTCCCTTCTTCATCATTCTAACCTCCTCATTTCTAGCCAAAAGCCTTCTTCCTCGACCCGCTAAATATCATCGATCTTCTGGCAGTTCTGCCATTTTACATCGAACTCGTGATTCTTCAGGTTTATGGTAATCATGCATGAAACAGATTTGGAGTTGGAGATGCTTTCTTTCCAGAATTTATTGAGTTCAAATTCGAATAGTGATCATTAGATTAGACCAGTAATTTTGCTTTTATGATTTGCTTGAAATTATGATCGAGCTCTCTTTTGATTGGCTAAGGTTGGAGCGCCACCTACTCTTTGATTTTTCTTGAATCTGATTAGACGGAATAAGGGAACTCAATTGATTTAATACTTAAATAATATTTATTACAATAACAAAATATAATTAATAATTAAATGATAAAAAATATATAAATATTTAAGTTTTAATGAATAAATAAAAATAATAATAAGAGATAAAATTATTGATGAAATAAATTATTCTGATAATTTTTAGATTCTGCTGTTTCTTCATTTTATTGTCATATTTCTTTTGAAATATGCTTTCGACATTTTTTTAAATATTTTTCTTTTGAAAAATTCGAAAAAATTAACAAAAAAAACCTCCCTCTTTTGAAATGATCTAACAAGAATTGATTTTTTTTTCTTTCGCTGGGCGAGTTTTATTTTTGATTGGCGCAAAAATGAGCAGATCAGCTTTGTCAATGTCGTTGATGTTATCATATAAGAGCTCCAAACTGACATTTCTGGAGAGACGAGCGAGCAGAAATCGGAAATGTTTCGCATTTTGCGAATTATTCGGCTCATTCGCGTCATTCGCATCCTCCGCTTTTCCAGATACAATCAGAATCTTCAAACTCTTGGTAAGCCATTTCCTCGGCTCGGAAACCTGTGTACAAAACCTGAGTCAGGGTCTGAAAGAAAACTAATGAAAAGCCGCGCAGCGGCTCCTTTATCCAAGCCGCGAATTTTGCGGCTTCGTTTTATAAAAGCCGCCATGCGGCTTTTCATTATTGATCTTCCAGACCCTGACTTAGGTTTTTACACAGGTTTCCTAACCCAGGCCTTTTCTTATAAATGACCATCTGTTGACGTTTTTCTAAGGAAGGAGTTTGCTGAAATCAACGAGGGAAATCGGCTTTCTGATCATGTTTTATTTGATCTTCTCGATTTTGTGCGCGACGATTGCTTTTTACGTCGAAAATGAAGTCGAGGACACTGGATTCGACAGCATTCCAAGGTACTTAATTCTTTCTCGTCAATTAACCGCTAATTTCTAGTTCTCTCTGGTGGGCAATCGTAACGATGACTACTGTAGGCTACGGAGACATGTTTCCCGTAACAGGTAAGCAAACAAACGACCGGCTCCATTTCTCTTAACCCGTTTTAGGAATTGGCCGATTTATTGGCTGCATAGCTGTTTTCTGCGGTATTCTCTGCGTTGCACTGCCAATTCCATTCATTTCGAATGCCTTTGAAATGGAATACAAGAAAGTTCAGGTAAAAAAGAAATATTTATTGAATTGGTTTGGTAAACATGTAAGCAGTTTCCTTTTCTGGAAGTATCTCTCTGCCTTTTCGAGCTCAACTGTCGTCGTTTTTTTCGACGACAGAGTTCGCAATGCGGAGAAATTTTCTCTGTTTATTTTCTCGCCTTCGTAATTTCTGAAAAAATTTGTTTTTTCTGAATAAAATTCAAGAGCTTACCTCTTTAAAACGCCCTTCGGACTCTACCAAGCCAGTAGACTGATCATTCCAGCTTTTTGCGCCCTATTTATAGCGAAAATTCTTGATCTAGAAAAAAATTCCTTCGCGCGGCGCCTTTTTTGAAGCAAATTTCTCTAGACAAGCTTGTTCCAGAGACTCTTGCCATTTCCCCTCCCTCTCAACGGCCGCTGGTATCTAGAACCTTTGCTTCAGATCAAGTCGAAATTCCCGCTGGACGAGCAAGAGCCCGGCGAAGACGAGACGCTCCGAATGCGCCTGTGCATGTACCTCTTCGAGCTGCAAATGGAAGGCTGAGACCTACACAAAAACAAAAACGCAATTTTCAACTTTTGATTCGAGCTTTGGGAGCACTGAGATGGGAGAGCCTTTCTTTGCTGATTATCGATTCGGATTCCATCAACTGACAATTTCTGTAAAATGAAAAATCATTGTGCCACACTTTCATCCAAACAAATAAATTATTTTCTTATAAAAGTGGCTGATTTCTTGAAGGTGATTTATTGAACATTGTGGAAAAATTTAGCCGAAAAAATTATAAATAAAATCAAATAATTTTTTTAATTAATCAAACCCTAACCCTAACAAATTTACTTCAATAACAGAAATTTTAATAAGTAAACTTTGTAGAAGAGACCACGGGCTTTTCAATGAGCTAGGTCACTAAGTGCCAATCCTAATATTTCGAGTACTTATGTACACTTGAATTCGAGCATCTCTTTTTCGATCATAACTCGGCTCGTCGGCAAGATATGAAAATTTTAAAAGACGGAGATGAAAGAGAATAAAAAGTTTTGTTTGTGATCAAAATTTCACATAATTTCAATAAAAAGTTCGGGCTTATTGGCGGAAGTGAAAAATGAGAAAATGGCGCGCGGCGCTCACCCGGCCTAGTCCCTTAAAAATCTTCAAATTGTATGAATCATAAAAAATAGTCGAAAGCTTATAAAAACTTTGGTTGTACATTTTGAAATCAGCCTGGGAATCAACTTCAAATTCTAGACACGTGGAAGCGCTGGAATGTAATTCGATAATATCAACGCTTACAAGCCAAAATAACCACAGTAACAATTTTATCTGAAAGAGCCACGAGATTCTTTACCAATGAATTAAGACAAACTTGAATTTTCATCAAAAGAAATGCATGTATTCAGAAAACGATCAAAGAAAAAAGCAATTTGCGACAATTAAAAATAATTATTTTTCCTCACATTTACTTTTTCTTTCAATTAATTTGAAAAAAAAACAGAGAAAATGAAAAATTCGAAAGTCAACGAAGCGGCTCTCTTTTCGAATTTTTGCGAAAACACTTCCGCCCATGGTCTCGGAAAAATCTCCGGATCAAAGAATCGAATTCTCAAATCGACTTGGGCGCTCATTTTTCTGATTTCGCTGACGATTTTCTTCTGGCAGGCGACAATGCTGATCCTGGATTATCTCGAGTACCCGGTGAACTTGACGATGAAAGTGGTCAATCATCGCAACTCGACGTTTCCGGCCATCACCATTTGCAATCAGAATCGATTTCAAAATTCGAAATTGCAAGGAACGCCTTTTGAGCCGCTTGTTCGAATCGACGAGGCGCTAGAAAATGACCCGACGCTGAAAAGAAGAAAGAGAAGATTTGTGGAGCTGCAAGAGTTTTCTGATTTTGAAGAAAATGACAGTCAGCTGGTTTCGGATCTTTTCGTTCGGAATGAAAAACTCAACTGGACAATGATTCTTGACCAAGTCCCTGTCGATCGAGTCGCTTCTTTAGGACCGGCCGAAAAAGTGACACTTCTTTGATTGGCGAGAACGAAAAGCCGCTTGCAGCTTGGAGAAAAATGAGGCAGAAGAGCCGCATAATGCGGCCCGCATTATAACAGGCTTTATTTTTCCTACTCAAAGCCGCAAGCGGCTTTTCACTTGCCAAGGCTACGAAAATCTCTTCCTTGATTTCAAATTCTTTTTCAGCCGAAAACAAGACAGCCTGATTTCCGCTTCGAAAGAAGAATCTGAGCAGTTCGGGCAAAGCTTTGAAGATTTTGTTATTTCATGCGAATTTGACCAGGCTCCTTGTGGAAGGGATGATTTTTTGACTTTTCAGCATGAGCAGTATGGAACTTGCCATACTTTCAATGGTCATTCCATGAAGAAGAGGAGTACCTCAAACATCGGTTAGTTTCCCCAAATAAAGAGAATCTCAAAGTCTTGATTTCAGGAACGGAGTACGGATTGAAGCTGATTCTCTTCGCCGACGAGTCCGAATACGTCGGCGCCACCTCCGCGACCGTCGGAGTCCGCTTCGACATCCACCAATACGGATCAATTTCGTTCCCGGAAGAACACGGTCAAAACGCTCCAGTTGGCGCTGCAACGGCCGTTTCTCTCAGAGCGAATCAAATTTCAAGAACGGTTCTACCTTGGAACAAGGAGAACTGTACCAATGTTTATGACTCGAACGATCCGGAGTTTGACGGACATTATACTTACAGAGCTTGTCAGAAAGGATGTCTTCAGCGGCATTTGAGGGATGAGTGTGGCTGTGTGACGTCATTGTTTTTAAAGAAAAATGACCGTGTTTGTGATTTACTGCACAAAACAACTTGTAAGTGCCTGTATTGTGTCGTCGTTAATTGATTTAATTGAAGACCTTTGTGTTGAAAAAATCAAGGAAGACTTCAAATCAGGGCTAATTAGTGACTGTTTCTGCAGCCAGCGTTGTTCCGAGGTCTTTTATGACTGTACGTAAAACTTTCTTTAGACAATGAATAATATTTTTCCAGTGCACTACAGTACGGTAAAATGGCCGAGTTCTCAATACGAAGGGCTGTTGCTCAGCGCGATTTCGAATTCAACCGCTGCGGCAAAAATTCGCAATTCGACTGATCTCCAGTCCGCTGTGGAGGATAATCTGCTCCGACTGAGCTTCACCTTCGACGAATTGAACGCAAAACTGATCGAAGAAAGCCCAAAATACGACATTTGGACGCTTTTTGCGAATATTGGCGGAACACTCGGACTATACGTCGGAATTTCATTTATTACTTTGTTCGAATTTCTCGAAGTTGTTGCCGACATTTGCCTGTTTACCTGCTGCTATCGTTGTAGTAAAGACTAAATTCAATAAAAAGCTTCCTTTCTTTATGGCGGATAAACTTCTTGAGCCCAGCGCCTGGGGCCAATCAGAACGCTCGGAGATTCGCCATCTTTTCTCGCTCTTTTTCAATCTCCCGTTTTTACTATTTTTCGCACTTTTCCGCGTAAAACAAACAAATCAACAGTCTTCAAGAGCATCAACATGTAGAGAAGAAAACAGTCGAAAAATGAGGATCTCATTGGTTTTCTCGCTTTTAGGACTCGTTTTTGGAGAGAAATTAAAATATGAAAACAGCGAGTCTGACAGACCTAATATCGTTTTTGCGATAATTGATGATTACGGATACAACGACATTGGATACCACCAGGTAAATAAACATTTGAGGCCATGTAAAGAGCTGTTCTTTGAAATAGGACATCATCAAGACGCCGAACATCGATGCTATTTCCGCCTCCGGAGTGCGCCTCGAAAACTACTACGTGCAGCCAATCTGCACTCCCTCCCGCTCCCAGCTCCTCTCTGGCCGCTATCAAATCCACACTGGCCTGCAGCATCAGCTCATTTGGATGGGAATGCCCTCCGCTCTTCCCTTAGACACGGAATTGCTCCCCGAGACGATGAGAAACTGCGGCTACCACACGATGGCCGCGGGAAAGTGGCATGTCGGCTATGCCAAAACGGCAAACACGCCTTGGGGCAGAGGATTCCAAAACTTCACCGGTTACCTCGGCGGATCGGAGGACTATTACAAGAAAACGCGGTGCTTGGACTCGCACACTTGCGGAATCGACCAAAACACGGATGGAGATGTTTTCGGGCAGCGAGTTTACGAAGCTGATCCAAGCGAATACTCGGCGTTTAAATACATTCGCCAGGCGAAAAAGTACATTGACGGGCGAGACAAAAACAAGCCCTTCTTTCTCTATCTTCCCATGCAATCAGTTCACGCGCCGCTCGAAGCACCAGCCGAGTACATCGCAAAATACGACGGAATCATCGACGACAAGCCGAGAAAGATCTACGCGGGAATGGTGTCCGTGATGGACGAAGGAATAGGAAACATCACTTCACATTTGAAGGAAGCTGGCTTGTGGAACAACACGATCTTCATCTTCTCCACTGACAACGGCGGACAAGCTTATGTCGGCGGCAACAACCTCCCTTTGCGAGGCAACAAGGGCGGCTACTGGGAAGGCGGCGTTCATGGAAACGGCTTCGTCGCTGGAGGATACTTTGAGACCCGAAGAACCGGGAACGAAGTCGTCAACAAGGAGCTCATCCACATTTCCGACTGGTACCCGACGATCATGGAAGCTACTGGCTGCCAGAAAGCGCCGAATTCGCCCGATTTGGATGGAATGTCTCAGTGGAAAATGCTCCTGGATCTGGAGCAGTCTCGTGAGTCAAAATTCTAGCGCGCTTTTTTTATTGAATTTCGTTAGCTCGGGATGAAATTTTGCATAACATCGACGAAATGACCGTGGCGAAAGGCTCTGACAATCGAACTTTCAAGTCGGACTTCGATATTTCCGTCCAAGGTAAAGCAAAAATCAACCCTCAAAATTCAACCCAAAAATTCAAGCGGCGATCCGCTGGAATAACTGGAAATTGCTGACCGGCGACCCTGGCTACCCAGACTTTCCAATCACCATTCCTCCTCAAGGCAACAAAAAGCCCATTTTCACGGTCGAAAACGGGCTTCAATACCCAATCCCGCCGCGGCCAAAACCTCTCGACCGACTCGTCCGCCTCTATGACGTCATCAAGGACCCAACTGAGAGCAACGAGATTTCAGACTTCCATCTGGACGTGGTTGAATTTCTGCTAGATCGACTTTCGTTCTGGAACTCGACGCAAGTGCCGATCAATTTTCCCGATGTGGATCCGAAGAGCTTTCCGGAATATCATCAGGGCTTTTGGAAACCTTGGCTTGGCTGAATAAGTGAACTTTGCTGAAAACTGAGAGAAATAAAGAAAAGCATAAAAAACTGAGGAATTACCTTAATCTTGAATTTGAGAAAGAACTCGTCTGTATGTAATTACACTTTAATTTATGCATCGATAGACCCGCTGTAAGGTAAATTTTAGCTTCCGGAAGTCAAACATTCGTTGAAATTTACTCAGCTCAGCAGGTAATCTCGCTCACTTCCTTCCTCCATCAAAAACCCCTCCTATTCCAACGCCCTATAATTTCGACTAAAAATTCGACTTTTACTGGCATGGCGTGGAATTTTTGCAAATTGAATGCTGGGATTTAAACAAGCTCACTCTCGACGATTTTCTTGGCTCAGTCGAGATCAGGTTCTCTTCCTTGATTTATTTTCTTCAACAATCAAAATACAAATAAATTAAACGAAAAATATATTTTTATTTCGCCTTTAATCAGTGAACAATCGCTGTCGAAATCATCTTCGTCCTTCTCCATGTTTCCGCTGCCCAAAGTAGGGGTATTTCGATCTGGACCGCGGCCATCCCACAGATATTGATTGATCAAGAAAGCGTGTTTCTGCAAAAAATAATTTGACTTTTTATTATTTTTTGATATTTTCTCACCACTTTGTTGCTTTCGACGGCTTCAAAGTACATTTTGGTGAATACAGGCTCGTCCAGTTTGTTTGGACACCATTTGCTTCCGAGATACCCCTCTAAACCTGTTTCGTTTCGAGTAGCACTAGAATTTTGCATGAAAAAGGCTTCAACACTGACAATAAAGACACCTGTCGAAAGAGTGAATTCGTCCAGTGTCGTAGTAGTGCTGCATTCTCTCTTCGTATGGCATTATTCTCATAATTTTTGCGAGTAATTTGCCTTCTTTTCCCGTGACCGGAACCTCGATTCCCTTCTGCATCTCTTCCGCTACATATGATTGAATTTCGTCTATCAAATCCTTGTATTTTCTTAAATTTTCATTCTTCAACGCCAAATTGTTGAGTTCAAAGGGGTCGTTTTTCAGATTATAGAGTGAAAATCCAGAACTTCGAATCATCTCGCCAACTTCTTTGTTCGGCTGAGGATCAGACAAATCCCAAACTTTTCTCATGTACTTTTCTCTTTTACTCGGATCCGGGAAAAGAAACTTCGTGTGCTCGTAGTTTGACCATCCTTCGGGACATTGGGTATTTCCGATGAGCTTTGATTGATAGTTCATAAACTTGAAATCTCCGAAACGCACAGCGTAAGTTGTTTTCCAGGCAAGATTTTCTTCGTGCCATTTGTGTAAAATCGCGTAAATAAATTTATCTCTGATTTGAGAAACAGTCGAGTTCTCGAAAAGCGCGTGTTGGTCGATTCCATCGAGATTTCTTGGCAGCGGTTTATTGTAACCTTTCGAGAGCTTTGAGAGCCGAAAATTTTTTGATTGAAAAAATTTTCTTGGGCTCTTTCCTGCGAAATGAAGAATGGTCGGAAAAAGTCCATGATGTTGATAATTCCGTCGATATTTCTCGAATGAAATTGCCTTTTAGTTGAATAGATCCAACTCGGACTCAGGGTTCCTCCTTCAGTCAGGACGCTTTTATATCCTTTGTAGGGAAAACTGCATCCTCGTGGACCTTTTTCAAGACTGTCATAGGCCTGGAGGGCGCCCCCGTTGTCGGATTGAAAAATTACGATGGTTTCTCGGTCGAGTTTTGATGCTTCTTTGATGACACTTTCCATGGCGATGTCAATTGATTTCACAGCGGCGAGTTGCATTCGTCGGGTACTTGGTAAATCAGGATAAAGAGCGTCCATTTCATCCTGAGGATGGCGTCTTTTTTCAAAGATTGAAGACCTTCCTTACCTTCAAAACTTGTGGAGCAGCGACTATTTCATGCGGAGCATTAAAAGCAAGATACACAAAATTCGGCTGATCTGCATTTTCTCTCAAAACTTTGTTCGTTCTGTCCTGGGGTCGGCATCCGTGCACGGCGCCCGGGGCACGTGCCCCGCCCCGCTGCCCCGAATGCCCCGTTTTTTACAACGGGGCGGGACGGGGCACCGATTGTATGGTGCCCCGTTGTGCCCCGCTTCACTATTCTTGGTAAAATTGAGGTTCTAGAAATGGATTTGTGGCTCAGGGGCACACGGGGCAAACGGGACACGCGGGGCGGGGCGGGGCACCATGATTCGACGCGCCGATGCCGACCCCAGGTTCTGTTACTCCAAGTGTACGAAGCGAACTCGAAGCCGTTCTCAGGAATGTGCGGCTCTCCGTTTAGAAAATGATTCAGATAGTTTCTAAGATGCCCTGAAGCAGCATGAGTATGGTAGTCGACTGCACCACCATAATGACTTTAAATCAGCTGAAATCAAAGCGAGAATGAGAACCTACCCTAGAAAAGTGTCAAATCCTCGATTCTGCGGGAGAAATGAGTCATTGCAATATCCAAGGTGCCATTTGCCCACTGCATGAGTTGTGTATCCGATCTTTTTCAGGTATTCTGGCAGAAGTTTCTCCTTGAGGCTGAGTCCATTTGGAACTTCGGAAGAAAGAGGGTCCGTCCCAAGGCCGTATCGGAAAGCATACCTACCAGTGAGCAGCTGAGCGCGCGAAGGAGTGCATCTTTCCAAGAATTTCGCATTTTAACGATTCAAGCCTTGAATTTCAAGGATCCTTCATTCTAGTTATTTTAATTCTCTTCCTATGAGTTGAATAAGAGTTTCTCAATTTGCTGGCTCTGCCCGTTTCAATCAAATCCGCCATAAAAGGCGTCGAATTAACGGCTTTGTTATTCCAAGTGACATCTGACCATCCCAAGTCGTCAGTAAGCACAAAAATTATATTTGGTCTCTCATCTGCTGATACCCACGATTCGATAAAAATCAGAAGAAAAAAAGGAAGGGTAATCATTTTCTCTTTGATCGGAAAAAATATTATTTGAGCGTGATTTTTTAAAAAGGCCGAAAATTATCTCATCTCCGAATCTGTTTTTCTGAGATTTTCAAAATATGAATTTTCTTCCATGCGCGCTTTTTGGATCCGAAGTTCTAGTTTTGGAACTTTTTGCAAGGATAAATCAGATAAATAACCAAGGAAAAATCTACATTCTGATTGCCTCGGTTTTGCTGAGCCTGATTTATTTTGAGGTAGTTTTCATTAGGCTAAGCTTACTTAGCTTAGATAGAAATAAATAAGCTTAGCTAAGCTAAATTGAATCGCTTGGCTAAGTTAAACTTAGCTCAAAAATTTAAGCTAAGACTAACTAGCTTCAACATGATTTTAGCTAAGTTTGCTTAGCTTACTTAAATAACTTATTCCGAATAAGCTTAGGGCGCCTAAGTTAGGGGGAGATACGACTAAGCTTTGCTAAGCTTAGTATTTTGAAAGAAAAAAATTCAGCTAAGCCAAGCTTAGCTTCATTTTTCAAGCCGAATACTGAAAAATAATTTCATTATTTGCTAGAATTAAAATTTTATGAAAAATATTTTTTTATCAAAACAGAAATTATAAAAACGATGCTCCTGAAAATCTTTCCAGAAGCCATTGAATTTGAAGTAGTCTTCTGAGCAGCGCTTGTTTGAAATTTGCTTGGCGATTGAGCAAATCTTGTCCGAACATTTAAATTTTCATTTTGATTTCTTTGCTTGTTTGAGCATTTCTAATTTCGAGATATCAAACCATAGCGACAGAGAAAAAATTAAAAAGCGCTAGAGGAGCTGTTCAAACAGAAAATTTGAAACAGAAATCAGAAGACAATTGTTTCGAATTTGTAAAAACGAAAACGAAGAAAGAAACATGATGATTGAAATGAACTCGAACAATGACCTGGGACTCATTGCCGAGGAGGCCTCTATTCCAGAGATTGACGAGTCTAAGGTAACACTCGCAACAAGAAAACCTGAGTCAGGGTCAAAAAGACCTCTTACTAGAAAGCGCGTAGCGGCTTTTTTCTAGGACGAATTCGCTTTGCTATTTTTTTGATGAATTTTCAAATCCTGGCGAAGCCGCCCTGCGGCTTTCTTTAAAAATTAAGCCGCTCTGCGGCTATAAATCAAAATTTCTCAGACCCTGAATCAGGTTTTCTACACAGGCTAGATGAGCGCCAATTTGATTCATAAACTTCTGCTTTATTGGGGGGATACCCTTAATCTTCCCTTACTCATTTTCCAAAGGAAAACTCCTTATTTTCCGAACCGTTAACCTACCACCGCCCTTTGGTCCATTTCCGACCAATCTCCCTGCCCGAGGTAAAAAAAACAAGTCCATGCATAGAAATATCTTATTATTTGTATGCCCTTAAATGTCCTGACTCCCAGGCATGCGAAAATCTAAAGTTAATACTTCAGATGTTCAAATAAATTCTCTTCCGGCGTGAAGAAAATTCATTTTTTTAAAAATTCAAAATTGCAAAATTTCAAAATCAGAAATTTCAAAAAACAAATATTTCATTCTTCCTTCTTTTTTTTTGGAATCCGTTTTCGTTTTCTTCCTTGATCAGCAATTTTTGTTGACAGAACTCTTCAAAAAGTCGATTTTTGTCAGAAAGAAAAATACAGTTCTGAAGTTGTTCGCTTGATAATGTCATGTTGATTTTGACGTTATCGCAGGAGATGAAATTTTTTTTAAGAAAACACGAAGGCTCAGTCGGAGATTTTCAAGGGCATTTATTGGCAAAGCAAGGAGACATACGATGACGGAATTGGTTGAAGATCGAAATTCTAGGAAAAGATTTGAAAAATAGAAGAGCTCGCTTTCGGGGCTAAAAAAGCCGCGCGCTGCTAATTTTCGAAAAAATTTTCTTTCTCATAATCTTCGAGGGAGAAAAGACTTAAGCCGCGCTTTTTGCGGCTTTTTTGTTTTTTTTGCTCGAAGCCGCAAGCGGCTTTTCGTCTATTTGTTAGCAAATTGAAGAAAAAGACTAGAATTTTAATCAAATTTATCCGCATGCGGCTTTTTGAAAATTAGGCCCAGTTTTCAAAATCTTGAAAAGACGAAGTTCCTTAAAATTTGGCCGAGAGGAAACTCAAACTAGCACAGGTAAATTTCAAATTCGCCAAAAATGCAAAACTCTTTCTTATTTTATTCGTTTGCACTTTTTCGAAAATTCTCGTTTTGTTTAAAAAGTTGTAAAATTTTACGCGATAATGAGCTTCTTTTCCACTTTGATCGTAAATTTGAAGCTCATCCGGCTTCGTTTTTGGGGCGGCAGCGATCTGATTCCGTGACGTCGGGAACAACTGCTGCGGATGGGAGAAGGGGAAGTCTGCTTTTTGGAAATCGGCGAAATTCTAGCGTTAGGAATCGTTGCGAAAATGAACCTTTTAGAAAGTTTAATTTCACGTCGCTTTTCGACCTCGTTTTGAATGAAAATTCGGCAACGCTGATTTGAGGGCTTTGGCCGATTCGAAATTCCGCTCTGCGGTCAAAAACACCATCATGGTAGAGTAACCGACCGATTAAATTCGAGACCGAGACACATTTCTATTTGTGTTTTCGAGGGATTAGCGATGCAATATGAAGCGAAAATCGATGAAAACTGAGCTCTTTATTTGCCTTTATTACGAGAAAATAACAGTATTTGAAAGCCAAGAAGCTGAGGTTCATTTTGACTATCGACAGTAGGGAGGTTCAGTCATGCCCTGAGGGGGTTTCGGAGCTCCAAAGTCATGTAAGTATAGGATATCCAAAAAAAGCCCTCGGGGCATGCTTGACCCCCCCTACTGTCAATAGTGGAAATGATCCTGAGCTTTTGGGCTTTCTATAACTGTTATTCTCCTGTAACTGGGGCAAGTAGGAGCTCAGTTTCAACGATTTTCTCCAGGAAAACATATTGCCAATATACCAAGTTTGAGTATATTTAGGAAAAACATCCTTTTTCAGAAACAGCGGGCAACGGTGTTTCCTATCACGCGATTTAGAATCGTTTTGAAGGAGTTTATGATGGTAAAATTGTCGATAAACAAAAGCAACAATCAATATTCTTTTTCAAAAATAATCATTAGCCGAAAAGTGAATAGCCAAATTCAGAAAAATCAGTCTTATTCCCTCAGAAATCGGTTTTATGACGAATCGACGAGCTAGTATGACGGTAAGAAACGAAAACAATCAGTTGAAAAGAGCGTCGAATACAGGAGCAATACTGTAACTTGCTTTGTTTAGAATAGATTGACAAACGATGGAAGGACATTTTCAGGCCTGCCGATGACATTTTACAACCCGGAATATCAAGGAACGGGTCAGATTTTGATTTTTTGAGGTGGTTTTGAAATTCTAGCCAATGTTTTCAAGCCTTTAGTCGACTATTTAAAATAAAAACTCGATTAAATTTTTGACCAGTCGAAAATTTCAGGGAAAAAGTCGAAAAAATCGGGAAAATTGAAAAATTTGCCGAGGAAAAATCAACATTTTCGACAAGTTTTTCGACTTTTCCGACATAATTCTCGACAAAATCAATCAATTTGTCGACCAGTCGAAATTTTTGTCGACAAACTTCACCCTGGACTTGGCAACCTGTGTTGAAAACCTGAGTCAGGTTTGATAAATAATTGAAAAGGTTATTTTGCCTGACTCAGGTTTTCTACACAAGTTGCCGAGCCCAGCCTTGAGCGCCCAAAAGTGCCGAGACATATTTTTCGCACACGTGAGCATTTTCACAGGACGGCCAAATCCTCGGATCCGAAGTCCTTGGCGCATCATCCGAATTCGCTTAATTTTAATTCGCCCGGATCAATTCGGCGATCGGAATTTCACTCAGCGCCCAGATCTTCGGATTTCTCCGATTTCAAATTTTCAAAGCCAGTTTCCTTGCTTTTTTCAAAAAGGATTTAAAAAGCTCTGAGCCTGGGAAAAAGAACGTGAATTGTTCGAAAACACCTACAAGCTCAATCCAGATCGCAAATTCAAGTAAGTTTGTTTTTCTTGAGCAGCATCTTTTCTTCAAGAGCATACTGTCACGAATGACTGTTTGTTGTTTGTGAAGCTGGGTAAAGAGAGAGTTCCAGGAGAGTTTGTACTTTACAAACAAATTTATCACTTGATGAACAGCTTCAAAATAAACACTGATGTATCGAAAGCAATTCATTTTATTACAGTAGTTTTCGATACGAAAAGCGCGAGTATACTCGGGCACGTGGGTTTCTGGGCTTGGAAACCTGTGTAGAAAACCTGAGTCATAAATTAAAAGGTTATTTTGCATAGCCGCTTCGCGGCTTCGTCTCTTAAAAAAGCCGCTCCGCGGCTTTTCATTAAAAATCTTCAGAATCTTTAAAATTCAAGATCAAAATAGGATCGTAAATTTTGCTGTGACTGGAAGACTGTGGTCAATTGGACATTTGTTGATAATTTTTTTTATAACTTTGTATTTCAGCGTGGCAAATGTCAAGCCCCTTATCGCGGCTACAGTGGCGAAATTTGCGGAGAACTCGAGCTACAGCCACTACCACGCCCAGAGCCGCGTGGGAATGATGTGCGACAGGGTGCGAGAAGAACTCAAGCAGTTTGGCTACGCGCGCTATCGATACATTATTTCAGGTTTGGAAATTTTTCTCGATCGAAAATCCCGATTTTCAGGCTTCATCGGGGAACAAGGAAGACACGGACTGCACATCGCTTCGAGATCGCTCATCAACGACACTTTCGACCGCTCCTTCGAAATTTCAATCAACACGCCGAAATGCATCACCATTTGTACTGTCCACGCCATTTTTACTGAATAAAAAAACGTAAATCAAAACGCGCCGCGCTAATCCGAAATCAACAGCGCCATCTGAGCGGTTCACGAAATTCTCAAAATTCTCCTTGCTTTTCACTTTGTGAAAAAAATACAAAGAGAAAGGCTGAAAAGATGAAAATCGCACACTTTGGAATTTCGGGAGTTTTGGGAAGCTCGCTGCTGAAATTCGACTTGGCGGAAAGAACGAGAATAATGGAGCAAAGCTTGAGTTTGAGAAGATGGGACAATTTTTATGAAATGTTTATGGCCAAATACGACTTTGTAAGTAGAAATCACTCTTTTCTATTTCAGTCTCGGCTCGGCAACCTGTGTAGAAAAACTGAGTCAGGGTCTGAAAGATAATTTTTTAGAGTTGCAAATTTGCTGAGCTGAGTGAGCTGAGCAGTCGCTCAGCTCAGTGATTTTGGAAAATGATCTGATCTGCTCCGCTCAGCTCAGCTCAGACAATTATCACTTGGCTCAGCTCAGCTCAATGATTTTAATACAATTATTCTACCGAAAAACAGTAAAAACAGCTCAGCTCAGCTCTAATAAGGGTCCGCTCAGCTCAGCTCAAAGCTCTTAATCAAACGGTCTGCTCAGCTCAGCTCCGCTAAATGACCTCTGAAAAAAGCCAGCTCAGCTCAACTCAGGTCAGTTACCTCGAAAATAAACCAGCTCAGCTCAGAGAAATTTTTACTCAGGTCAGCTCAGCTAAGAAAAATTAATCAAAATTTGCAACTCTGGAAAGATCTAAAACAAGAAGCCGCGTAGCGGCTTTTTTTTTGCTTTCTTCTTTGCGGCTTCGCAAAATAACATCTCCAAGCAATTTTGCGGCTTCTTATTGGAGATTTTTTCGACCTGACTCAGGTTTTCTACACAGGTTTCCGAGCCGAACTGAAACACAGAAGAGTGATTTTCTCCATGTCCATATTCTCCTTCTTTTTTCTAACGTTTCTTCTCTAGACCGATTTGATGGAGATCTACAGCTACGGATGCTACTGCCTGAGCATGGGCGACCGACCATTGAGCGGCACAAACGCGAATCGACCTCCAGTCGACGCCCGGGACGAGCAGTGCAAAGCCTGGACTACTTGCTACAAGTGCGCCAGAATCGACGTCAACAAGAATTGCCAGCCGGAACGAGTCAACTACAGCGTATGATAAAATTTTATTTTGATGATGTATTTTTTAATTGAAGTGGTCGATGGACGAAAACAACAACATCGTCTGCGCCGCCGACAACAATCCCTGCAAAGCGGCGATTTGCGAGTGCGACAAATATTTCGTCGAAAACTTCAAAAGCATCGATCACACTTTCAATACTGATTTTAGGTAATGCTTTATTGGAAACATCATTTTATCTTTCAATTTTTCATTTAGCGAATTCCACGGATTTGAGCGTCAACAAAACTGCTACACCTCACGTGACTCTTCTGGCTCGAACGGCTCCGGAAACAGCAATACAGTGACTTTGGAGTGCTGCGGCGAGGCGGGTAAGCGAGAGTTTTTCAATTCAGAAACGAAAATGTGCTGCGCTGATGGATCTATCAAGCCGCTTGGGCTTTGTTAGAGAGAGATGCTTTTTTTAAATTGTACATTTTATTTGAAATAAACTCAAAATTTGTTAATTTATTTGTTTTATTAGTGAGAATACGCGTGCAAAATTACAGAGAAAATTTTTTGGAAAGAAGGCCAACTGAGACTGAAGCTTAAATTTTACTAGAATTTATTCAAAAAAATTTGGCTTACTGTTTATCTCCGAGTAAGAGTGATGGAATAGGCTTGAGGCAGAAGATACCACTTCTCAGTTTCCATATTGAAACCTTCGTTCGTCAAAGGAATGACCTCGTTGTTCCGTCCGTAAAAGACATAATCTTTGTTCCAGTTGAAACAATCTCTCATCATTTCTTGAGAAGCATAGAATTCGCGAGAAATGGGAATTCTGACTTGAGCGCCGGAATGGTCGATGAGCGTATTTTGGAGAATGAAGGCGGAGTTTTCGACTCGGTCCAGCACCATTTGGTGGAAGATTAATGATCCGTCGGGGGTAAGGTAGGCGCCGGTGACTGTCAGGGGACGGGCGAAGGAGAATTTTGGGTGCAGAAACACTGAAAATATTTGATTTTAAAAAAAGCTAAAATAACCTAACTTGATACCTGACTTGAAATCTAAATTGCCTCTAGTTTGTTTAATATAATCCATATTTTTCACAATTTGCCATCCACTTTTATTCAAATAAGTTTCAAATTTCAATCTTCTGAGAAGCAACTCAATTTCGTTTGTTTGGAATTCTCGTTCTTCGAATTTCGGATTTAAATTAAGTCCAGCCAAACTCCGCGGATATATAATCATTGTCAGAATTGTAAAGATTGTTTCATATGAATAATAATCTTTCATTGTCGAGTCTTTAACTCGCAAATCATTTTCCAACGCCCATCTCAAAAGAGTCGTGACTGAAATTGGCACACAAAGATTGCTTTCTTTTTGGTTCAAAACATTTTTCGTCACGTTTTTGAAGTCGAAATTGATCTGCTTCGTCATTTTCTGTTTTAGATTGGACATCGCCGAAGACTTTGTCAAGTTTTGATCGTCCAGGCAAAAATGGGAAGGCGCGTTTTCTAGCGAGATTACTTCTGACAGGCTTTCGATTTCATAGGTTAAGGGAGTTTCTCTTGATAGCCAGGCCGCATTGAATCTCTTAAGAATTGCAATTGTCAAAAAAACGAAAGATTCAAAAACCTTAAGTTCATTTTTGATCTTTTCTCGCTCGCCGTCTTCGATGGGATTGTAAAGAAGACTCCAGGCAGACTTCCAGTCGCAGAGAATCAAAATGTGAAGTGGCGATCCATCTCCTCCGTTTCGATCACAAATTTCGGCACTTCCCGAAAACGCAGCGGAACCAGAAACTAAAAAAATCACGGAAAATTAATAATAACCGTATTTAAAACTTACATAAATTAAAGGAATCTCTATATTTGCTTCCTCTCCGCGCGTAGCCCATTTCGCGGTAGCTCCTTCTTCCAGTTCTTTCTTCTAACGTTCCGTAATCGATTAACTTTGGTTCTCCATATTTCAGGAGAACATTCTCGGGCTTCTTGTCGCGATGATGGATTCCGACGCTTTCCAAATAATCAAGTCCTTTTTGCACTCCAATTGCTATTTTCTTCCGCTCTTCCAAGTTGAGATCTTCTTTTTTCAGCCGTTTTCGAAGATCGCAGTCGCACTTTTCCATGATTGTGATCCATCCTATACAATCGCCCTTATCCTCGTCTTTGCTCGAGTAGACTTCGATGTTGCAATGATTTTTGATGATATTTGAATGTCGGGGGATCACGGGAACGTCATCTCTTTCGTCGTTTTCTGCGGTTGCGTAATCTAAGAATAAAAAAATCGAGAAGAAACTGATTCTTCTTACCCTTTGAAAGATGAATCTCAAATTTCAACTCCGCCTCTTCTCCCAAAAACAGCGCCGAGTCAAAAGCCTGAACTCTAACCGCAACGTCCAATTCTCCAAATTTTTCTTCCAAAACAATCGCTTCTCCTCCTTCAGAAATCGGTTTAAAAGATTTGTCCAGAATCCATTTTCCAGTTTCCTCTGTCAATTCAGATCGCGCGTTTTTTCGACTTTTAAAACTCGGATTTTTTTCAAGAATCGTTTTTTGAAATGTAGAAATCGCCCATTTTTCTCTTTCATTGCCATCACGAAAAACTTTTCCTTCTCCATTTTCAAAAACAACCTCCTCCCAACAAGCATTATAAGAATTTTCAAACTCGTGTCTCTCAAGCGACAAAATCAGTCTGTCCAAGTCATCTCTGCTCGTCGTTCTCTTCAACTTCTTCTTAAAACCCTCCAGCCATTTTTCAACCGCTTCTCTCGTCAATTCTTTTGGATGCGTCGTCACTGGATTCATCTGCAGCTTCTTTTTCTCGACTTCGAAATTCAAAAAAAGTAAGTTTTTAAAATTGCTCTTCTCAAAAACGGAAGATCATAAACCGGCAAAAAAGCGCTCCCTTGACTCTGAAATTACGACTTTGTTTTTATTACCACAAAAAAAAAACGAAGTCAGAGTACCCGAAAAATCGTAATTTACGATTCGTTAACCCCCGTGTTAAGCTCGCCAATCTGTGTTGAAAACCTGAGTCAGGGTCTGAAAGATCAAAAATGAAAAGCCGCAAAGGGGCTTTATTTTCAAAAGATGTAAGCAAGATGTTAAATACACATAACAAAGAAAATTTCGCGAAGCAGCTTTGCGGTTTAAAAAAAAGCCGCTTTTCATAATTGATCTTTCAGACCCTGAGTCAGGTTTTCCACACAGGGATTTCGAACTCTGTTGCCGAGCCCAGCCCCTGCGAAAAAGAATCTTCTATTTCATATAAATTCTTAAAAAATCGATCAATTGACAAAATAAATATGGTAAAATTTTATTCACAAATAATAAATTTTTCATAAATTTCTTTCATTTGCAAAATGGTGGGCAATGATTGACGAAAAAATGGACAGAAACAAGCTTTTTTTGACAATATTTAATTTCAAGAATTTTCATCAATTCGGCTGCTTCCTGAATTGAAATGCATGTACAAGTGAGTTTACTGGAGGGGTCTCCTTAACACGTGATGTCGATTTCTTCGGAATAGGAATGGGCGATTTCCGATTCGGAGTGGCCGGAATCGGACGATGGACTCGCCATTTGCAAAATCTAAGAAAACGTAATTTTCGGCGAAAATCTTTCTTCTTCTTTTTCTTTGTTGTAATTTTGAAGAATCTCGACGCATTCGAGCAGACTCATCATTGGAGTCGTTACCTTGGGGGCGTAGATTTCCGGAGAAGATGGATTTTGGAGACTTTCCGACTTTTCGGAGGAGTTTGAAGAGGGGGTCTTCCTTGTTGTCTCCTAAAAAAAATTTTTATAAAAAAATTTTTTTAGAATTTTTTTTTTTTACTTTTTAGATTTTTTTTAGAATTTTCAGAAATTTTCAAAATTTTTTTAAAAATTTTTTTCGTTCAAATTATGAGCTTTTGAAAATCAGACACGCTGGGTTTCTTTTTTTTTTGCTTGAAGTCAAAGTTGTTTATGCAATTGTGACAATGGTTCATCCCAATTATACAAAAGGCGTAAATAAGAAAACCCGCGCTGACAGGTTAATTTATACAATCTTACGTGGCCTGCGCTGATTTTAGCTTAGACCCGCGCTTTTAGACTGTTTGAATTGGTCAGAATTACAGCTGCGAAAGTGGCGTTTCGCGAACTTGGGAAATGTCTTTCGCAAATTATTAACAGGGTGACACCCTTATTAAATTTGACAAAAAATAATCAGAGAAATAATGCTTCCTCATTACTGCTAAAAAAGCCGCACGCGGCTTCGAGCAAGAAAATTATGAAAAAAGCCGCGTTTTCGCGGCTAAGGCATATTTTCGCTCCAAGCCGCGTGCGGCTATTTGAATTCGAGCCCTTATTAGGAAGCATTCGTTTTCTGATTATTTCAGTCAATAAGGGTGTCACTCTGTTAATAACTTGAGTCTCTTAATAAAAATATAAGATTACCTGATTTTCTTCTGATTGTTGATTTTTGCCTTCGTTTGAAGAGTTTCGAGAAGCCTTAAAAACCGTTATTTTCTCATCAAAATATCAAGAGTTCTGTGGCTTGAATCATACTGAAAGGAGTGTCCCAAATCTGCAAAGTTCTTCGTCTTTTTTTCTGTTCAAATCTTCAAGAATCGAAATTTTTCCCTCCAAATTGAGTCTCGTGTCGTTCCAAAACGATTTCTCCGTTTCGAGTCGTCGAATTTGTTGCTGAAAAAGTATAATTACGTTTCGAGAAAGAAACTCGAGTTGGGTAATGGGGCGAATAAATCCGGAAAGCTAAAGAAACCACAAGTAAGTTCCAAACGTATGTAAGAGTTAGGCCAGTAGAAGGACAGCCAGGGCGGAAATTGTATATTGAGAGAAATGATGCTCTTGGTTTTCGAAAATTAAGGAAGGGGGGTCGAGAATGATTTTTTCAGGGGCTATCGTAATTTCGCTAATACATACTTATAGTCTGCATATGAAATTTATATTTTCGGAATCTACAGATCGTCCCGAATCTATAGAGCTTAAAATCATTTGATAAAAATCAGATTAAGGGTGTCAAATTGAGAAAATTGTAAAAAAATGACCATTTTTTGTGAATTTTCGCGAAAATGGCCCTATTTTGACCCGTTTTTGACCGACTTTTTCTGACCAAAATTTTTTCATCTTCTCGACGATAGATTTTTTCAACCCTTTTCTACTCACCAGCGTATTCATATTTAGCCTTTCTAATCAGGTTTTCCCGCATTTTGGTTAACGAAAATCCCGATTCTCCTCGACCCCTCCCCTCTATTTGAATTGAATTTTTATCAGAATTTTAAATTCTTACTATTTTCGCTTGCAAAGGCTCTGGTGGAAGTTTGATTCTGGCTAAGAGAAATTATCTAAAAGCAAGAGCGTAAAAAATGCAGCAAAAAAGGTCAGCTTCGCGCTCGGAACAGATGATGATGGAGTAATTGAGCATGGACTGTTTTAATTAGAAAGGTGATGAGCTTTTTGATATTTTCGCGCCGCCGTGGACCGAAAATGTTACGCGGCGTGAAATGCAGCGCAGCGCGGCGGGCGGGTTAATTCTTTCCAAAATTAACCGGTTGTGGCCTTTTTGTGAACATTCCAGATTTGTGACACGTCAGAAAAGAAAAACCAGCGGTCCATCATGTCACAGCCCGTGTGATGTAATTAGCCAAGCGCTTAATTCGACAATCTTAATGATGAGCCTTTTTTGACGCCGGAAACCGCGCGGTTGGTTAACTGTCTCAAGACGTTTTTTTTACAAGTTTTTGATAAGAAATGCAACTCATTTAAAAATTTTTAGGTGGAATAAATTTGTTAGAATTTTCAAAATTATATTTTATTTTTTCGAAATTGTGTCTTTTGAAACTATCAAATTGGCGTAAAGTATTTTTGTTATGTTTTTCTTTCGGAAAGGAAAATAACGTGTGTCGGTAATGGCCACTTGGCGCAAAAAGCAGCTTACAGCGTTACGGAATCGTTACTCCTTCTAAACCTTTTTTCTATAAATAGTAGTTTACTATTTACGTCTCGAAGAGAGACTTTATTTTTTCGGATGTGATTACACCTTGAATTTTGGGCGCTTTAGACTTTGACGAAAACAAAGAATAGGCACGGCAAGCTGCGTAGAAAACCTGAGTCAGGGTCTTAAAGGGCTAAAATGTAAAGCCGCTGAGCGGCTTTTTTTGACAAAGCCGCAAACCGGCTTCGCAAAAACTTCAAAAAAACAGATGAAAATTTCGCGAAGCCGCTCCGCGGCTTTTCATTTTAGCCCTTTAAGACCCTGACTCAGGTTTTCTGCAAAGGTTGCTGATTGAAGAAAAAAATTTTTTTTTGAAGAAAAAAAGTCATTTTGAAGCTTGTTATTGCCGATAAATACGCTTTTTCGATTTGTTCTTTTTTTCCGGAATTTTATTCTTTCAATTTCGTTTCAAATAAAAAAGCGTCTTCCTTCCGGCTTAGTCCCTTCTTCCTTCCTGTCTCATCTTTTGTTCACAGAAAGTTCAAAAAATCAGTCCCGAAATAAATTTAATCGAAATTTTTGTCCAAAAAGAAAGGAGACAAAAGAACAAACTTTCAAGTGAAATCGGTGACGGGAAAAATCACCGCAAGTTGGTGAGGTTCACGAAAGAAAGGGGCAAAACCTTCCAAAAAACGGAGTCAAAGGCGCCTTACTGTGGTCGAAAGTGGCCACAATCTAATGCTTCTTCCGCTAAAGGATATTTTTACTTTCTTTTCTCTGATTTGTTTTAACGGTTTATTCAACCATATTTTTTTTTGAAAATTAGCAAAGTGACACCCTTATTCCAAATCAAATTTATAGAAAGTTACCATAGAAAATCGGGTTTATCTTTCTTTATTTCTGATAAAAATCGAGAAGCCACTTGCGGCTTCGAGTAGTGATGGACAGAAAAGCCGCGCTCCGCGCGGCTTCTTTGTCTTTTTACTCGGAGCCGCAAGCGGCTTCTCGATTTTTATCAGAAATAAAGAAAGATAAACCCGATTTTCTATGGTAACTTTCTATAAATTTGATTTGGAATAAGGGTGTCACTTTGCTGATCTTTAAAAAAGATTCTGGTATAAATCTGGAAAATTCCGGCCAAAAAAGAAGCAGCCGTTCAAAGCGGGCTAATCCGGCATTGGCCGAGTAAAACTCATATGGAAAGGAAACGTGTTGGAATTATCTGCGGCTCAGCGCCCGGATCGCCAAAAAGTGACCGGTCAGATTCTGTTTCAGTAACATGGATCCGGAAGATGCGCTAAGCCACCAGGGTTTTGTGCAACTCAATATCACGGTAGTTTCTTTTTTAAAAATAGACTTCGATTTTGGACGGAGCCAAAATGGGGTTCTCGTCATTTTGTTTTCAATTTGAATTTGATATTCTTACGTTTTGAAGATGCAGCAAGTTTTCAGAAGACGCTGCCTGTGCCGCGATGGTACAGAGGGAATTGTAGAGATGCGGGTCGGCGCGGATCGCCGGCGAGCAGTGGATTAATGCGGCCAGCCAATTTGATGTCAGCATCGCTAAAACGACGATTTTTATTTTGAAGATTTGCGGCTTCGAGCAAATAAGAACGAAAAAGCCGCGCTGTGTGCGGCTTAAGTTATCTTTGACTCGAAAAACCATATCTCAAATTCAAAAAGCCGCGCGCGGCTCATCAGTCCTCTTATTTAAGCCGCGCGCGGCTTCTTTATTTTGTTATATAATTTTTCGAGCCAAAAAGACCATGAGCCACACAAAGCGCGGCTTTTTCGCTTTTATTTGCTCAAAGCCGAAAGCGGCTTCTCGAGTTTTAACAATAAAAAACCATGATGTACCTTGATGTTGTGTGGAAGTCGATAAAAGAGCTTGTGGAAGATGTGGAGTCGTCGGTAAAATTCGCTCGATGCTCAAGTTTTTGGAAAACTTGATCTCCGTCGATTCGGCAGAATCAGACTCGTTGGAGCCTTGTCCGACCGAACCCGTTCTTTCCAGTCGTTTTTGACTGCCAGTTCCTGCTCTTTCCGGCTCGCTGGTGTAAAAGGTCGGCATGATCAGGCCATGAGCGGGTGTTTTCTGCGCCGTGTGGATTCTCGATTGTTTTGGAAGAGATTCGGAAGGGTCGAAAGTTTCAGAAAGTCGCTCTCTTTTGTAGACTCGGCGGCGAATCTTGTCTTCGGAGCCTGAAACCGGAGATTTAAAAACGCCCTGCATTTTCGATTCTACCTTTGTGGACTGCGGGGAGCAGCTCATATACACGGTACGGGTCAGAAATGTCCAGCCGCGACAGGTCGGGTAATTCGCGAATGTCAGGCATTTTATTGAGAGCGCAGCGAAGACGAGTTTTCCAAACGATGGGCTCGGGCTTATCGACTCCTGAAATGAGAAATTATGAAACAGGTCATTTTTGACATGTTTGCAGAAGATATTTATCGAAATATTACAGAAAGAAATTAAAAATTGGGTTCTTTTGAATGATGATTTTTGATTGGCTCTTATTGAAAAAACTGGCTTCTGATTCGTCGAAAAGCCCGCTGGACCCAAATCTTGCTTTTTTGTTCTTTTTTGATTGTAAAAAATAAAGGGATCCCCATCTCATAGAAAAAAAAAACTTCAGTAAGGTCGCCATTTTAACGGATTTTATGACTGTACCTTCTCTGTACCGCCCCGAATGCTTCGCCCACTCCATGAAGATCTTAGAATCTTCGAGGTTGTAATCCTGTCTTCCAGCATGCTTCCACGGCATTCGAAATATCGTCCTATCTTCGTTCAGCCAAGTCAGTCCTGGAACATCGCCGCTAGAATTTATTTTGTGAAAATCGAGTTAATGAATTTGAAAGCGGAAATATAGCGGATCAAAGCGATCAACCCAAAAGCGAATGTTATTGAAGTGAAAGGGTAAAAGTATAAATTTTATGGCGGCTGAGAGATCAAAGTTGCGATGAGTACCAAGTCGGCTAAATCTTTCACTTTCAAGCTCAAATTAACGAGACCGCAACACTCAGAAAAACTGTCGTTTCAAGCCTTTTCGAGCAAAAACAAACAAATTAAAAAAAAACATAAAAATGAGTTTCACACCTGTCGAAATTCTGATAAATTGATCAGATGAAAAGCCGCTTGCGGCTTCAAGAAAAAAGATTAAAGCCGCAGCTAACGCGGCTATTTCAGATAGCCGATTTCTCCTGATGCGCGCGGCTTTTCGATCATATCATTGGAAACTTTGCGGCTTTTTGTCGGCTTTTGAGAAAACAGCCGCCTGCGGCTTCAGGCAAGAATTCTCCAAAAAGCGGCTTTTTCACTTTTTAGAAAAATTTTATGATTGACTTACCCATCGATCATTTTTTCGAGCCAGGTTCTGAGTCTGTCCCTGTATTCGTATTCGTGAGATCCAGTTCCCAACGAACCTGTGGATCCAGAAGAGCTACCGGTTGGAGATCGCGGTCCATTTGACTGGAGAATTTGATCTACTGTCTGTTTCTGAATAATTTTTTATAAAAAAGGAAGAGATTGGCTGATCTGCATTTTGATATTGTAAAAAGCCGCGCGCGGCTTCTTTCCTCAGCTTCAAACCTGCGTGAAAAACCTGAGTCAGGGTTTTCAAGATCTTTTAGGAAAAGCCGCGTTAAAAGAAGCCGCAAATCAACGCGGCTTTTAATGAAAGATCTCTCAGACCCTGACTCAGGTTTTCTGCACAGGTTGCCGAGCCCATCTAAAAACTGATAATTACTGTACCTTTACAGGGCCATTGGAAAGCCAAGGTCTTTGAAAATCAAGCGTCATTTGTTATTTTTCTAGCGCCGTTTTCTTCTTCGAAGATTGGATTCTGTTTCTGATCTCTATTGAAAAAAAGATTCGAAGCTGTTTTGAAAATTATGAAAGTAAAAAGTAAAAGTGTTGCTAATTGATAACTTTGGCTAATGTCTTGTAAGGACCCTTCAAGAAAAATGTCTCAAGACGCAAGCGAAAAATAATCTGGCGCTGCGGAGCACATCCGCGTAAAAAAAATCGCGCCGCGGAAAAGCGCGTATATTTTTAGCGCTCTTGTTTTTGGACTGCTTCTATTTCGGTGCTTTTTCGTGAACTTGTGCTGAAAATGAGAAATAAGGGTGTCAACATCGCTTAGAGCAATATCTTTAAGAATACGATGTTGAGACCATTAAGAAATCTATGATTTTTTGGGCTAGGAATGATCTGTAGAAAATCTGAGTCAGGGTCAAAATAGCTTAAATAAAAAGCTGCGCAGCGGCTTTTTCTTAAACAAAGCCGCAAAGCGGCTTCGCAAATATTACCATTTTAATATTAAAAAAATCCTAGCGGAGCCGCTTCGCGGCTTTGTTTATAAAAAAACCGCTGCGCGGCTTTAACTTTCAGCTCTTTCTGACCCTGACTCAGGTTTTCTCCACAAATTGCCCAGCCCAGATTTTTATAAAATGGCCATTTTTTCTTCTAAAGTTTCGAATCTAAAATAAACGAAACAAAAAAAAAATCAGCGAAAATAAATATTGCTAATTTTTCAATGTCAAAAATGTCTCCCATTTTAAAGCTTTTAAAATCTGCCGTCTTTTCCGCTCTAAGCCCATAAAGAGCTCCCATTTGAAGATGAACCTTGTATGGGCTTTGATCGTTATTTGCGCTAATTCGTAATTTGTCGAAAGAAGCTCTTTTTTACGAGGCAATTTGTTGATTTTTCGAAGTACACTTTTTGGACACGTGCCTTCGACAGACTCAAACTTCAAAGGAGATCTTGGTCCAATTTTTTGAAACTGAAATTTTTCAAAAAAAAATTGATTGATTTTTCTAATAATTGGGGCTTCTTATTAAAGAAATATTCTTACCTGTTTTTTTTTCTATTTTTTGCTCACTGTTATTATATAAGTAAGAAGCATGTTCCAAAATGACTCGAGCTTGTTGACCAGAACGTAAATTCTAGAATATTTTTTCCAAAAAATGGTCTTTTTTAGTTCATTTTCTGTAAACTTTACAGTGTAAAGTTTGCATTCTGAAAAAAGGATCTAAAAGCTGCGAAAAGTGGAAGGAAATAGCACAATCACGTGACAATCCGACCTTGTCCAAAATTTTTAGAAAAAACTTTTCTTTTCGCAATTTTTTTTCAGTTTATCTGAAGGACGGCAATCGCGATTTGCACCTTGTAAAAAATTCTTCTTTGTCTTCTTTCAACAATTTGAAACTTTCTTTCGCCCTTCTCAACTTTTTAGACAATAAGAAAATCGTCCTCAAGGGCTCGGCAACCTGTGTTGAAATCCTGAGTCAGGGTCTGAAAGAGCTGAAATGGCAAGCTGCGCAGCGGCTTTTTTGCGACTTTGTTCCTCAAAAAGCCGCGGTGCGGCTTTCCATTTCAGCATTTTCAGACCCTGACTCAGGTTTTCTACACAGGTTGCCGAGCCCAGTCGATAATATTTTCTTCAAAAACGCCTGTCTAAAAATGATCATCATCAGAATTCTCAAAAGCCCCATTATGTTCAAAGAACTTCTGAATGTGTATGATTTATGTAAGAGAAAAAAAACGGGGCAACAAGAAAAAGTCCGAAATTATCACAGACTGACCCAGTTACGTGAATATTTTAACACGGCCACATCATCGGAGTAAACTTCTATCTAAGAATAAATTTGCTTCTATTTTTGAACCGTCTATATTTTTCACGACGCGAAATTAAAGATTAGGTAATTTCGCTTTGAGCTTTATAAAGGTAACTTTCAGACCGTAATTTTGGGTAAAAACAAAATATGGGGGTACCCTTACTGATCCCCATTTTGGTTCATTTGATGCCTTGTTCACCCTTTTACTTCTTGCATTTGGCCCCTTGTTCATCCTTGGGCCACGTAGCCTTTCTATTCAAGCGACCACGGACTGGGGTCGGCAATGTGTACAGAAAACCTGAGTCAGGATTCTGAAAAAGCGTTGAAAAAAGTCGCAACGCATTTTCAGAACCCTGACTTTTGTGCAGGTTGCCGACCCCTGTCCGTGGTCGCTTGAATAGAAAGGCTACGTGGCCTTAGAATGAACAAGGGGCCAAATGCAGGAAGTAAGAGGATAAACAAGGCTTCATTTGCCTCAAATAAAGGATCAACCTAAAGGATGCCCGTATTTTAGTTTCTAAGAGTTTGCTCGCTCTCTTCCATGATATCAACTAGTGGAAAAAAGCCTAGTTTGCACCCTAGAACAAGTTAGAGTTCATTTCTCGCGCTTGTTTCGAAATCCGGTGGACAATCGCTTGTCCAGCAATTTCAGCCGGAGAGGAAATTCACCAAAGTGGCTGGAGTAAAACTCAAGATCTGATTCCCATTTGGCTCGCGCGCGCCTGAGCCACTCGAATCCGCGCGGCTCAAAATACACTGACCACTCGCTTTTTTTGCGCGTTTCTAATCAATTCACGGATAATCGCGCATTTGGAACACGTTGAGCTGGATTTCCCTAACGCCGGAACCGCATTTCGCCCGGAAGATCAACCAGCCGGATGGAAGAAAAAATTCAAAATCATAAATTCATTTTTTGAACCAACCGCGACGAAGTCAAATTTGATTGAACTTGCATTTCAATTTGAGCTCTGGAATTTTAGTAAAAAAAACTGAGTCAGGCTCTGAAAATTTTACGAGATTTTTTCCAAAATAATCCAAAACAAGAACTCTTGAATTTCCTCTTCGCTCGCCTGAATGTCTCCAGCTCCAGTTGGATCAATTAAAAAACGGAAAGAGAAAGAAACCGAGCATGTGTGAAGTGGGCAAGTTTTCTTTCTTTCGCTTTGGCGGCCGGTGACCGACGCGGAATATCATCTCAAAGATGAGCGGAATCGAATTGGCCCTTGCTCAGACGAACTTCCGATCAGAGGCGCCTGGTCGAGAACTTCTAGCGATCTTGTTCATAATACAAGAAAGCAAAAAACTCTTTTGATTAAATTTATTCGTAAATCTTTCAATAACAGGGCTGCTAAGTCAGGCTCGGCAATCTGTGTGGAAAACCTTCAGTCAGGATTTGAAAGAAACCTTAGTAAGAAGCTTTTTCAAATCCTGACTCAGGTTTTTTTACACAGGTTGTCGAGCCCAGTCGTCAGGGAAGGCTTCACTTGTTACCATCTTTTATCATTTTGATCATGCGCATGGAATGAATTGATGTACCGGGCAATCGGACTTTCCTGGTAGGAAATCATCTTCGAGTAGTCAGGTCGAGTTGTCTCCGCTCTGAGCCGATCAGCGAGCAGTTTGGCCGGGTCAGAAAAAGCAGAGCCAGTAAGAAAGAGAACAATAAGAAAAATCATTTCCAAGTTATGATGAATCTATAGTTGCTTCTTTGAGAGTTGAATTCCAGCTTTTATTGGAATATTTTCGGCCCGTGAAATATGGCTGGGCTTTTCGTTGATTCTGCTTTTCATGATTTATTGATAAAAAAGTCTATTTTCTGCATTGTCGTTCTTACTGTACCTGAATACGGTATTCGAAATGAAGACTCGCCGAAAAATAGGTCAAGCCAATTAGTAATTTATTAGTCGAAATAGTATATTTCTTATTTTGCTTAACTGTTTTATTAAGGATGGCATTATGGCAATAAAGATGATAATCTTATTCCAAAAAGTGTTTAATTCCATCTCTAGAAACTGTCCATTCTCGTCGGTCTTCCAGCAAGAAAAAAAGTGTTGTTTTCCAAACCGCGCTCCTCCGGAAGAGCGCCCCGCCCGGCCAATCACGAACCGCGCACCCTGTCGATGACCTCAACCAAGTAACAATTTTCTCGAACGCCAAAACTTCTCTTTTTCTCAAAACAAAAAATTCAAGAGCTGAAAATGGAAGAACTGACGAGAGAGAACTCATCGACGAATCTGCTGCCGGAAAATGTGTCGAATATGCTCGAAGGGACGATGAATAAAGCTTCGAAAACACTTTTTGGAAATGTCGAGACGAAGAAATCTTATCACATCTACGATAACACCCTCAGTTCGCTTCCGGTCAACAAGAGTCAATCTTCGCTCAGCTTGCAGGTTCGATTCTTATCAATTAAACAAGTTGTTACAGTATCTATAAATAAAACTTTATCTAAATCTATAAAGATCGCTCTTCCCCGATCTTTCTTTTGATAAACTAAAATCTTCAGATGATGCTCTACTTCGACGCAATCTTCTTCATCGTCTGGTCCATCGCCAGTATCGTCACCATCATCCGCCGTGGCCAAGGTAAGAACGTCTTGATTTGCTTCAACAACCCTGACCACATATTCAGGCGAAGGTTACCCTGATGGCTACCTAAACAGCGCTTGGTACGTCATTCTCATCGCCGCCTGTGCGCTCTTCTTCATCATCAACCCTGCTCGAATCTACCTCGGCTACATGGCGAATGTCACAGAATCCCTTCCTCACATTGCCAGCTTTCTCTTCCTTTCAATTTTCCCAACAGTCGTCGTGGCACTCATTACTTTCGTTCCAAACTTCTTCCCGAGCTCGATTTGTAAGGTCGGGGATGATGGCTTGATCGATGATTTGAGATGCAGACCGTGGGGAAATACTGTTGCTCAAGGAATACAGGTAAGAAGGGGCCTTTCCTACACCTCAGAATCGTCCTCTTTTATCATAAACTTCCAGGTTTCGTTCATCCTCGCCGAAGTAGTCCTCTCCTACCGCGCTGGGCGGCGAATGTCCCAGCATCGCGAAGAGACAGCTGATTTGTACCGCTTCATGGACGTTACCAAAATGGATCCTTTACTGCCAGACTCAAAGAAATTCCACTGAATTCTCTTTTTTCTTTATTTTTTTACATCAATTAAAACTTTTCTTTTTTAAAATTGGCTTTCAATATCCCCTTTTAGAAAAATGATTAGATCAGGAATCGCCATTATCGGGCGGCGAACAGCTGCTGCTCTCACAGGTAACCCTTAATCCCTCCCTGAGCGGCTCCATCCGTATTTCTAGAGGCCGACATGGCTGCCTCCGTGAAAAACGCCTCAAACTTCAAATCCCGCCTCGTCGAGCCATCCGACCAGCGTGATTTCCGACCAATTTACCTCGACGCCGCAGCTACTACTCCTCTTGACCCGCGCGTATTCGACAAGATGCTTCCCTACCTGACGTCTTATTATGGGAATCCACACAGTGTCTCGCACGCCTATGGTTGGCAATCTGAAGCAGCTGTTGAGCAAGCTCGAGAACAGGTAAAAGAACGGGTCAATTAACAATCGAAGAAATGCCTTCAGATCGCTTCTTTAATCAACGCGGATCCTCGAGAAATCATTTTCACGAGCGGCGCGACCGAGTCGAACAACATCGCGGTCAAAGGCTACTCCCGTTTCTACAAAAAGAAGATGAACCACATAATCACCTCTCAAATCGAGCACAAATGCGTTCTGGACTCCTGCCGGCAGCTAGAACTCAACGAAGGATTTGAAATCACCTATTTGAAGCCACAAGAAAACGGGCGAATTAATTTGGAAGAGCTGGAAGCGGCGTTTAGGCCCGACACGGGCTTAGTTTCCATAATGGCGGTTAATAACGAAATTGGAGTAATGCAGGACGTCGAGGCGATTGGTAAACTGTGCAGAAAGAACAAAATTAGGTTTCATACTGATGCGGCGCAAGCGATTGGCAAGACTCCTATCGATGTCAAGGTGAGAGTACCCTTCAATGAAGCGTCCCTTCATAATTTTGGGTGATTGGGAATATAACAAACCCCCTGTTTCGAAGAAGGACCCTTATCCATCCCCCCATCATATTTGTACCTAACAAACTTCTTTCAGAAAATGAACATTGATTTAATGTCCCTTTCGGGTCATAAAATCTACGGACCCAAAGGAATCGGCGCTTTGTATGTCTCTAGAAAGCCTCGCGTTCGACTTGATCCAATCATCAGCGGTGGTGGTACGTATTTATCAGCTCTTTTTGACTATTAACCGTTTATTCTAGGTCAGGAGCGAGGGCTGAGATCAGGAACTCTTCCTCACAATCTCGCGATCGGCCTCGGAGAAGCTTGCCGAATCGCTCAACAAGAAATGGCAGCAGATGCCGAGCACTGTCGAAAGCTAAACGAGCGATTCCGGGAACGAATCAGCTCCCTCTCTCACGTCACATTCAACGGCGATGAAGAAGGAGGAATGAGCAACATTCTCAATCTCTCTTTCGCGGCGGTCGAGGGCGAGTCGCTTTTGATGTCCATGTCTGGCGTCGCTCTTTCGTCAGGATCTGCGTGTACTTCTGCTTCTTTGGAACCTTCCTATGTTCTCAGAGGTGAAAAAAACTACTTCCTCCATTTCAGAAACGCGGCTTTTTGATTCCCAATCAAAGATCCTTTTAAAGACATAATTTTAAGCCATTGGAAGTGATGTCGATCTAGCGCACAGTTCAATCCGCTTCGGACTCGGCCGATTCACCACTGAAGAAGAAGTCGACTACACCGCGGACAAACTTGTAGAGCACGTGAACAGACTGCGCGATCTTTCGCCCCTCTGGGACATGTTACAGGAGGGCATCGATTTGAAGTCGATCCAGTGGGGATCCCACCACTAGTCAAGCCGTAGTTCCTTCTTCAGTTCCTCCTCCCTGCTTTTTGACGCTTTTCTTCTTAACCTACGCACCTTTTCTAGGAGCCCCTTTTCCTGATCATCCATTCAAACTTTAATTATCATAAAAAAACTCACATGCTAGATTCAGATTAGCAAATCCTAATCTTTCACCTCTTCATTCTCCTTCCTTTTCAGATTTATAAGAATGTACGGACTTCGCCAAACCGGCCGAACCCTCCAGCTGATCAATTTGACCACACAGCGATCGTTGAGCTTCACTTGTTCGCTCAACAAGGAGACCTTCGTCCGGGACAAGCCCCATGTTAACATCGGAACCGTCGGACACGTTGATCACGGAAAGACTACTCTCACTGCCGCCATTACTAAAGCGATGGCTGAAGCGTTTCCCGAAATCAACTCTTTCAAAGATTACAAAGGTACTTCTTCACTAGAAGTTCGACCCTAACCATCAATTCTAGCTATCGACAATGCCCCTGAAGAACAGAAGCGAGGCATCACTATCAACGCGTCCCACGTCGAGTACTCCACCACCAATCGTCATTACAGCCACGTTGATTGCCCTGGCCACGCTGATTACATTAAAAACATGATTTCCGGCACTTCAACTATGGATGGCGGTATTTTGGTTATTTCAGCTGCTGATGGTGTTATGCCACAGACACGAGAACATATTGTTTTGGCCAAACAAATTGGAGTTAAACATTTAGTAGGTACGCTCCTTATTCTGGGTCACTTATCGAAAGCTTCAACTGAATGTATTCTTTAGTTTTTATCAACAAATGTGATACCGTGGACGAAGAAATGATTGAACTTGTCGAAATGGAAATCAGAGAAGAATTAACTGCCTGTGGCTTTGACGGTGATAATGCTTCAGTTATTCCAGGCTCGGCCCTTTGTGAAATCGAAAATAAACAGCCTGAACTTGGACGGGAAGCTATTCTTAAACTCATGGAAGGTAAAACTCTCTCCCCTCTTGCTCCTTCTTAATCCCTCTTCTTAGCCGTTGACAACGACATTCCAGTGCCAGAGCGAAACTTGGACGAGCCACTTTTGATGCCAATCGAGAATCTTTACAAAATCCCTGGCCGAGGAACCGTCATCACTGGCAACGTCGAGCGCGGTGTTGCCAACAAGGGCGACAAGGTAAGACAACAGCGCGTGAACAAGGGTTGAGGATCTTTTAAGGTCGAAATTATTGGTTATGGCAAGCACTTCAAGGCTCAGATCAACGGAATGGAAACTTATTTGAAGACTTTGGACCGATTGGAGCCCGGAGATAACGCTGGTGTTCTCGTCAAAGGTATTCCTTCGTCTTTTAGCAAAACTATAACCTTCTTCGATAGGTGTGAACCGAGAGCAGCTGAGAAGAGGAATGGCGATCGTCTCCCCTGGCTCAGTCAAACCAGCGTTGAAAGTTGAAGCGAACATTTACATTCTCACCGATGAGGTATCCTTTCACCCCTTTTCGACCGTCCTTGTTAACCCCCTTTTCTCAGGAAGGAGGCACTGGAAAGCCACTGAAACACATGGGCCAGAACATGATCTTCTGCCGAACCTTTGACTGCATGGCGGCGACGATGTACAAGGACGAAAAGGACCGAATCCTCCCCGGCGAGAACGGACTCATGAACTTTGTTTTCCGAGTCCCAATGGTTATTGAAGAAGGAGACCGGTAAGAGTCACCAATTACTCACCCTTGGGTATTCTTTTTTGTTAGATTTACTGTTCGATCTGGAAAGACAACCGTTGGAACCGGAATCGTAACGAAGGTTTACGACGAATTGACCGAAAAGCAAGTCGCTGAATGGTTCGACACGAAAGCTAGTATGAAGAAGCCACTCTAAGTATTTAGCGCTTTTTGTTACTGTTACTGCGCTGTTACTTTTGATCTGGCATTTGAAATGTTTCCAAAATTAAGTTATTAAAATATAATTTCAAAAACAAGCAATACAACTGTGTGTATTTACAAGAGCGTTTATTCAAAAAGTACTTAGTGAATGGACTTGTATCCTTCAGGACAAATGTCAGGAATTCCACAGGAACCGAACAATCTGTCAGCTTTCAGGCAGAGTGTGATTGAGCATTGAAGGTAGAGCTCGAAGGTCGACTCGATTTTGTCGAAGGTGAACGACTCGTAGCTTTTTTGGCTTTCAACTTTTTGATTTACTGGGAAGTCTTAATTGGCAGTTGTCAATTAAGAAGCAATTTGCATTTATTTTGAAAATAAAAACTATAATTGGTCATGAACAAATCACAATGTGTATTTTTAGTGTGAATACAGAGCGATGCATGAAATAATTTAATTTTAGACCAATCAGACTCTAGAATTTTCCGCAGCTTTTATAAGCAAATCAAAGCCCTGCCTAAAATCTATCATTTTCGAAGAATACGGTTCGGCTGAATGCATCTCCGTCTTTGCCAAGTCCGACAAGCAGCCATCCTTGATCACCATGAAGTCTTTCTCACTCTCCTGGCTTGAAATCGTGCACTGTTCAACAAAAAATTCAACCGGGAAGCTTGAATCAAACTCTTCCCTCCACTCTACTCGTGCGTTGACTCGATCACCGATCAGCAGATTTGCTGCGTCGATTTCAGTCTCGTAAGAAGAACTTTTGTAGAATTTGATCCCGAAGGTTTGGTCCCAATTCACGAATTTTTCGATGTTGGAATTGACGATGTTGGTTGTGACGGAATACTTTGATCTGTCAGTAGTAGTGGAAGACGTATAAAAGCAATTAAACCCAAACTCGGACGAAAAATCATTCGCGAAGAAGATTCTAGCGCCGGCCATCGTCTTCTTCGTAAAATGAAACACCTGCGAAAACTTGATCAAAAGTCCTTCATCCACTTCCGAAGACTCCGCTGTCATTCCGCACTGCCCGAGCTTGATGGAAAAAGAAATGCCGGATTTTTCCTCGTCGTAGGAAATGATCGGATCGCAATTTTCTTCGGAGAAATTGAGGAGTTCGCTGATGTCACTCGCGATGAGCTCGGGATCGTTGAATGCGTCCAAGCGGATGAAGCCTTCCATTCGGTCGGACTTGCACTAGAATCTTTAATTGAAGAGCTCTCCCCTTTCTGGTCTTTTCATTACCTCAAGTTTCAAGCAATCCGGATTGGCAATAACACACGATTTCTTCGAATCATCATGTGCCCAGCAACCAGTCTTGTCCTGATCCACCGTCGCGTCGTAGAATGAATACGAGCTCAGGCATTCATTCGATTTGGAACTTCCCACAGCGGAAGTGTGAGCGATTGCCAACGACTCCTGAAAAGTTCCATCTCCGCGGGCAATGTCGATTTCTCTCTTTTGCATCGGCTTCTTGTCGATCATCACGTCGATGACGTCGATCAGTTCGGTCCGGTTCAGAGCGCCTAGAATTTCTGAATCGGGAATTAACTTACCGCCGCGGTGGAAGTGCAGCGCTGGGTACGCGTGGACCCCAAGTTCGTTGCACTTTTCTTCGTAAAATGAACAGTCGAAAGTTGCAACTAAAAATTTCTCAACAAAAAGAGAGAAAATTCGATGTTACATTGAATATCATCTCCCCAAATCTTCTCCCTTCCCAAATCGACCAAATCTTCCGTCATTTTCGAGCAGGGCGCTTCGCACCAGTCAACATGAAAGCTGACAACTGACAGTTTCGGCTCTTCGACAAACAGGTCGAAAGTATTTTCCGAGATGGGAATGACGACGTCTTCTGGCGCCGGTCCAGTCGCATCGAGCAGAAATTTTTTTAGTTCAAAAACTGACCTGTCAAGAAGATCCGGAAAATCGGCGTAGTGCTCGTCGTTTTTGTAAAGAATGATTTTCGGAAATTTCGTGATTCCTAGGTTTCCGCAGAAGATCGCTTTTTCCATGCAGTTGATTGTCTCTAGCTCGATTTTACTGTCCGTTACTCTACGAAGCTCTTTCCAGACGTCATTCAATCTGTAGCAAGGGCCGCACCAGGGCGTTCCAAATCTCACGAGCTTAAAAACGTCCTCTGCGTTGGCCAAAAGGGCAAAAGGGCCGAAAAAAGGCAAAAGTTTCATTTTCGATTTTTCTTGGTAATGAAAGAAAAAAGCCTTGAACACGGCAAATATGGGCGAAAAAAGCGCCGCCTCCTCAAGTGGCGAGTTTTGGTGAAACGTGTGGTTGAGCACCAAATAAGCGCCTTGGCTCACGTTGATGGGGAGATAATTATATTTGCGTGTTTTGACCAATAATTTCCGCGTGTCTTAATGCTTCCTTGATGTGCGTGTCACAAGCTGCAGTATCATAAGATTGCTCTTTTTTTTCGAAAACTTTGTAAAAAAAGTCAATTTTGATGTTCTCATTTATTCTGATAAAATCAAGAAGATATTTTAAAAAACAGTTTTATAATTGTACAGTTGTCAAGACATGGGCTGTCGATAATTTACTCATCGTCGTGGTGATGGTCGTGTTCGTGATCGTGGTGGTGGTCGTCCTCGTGGTAGTTGTTGAGCCAGTCGTAGTCTCGGAACTCTCGTTCGCGGTCGAAGTTTCGCTCGTTTCGGAAAGCGGCTTTGAAGGCGGCGGAGGAGTCCGAGTAGAAGATGACGTTTCGGTCGGCAAGAGGCTTGGAAAATGAATGAGAGAGGGGTTCGGAGACTGGTCGTCTTACCTGGACTGGTCGGAAGTTGTCTTCGATGTGTTCATCAGCAAGATCAGCGGATCGGAGCAAATTGGCAGCCTAAACAAGAGGAGGTAATGGCATGTATGTTGTCTAAACTTACGGTTTGTCGGCTGATTCGGATGGGGTCCTTGAATACGGTCCACTGGACGGCTTCGGAGCATGGTGGGGTGGTGAGGGATCCTTCGTATCGGTAGAAGTTGGAGAGATCGACGCCTTCGATCAAGTTGCTGATGGAGAAATCGAAGTGTCGGAAGGATCCGTCTTCGTTGCCCTTGAGAGGGATAGAGGGGGTTTGATATGAACGCAAGTTACCTGTTTGTTCGAGTGCCATCGAAGTCGTCGGGCAAGTTCGCCAATGGCCTCGTTGGATTCGTCACCATCGGTGACCTCGATCATGAAGCCAAGGACGGCAAGACCGTCGCCGAGGCCAAGACCGGTAACGAGGTCGATGTCGGATCGGTAGTGGACGAAGTGGACCTCGGCGAAGGTGTGGTGTCCATTGATGGTGTGTTCGGAGCCACCCTGGCCGGCCTTGTCACCCCAGTGGAAGTGGAAAGAGTGGAACTAGGGAAAAGAGTGGTGCTATTGAAGAGGGTGGTTTTTGAGTACCTGGTATTCGTTGCCAATGTGTCCGCCAGAGAACTTAGCGTCGTAGTCGTCAGAAGTGAGGACGATGGTGTGCTCGTTGTCAGCAAAGTTCCAGGAAGCCTGCTGATCGTAGCCGGTCATGTTCCAGTTCTCAGCGCAGTCCATGAAGTGGAAGTTTCTGTAAGTGTAGTCCAAGTCGATTGGCGACCCGCGGACCTGGTCGGTGCACTCGTCTCCCCAGGAGGAGCCATCGACTCCGAAGGTTTCGGGGTATTCCCAGGAGGCGGCGAGGGCAGAGGCGGTAACTAAGAAAAGAAATGTCAATATGGTACTTGCTTGGTTTTGTTCTTCGTCTTACATATTTCGTCTGTATATAGAATAGTCAATATTGGTTAATATATGAGTTCTTATTGAAGTCATGATGGTTGTATATTGAATATTTTTGCGACTCTGCAGCTCTCTTGGAAACTTTACCGGTGGCAAGGAGTTTCATTTTCGAATGATTCTAACCAAAAGCGAGCTAAGTTGCTGGCATATGTAAGCAGCTCGTAAAAAGGAAGGATCGTTCGTTTCCGCCCAAAAAACGCCGATCGAGGGAGAGCGCGAGCTGACGGCTCAGACGACGTTACGACCCGGCAGCGGGTTTTACGGGCTTTTCTGGGTCAGCTACGATCATCGATGTCTAAATATCTCTTCGGCGTTTATGATGATGGACATTTTATCAGCGATTTTCTATCAAAGATAAATGGATAATAGAGCATTTTTTCTGCATTAATAAAAGATTTTTCAAAAAAAAAATTTATTAAATAATTAATTTTAATTATAATTAATTATTTATTTTTTAAATAAAATCAAAGAGGTTAATAATATTTTTTATTCTTTACAAAGAATTCAAATCAATAAAGCGCAGATTTTGGAATTTATTGATTTGTGATGATTATAAAATCGTTGTTTTGTCGAAGCTGGTGGCAGATTGCTTTTATGGCCATGAAGCCGTTTTTACGAAGACAGAGTACTCTTGTTCAAGACGCGCGTCAACAAATTGCTAAAGCCAGGTTTTTTTTCTCAGAACGATCGATTTTCATAAATCATCAATTTTCAAATCTAGGGCGAAAGTGGAAGCCAAGAACCTGTACTTTTACTTGAAGCAGAACAGCGATGATGTTTCTACGACTCAGGAACTGTCGATCATCTTTCAAATTTTGGTTGCTAATCGAGTCGGAGTCCAGCGATTCCGTCAAGTGGTTCCGAGAAATCCCGGGCGGGCTTCTCTCGCGAGAAAGTTGTCGAAGGCTTCGATTGGATCGGATGACTTGGAAGATGTTTTCTTGCAAATTGATGAACCAAAAGTATGAGCTCGGCTCGGAAACCTGCGTAGAAAAGGGCCTGAGTCAGGGTCATTTTATTTGAACTTTTTCAGACCCTGACTCAGGTTTTCTACACAGATTCCTGAGCTTAACATAACGGTTTCAGGACAATTCGAGTCAAATTTTTGTATTTAGAAAATTTTGTCATCATCTGCGACAATCGTCGTCATCGAAATCAAAGCACCTGAATTTGTGCTCGAGGTAAGCTGGGTCTAAGCCGGGAGTATAAAACTTGACGATGGCGGTGGTTACTTAAAATGAAAAAACTGCAAAACAGAGTCGTTAACCTAGATGACCTTGTAGCGCGATTTATGTTTCTTTCCGCTCTTTGTGGGAGGGTTAATTTGTTTCCGTAACCTTGAAGTTTTGTTTTCTTTTCAGGGAATCTATCGAGCAGTAGAAGAGCAAGGAGTTATCCGAGCGGATGGAGCGTTCAACCGCAAGCCAGTTTCTGGGAGTTTTCCGCGATCAAGAGCAGATCTTTGCTGCGTCAAGGAGTTTATCGATCTTGCGCCAGATCATCCAGGCTTTGTTCAGTTCTGTTTGTCGACTTATATATTTGAAAATTTTTATTGAGCGAATAAAAAGGATCAAAAGACGCGGAATATGTAACCCGGCGAAGAATGATTAACGACTTGGTAAGTCTAAAAAATCATCAAATAATGGTTAATCCATCTCTTTAATTAAGGTTCGCCAGAACTCCCACTCACTGCCAACTGTATCTTACACCGACGAAGAAGAACTTTGCTGGAGAACGATTTACAGCCGACTTCAAAAACTATGGCCGACATACGCCTGCTCGAGATTTCAAGAAGGATTGAAAATTCTGGAAGAAAGCGGCGTCGTGAAGCAAAATCAAATTCCGAACTTGCAGCAAGTTTCGGATTTTCTTGAAGAAACAACCGGATTTATTCTGAAACCAGCTTCTGGTCTTTGCTCGGCGAGGGATTTTCTCAATTGTTTGGCGATGAAAGTAAGGCTTGATCAAAATAATTCCCGAATTTATCCGTTTTTTCAGGCCTTCCCGTGTACTTTATACATGCGTCACCACAGCGAGCCGGGCTACTCTCCAGAGCCAGACCTGGTCCACGAAATACTTGGACACGTGCCTCTGCTCGTAAAAAAAATCGCCCAACTTTTCAAAATTAAAAAAATTATTTTCATTTTCAGCTGTTAGATGATGTGGCGGAATTCACCCAGAAAATCGGCCTCGCGAGTTTGGTCGCCTCGGACGAGGAAATTGAAGAACTGGCGAGGCTGTATTGGTATTCGGTGGAATTTGGACTGACGCTGGAAAATGGAGATTTGAAGGTTTTTGGAGCGGGACTGCTTTCGTCGCCGGATGAGATGGAATATGCGGTGACTGATGAACCCAACCATCCTTTGGTAAGAGCTCCTGGTTTTCGTTGAAAAGGATTTTTGAAGTTTGAGCCGGGAATTTTGGCGAAAACGAAATTTGACGATACAACTCTTCAAAGCTCCTATTCTGTCCTTCAGGTACGTTTCCCAGAATCAATTGCTGGGCTAAGAAATCTGTGCCGGAATCCTTAGTCAGGAACTGAGATTTCTCAAATGAAAAGCGGCTTCGTTTTTGAAAAAGCCGCTACGCGGCTTTTCATGTAAGATATGTGCATTCCTGACTAAGGGTTTCTACACAGGTTTTTGAGCCCAGATCAACAGTTATGTAATCTGTTCTGGTCTGACAGCCTTCTAAAAAAACTCCGTTTCTTGTTTTGTTCAATGCTTACCTTGATTGATAAATTGAAATTTAACGAGCCATTTCAGAGCGTGGACACGGCCATGGACTTGCTACGAGTGTATTGTCAAGCGCTCAAAAACCCGGTGGTCTTTTCGTACAATGAAGATTTGGGTAATCATCAGAAAATCGAAGCCGCGGGATTGTTTGTTCTTTAGGCCTCATTACCGGCGAAAAACGACGGCCGAGCTACAAAAGAATCAAACGAGGCAGAACTCTTTACTTTTGAATTTCTTGATTTCTCAGCAAATTTTTTTTTTGAAAAATGAAATAAATTATTAATCTTTCTTGTCTTTTCTTTATTTTCCATCTAAAAAACCAGATGTTTTTTTTTCAAATTTGCATAAAATAGACGGCATTTTCTTCAGAAACCGCGTCGATTCCACGGAATCGAAATTTTATTAACGCAAATTCTCAATAATCTCATCCCCCGCGGCGATTTCGCAGTTGTATCTTCTGAGCAAGAGAGCGAGGAGTTTTCATTCTAGAGAGTCTCGTGAAGGAATAAAAAGAGGAAATAAAGAGAAAATGAAGCTTTGCGCCGCTTTCATCGCCGTCGCCTCTGCTTCCAGCTGGCCTGGACAGGCCTACAACGGGACCATCTACCAATACTGCGGCACCAAGGTCACCCTCGCCGCCGCCTCCGTCAACGCCACCTGCTCCCTCGACTTCAACGGCTTCGACTTCGCCCACATCTCGATCCCCGGCTGCTTCTCGCAGGGAATGGGCTCCAACATCGTCGAATGCAACGGCGTCGAAGGCGTCACTGACCCAGAAAACTTGGACGTGACCGTCTTCTGGCAGCAGGACTTCGACTTGGATGGCAACTTGGACAACTCTACCTGCGCCGAGGATGCCGATATTACCTTTTCTTGCCAGGATAATGGAGCTGCTCCATCAGGTTTGTTTTTTTAGATTACCCCTCGGCTAGGATCGGAAATCTTTGTAGGAAACTTAAGTCAGGGTCTGAAAAAGATAAATTGAAAAGCCGCGTAGCGGCTTTTTTACAATCGAAGCCGCTTAAATATGATCAAGAGAGAAAGTCAAGAGATTTGGCATGGAATGAATATAAATAAATTAGAGACTAACTGGTTGTAGATTTTGTCGTTGTCGTTGTCGTTGTCGTTGTCGTTGTTGTTGTTGTTGTTGTTGTTGTTGTTGATGTTGTTGTCACCGGTATTGTTGTTGTCGTCCAGGTAGTCTCCTCAAAAGATGTTGTCGTTGTTGAAGATGTGGTTGCTGGGTAAATATTGTGAGTAGCGTTTCTAATGCTGTAGAAAAACTCTTCTGTTCCAAACTGATCGATTAGTTGTTGAGAGTTTTCTCCCAAGCCTTGCCAGCTGTTTGAAGAAGACTCAACCCAAGCTTCCCATTCCGGGAAATTGAAATTGGTATAGTCTGCGTTTCCGTCATTGTATTCGAGTCCAAGCACCCACCATTCGCCGAAAAAATAGAAAAGCTCCATCATATCCTTAATCGCCCAATATCCATTTTGACTTATCGCAGTCTCGCTTCCATCGCGGTTTACAGCACCAAAGGAAGGAATCATTGCAGCGCCAGCAGTGAGAAGCCAGTCAAGACCTTCGTATTTTCCGGAATAAACAGCGCTCTCCACAAGTGCGGTATTATTCGGATCGTTGGCAGCAAACCAATCAACGAATTGACTGGCAAATTGTTCCCCGGAATAGCCGCCAGTTAGCTCGCTTGTTGCGACAATTGCAAGGGCGCCTTTTCCACGGAGATGATCCCAAAGCTCATTCGTGAAGCCAGGAGTATCGTTGATGAACAGTATTCTTAGATAGTCTTTCCACCACTGAGCTGCCCAGACTCCGAGAAGCGGGTTGATCGTCCATGGATGCGCCCAAATTAAACAACGGTCGTATTGTACGGTTTCTAGCTCGCAGCCTGCTTCAACACATCCACCAGGGCAAATGAACTGATGAGCAGCATCGGGGCAGTTCCAAATTGATTCTTGAATTATCGTTGATTCGAGACAGTCAGTCAGTTCGGTACTGTACTCTTTGACTTCCTCGTAAACTAAGTTGTTCATCATACTACTGAAATTTTCTATTCCGCTTCCGTCAACGATTTCCGCGAAGTAGTCCTCTGATAGCTCATCATAAAAAAGTCCTGTGAAGCTCCATTTGAGAGCGTCAAGGTTCCAATTGTTGAATAATTCGCTGTCGAAAGCATCGAATTGTTCCATAAGGTCTTTGGCGGCTATCAATGTTTCAAGGACAAATGCTCCCCCGTGGATCCACTCGTCTCGCTTCAGAGCTGCGTCGATTGCATCTGCCGGCGCCCAAGCACCTTTCAAGTAGAGATCGCCCATAAGGGATTGGTAAACTTGCGATCTGGCGTTTCCAGCAGTCAGGGCTGTATTAGCGAAATTCGATGTTCCCATTGCGGAAGAAGCACAACTCAGTGTATTTTCGTCAAAAATAAGGGGACCATAAGGTCCTTCTACTTGCCCTTCCGCTACAAGGGTGCTAAGGTAATCAAGGACGACTTGAGCGTAAATAGGCTGCCCTCCGAGGGGTCCAAATGGCGCGATTTCTCCTCTGACCTCATCAGCAGATCGTCTTCTTGGATCAGCAAGAGCGAGTCCTATTGCCGTCCAAAATTTCATTCTCTTTTGACTCCAAGCCGGTGATTTTATTTTTGCTGCTTTGAAGAATTTTTATTCAAAGCTTGAAATGTCATTGTTTCAAAAATCGATTTTAATTCAAAATATCAATGAATAATCAAACCATTTTTTCGCCTCGAGATTTCCGTTATTGAATAAATTGTTAATTATTATTAAAAAACTGTTGTTTAGTTGCTATGTTCGACAACATCTCCAACAACTTCCACGCCCGCGATAGCACTCAATGGAACCGAATCCAGATTTACGGCATCGGCGGCGAAAACTACGCGGTCGAACTTAACGACGCTCTCGGCCTTCCAGCTGGTAATAAAACTTTGACACTTTTCTTTCCCTGAGCGGGTTCATTTGGTTCTTTTATGACATTGTTTTCAGCCATTTCAAACTACACTTGCGGCCTCTGCTCCGACATCCAAATCGCCGGCGAAAACCAGCTGACTTTCACCGTCAACCAAGACGCTTTCAACGCGCAGCTTTTCGAACTTATCGTCGAATCTGATGCTTTGATTTCCCAACAGACTTCGACCATCGTTTCTGTTTGAACAAAATTTGCACCAATAAAACATCAAAAAACCATAATTAAAATATTTTTATTCGCGAAAATATCGATTTTAAATTCATTCTCGAGTATGACTCATTGTTAAAAATCACCTGATTTTCCTATCCAATCAGATTTCTTGTTCGAAAACGTCCAAAATTGAGTTTCAAAAAGAGAGAAATTTGAAAAAAATGAGAAAAATTTTGATCGTTGAGCCGTTTTATGAATGTGTTTCTCCATAATTTTCGTTTTGATGCCCTTATCAGTCAAATTTCAAGATAATAGAAAACCCTGGAGAAACATACAAAAGGGTGGTTCGCATAAATATCTTCTTGATCAACTCATTCCGGCGCTAGAAACGGCCAAATATTCCGTCACGCTCGTCACTCTTCCCGACAAAAAGTGGCACTGGCGGTAATTTCATCACTTTTTTTATCAAACGTTGATTTATTCAAGCGCTCGAGTTTCAGTCCTTCAGCTTCGGAGCAAAATTCCAAAGGACAACTTCGACGTTTTTCTTACTTCTTCGGTTCTCCCTTTGGCCGAGTTTATCGGCCTCTTTCCCCACTTAGCGGCGAGCAAGAAGGTCATCTACTTCCACGAAAACCAGCTGGTCTACCCTGTTCAAGAAATCAAGAATCGAGATGTCCAGTACAGCTACAATCAAATCACGTCTGCTCTCGTTGCCGATCGGTTGCTTTTCAATTCGACGTGGAATTTCGAGAGCTTTTTGGCGAATATTCCAAAGATTTTGAAGCTCATCCCCGATTTTAAGCCAAAAGGGTTGGAAAAAGAAATTGAGGAAAAATCAAAGGTCGTTCATTTTCCTGTCAAAATCCCTGACTTTCCGTAAGTCGCCTATTTTTTGATTCTTTTTGGGTGAAAAAATTTCTAGAGCTACACCAAAGTCTGGTCCTATTCACATCGTTTGGGTTTGGGCTCGCGAACCTGTGTAAAAACCTGAGTCAGGGTCCTAAAAGAGTTTTTTTCTTTTCTCAGGACCCTGAGTCAGGTTTCCACACAGGTTTTCGAGCCCAATTCCAGGCGCACCGCTGGGAGCACGACAAAAACCCTTCCATGTTTTTCCGGCAGCTCGAAACAATCAAAAGTCCCTTCATCCTTTCTGTCCTCGGAGAATGCTACGAAGAGAAACCGAGGATCTTTATAGAAGCGAAAGAAAAGTTCAGCGAACAAATCGTCAATTTTGGCTTCTTATCGTCGAAGAATGATTTTTATCGAGCGCTAGAATCGGCGGATATTGCTGTTTCGACCGCGGATCATGAGTTTTTTGGTGTTTCGATGGTTGAGGCGGCGAGATTGGGGTGCTTTCCTGTTGCTCCAAATCGGCTCAGGTAAGAACTCAGCAAGGAAACCTGTGTTGAAAACCTGAGTCAGGGTTTGAAAGAGCTTTAATGGTTATTCTAGCTACCCAGAGCTCTTCCCAAAACGATGCCTGTACAATACTGAATCTCAACTTGGCAAACTTCTGAGAAATCTGATCATTGGTGGGCGCGAAAAGCTCGAAAAACTGAACGAAGACATAAAAGAAAGCGTCGAAAAAGTTTCTCAAGAGAAATTTGTTCTGAAAAATATCCTCTGCCAGCTTGAATAAATAATTTTTCGGACGATAAAATCCCTCCCTGTCGCGTATTTTGGAACGTGCCCTGAGGGCGGCCTTAGTTGATACCGGGGAGTTTTGCATGAAATACTCTGATAGCTTACTTTTCATCTAAATCCTCGGCAAAAAAGGCAAAAATGCTCTGGAGAAGATTCAAAAATAGATTTTTTAGTCTCAAAACATGCATGGTGCTAACACTTCTTTATTTTTTGCTGAGAGAGAATTCCGAAAGTACCGGGAGTTTGGCGAGAGTTCCGAGTCACAGAAGCAAGAAAAATAAGCAGAAACATAAGTTGAAGAAAAAGAGAAAAAATGAATCAAAATTTGAAAAATTGGAAGACGCAGTCGAGAGACATCAAGAACTCCGGCTCGAAGGCGAAGAGCCAATTTACACCGACGACGATGTAGCGGACGGCCGCGTTCTCGACGACCCTCGGAACAATTTCCAACCCGTTCTCGGCGGCGAACTCGACCCGGAAATGCGAAAACGAATCGATGCTGCTCAAGCTGAGCTGAATATTCAAGCGCCGGAGGAGATTCTCAAAAGCTCGCAAGACGAAGTCGCCGATGAAGGAATCCAGGAGGAAGAATCGACAGCGACAACAACAACTAGCACGACAACAACGACCACAACGACAACGACTTCGAAAACAGCGGTAAGTGAGGAGCAACACACGACTTCAGCCGAAACGACAACAACGACGGAAGATGAAGAAAACTCGGAAGAGCTGGAAAATGTCGCCTACGAAAATGATGAAAAAGAGGACGAAGAAGAAACGACCACTTCAACGACTACAACGACGACGACGTCGACAGTCGAAACAACAACAAAACCAGAAGCAAAAATCGCTGAGGAATACAAAGAAAAGCAGAGTTCTGAGAATGTAGAAGAAAATGGAGGAGAAGAAAATCAAGTAGCAGAGGAAGAAAGAATCGAATCTGAAGAAACCACCACTTCAACAACAACAACGACGACCTCCAAAACAGCCACTTCCCCCGTCGATGAAGATGAAAAATCAGAAAACAAAGAAGAACCAAGCCCTGAACATCCAAAAAATGCCGAAAAAGCAAAAGAAAATGACGAAGAAGTCGAAATCACCGTCGAAGAAGACGAAAAAGAAGAAGTCAAAGAACAGCCAGTTCAAGAAGAAAAGCCTGAAATGCCGGAAGAAAAGGAAGCGAAGCCGCAAAAAACACTGGAAGACGCAATGAAAGACCTGGAAGAAAAGAAAAAAGCGGCAAAAGAAGCAGCAGACAAACTAAAAGCTCTTCAGCAGCGTCCAAATATTGGATACGCTCAGTTCGGGGCTCACGATGTCAACGATTTCCAAGCAATCATGCCTGTTCTCCGAACAATCAAGCCCGTCAACAATTACGAGCCCTACGACTTCAACAAAGGCACTCCCGGAGAAGCAGATATTCTAGAGAAGCGAGAGAAAGTGAAGGAAATGACACTCCACGCATGGAATGGATATAAACTGAATTCCTTCGGCGAATCGGAAGTGAATCCTCTCACCGGCCAGCCGGTCAACTCCGAGCTCTTCGGAAAGGCGCACACGGGATTGACGATCATCGATGCTTTGGGGACGCTGTATTTGATGGGATTGAAGGAGGAGTTTTTACAAGCGCGGGAATGGATCGAAAATGACTTCAAATTCGACGCCGAAGCTATTGTAAGTTATTTTTATGGCTTTTTATTTTATTTTTTAAAATTTCAGCCCGCTGTTGTTTCATTTTTCGAGTCAAATATCCGTCATCTCGGAGGTCTTCTGTCCATCTATCAACTAACTGGAGATCAGTTGTTTCTCGAAAAAGCAGAAATGGTCGGCCAGGTTTTGGAAAAAGCCTTCAAGGGGGAAAAAGGACTTCCTTACGGAAGACTGGATCTTCCTCATGGCTCTGGAATGTCGCAAGGCTGGGTTCCAGGCGGATGCTTCGTTTTGGCCGAAATTGGGACGATTTCTCTTGAATGGGTTACTCTCGGTTTGTGGAAAAGTTTGGGCTCTTTGTGAATGTTTTTAGGTCTTGAAACGGGAGATCTCCACTACAAAGAGCTGGCAGAGCGGGTTCAAAACTACACACGCGATCATGTAGGCGAGTCGGGAATCTATGCGAATTTCGTGAAACCAACCGAGGATGGAATTGAAAGCTGCTCAAATGCGATCAGTTTTGCTGGCTGCGCTGATAGTTATTATGAATACATTCTCAAGGTATTGGCAGATTTTCAGATGAAGAGAAACCTTAGTCAGGCTCTGAAGAGCGTTAATGAAAAGCCGCTTTAATTAGAAATAAATGAATTTCTAGTTCTATCTTCTTGGAGGAAAAAAAGATCAGGCACAACTTTCCTGGCTTGAGAAAACTGTCCAGGGGGTCGAAGAACATTTGGTGCTAGAACAAGAGAAGGAGAAATACAAAATCATGATGGTTGATGGTCAGCAAAGGAGAAATCCGAGAACGGGTGCGTTTGATTTTTCAAAAGGAAATCGAATGGGCCATTTGGCTTGCTTTGCTGGCGGCTTTTGGGGCTTGACCGCACAGGTTTTGCCCGACAGAGCGGAGAGGTAAGAGGAAAGAGGGAAAGTGATGAGAGCGAAAAATCTAGGTACATGGAACTGGCCGCTGGCGTCACTCAAAGCTGTCGAGATTCGTACGTCGACAGTCCGACGAATCTCGGCCCGGAGACTTTTTCAACGACTGGTGCTTCAAACCCGGGCAACGATTATTACATTCTTCGGCCAGAAACTGTCGAGAGTTACTTCTACCTCTGGCGGCTTACAAAGGCACGGGTCAATATTTAAAAACAGAATCTGATTTATTACCGCGATTTAGATTTTTGAATGACTAATTTTAGCCAGAATTCCGACTTTTTTGCTAAAGAATAGCAAAGCCGCGTGCGGCTTCGAGTAGAGAAAGTAAAATAAAAGCCGCGCCCCGCGCGGCTTAAGATTTCTTTCTACTGGAAGCCGCATGCGGCTTCTCGATTTTTTAGCAAAGAAGTCGGAATTCTTGCTGAAAAAAGTCATTCAGAAATCAGAATTGTAGAATAAATTCTGACACGTGATCTACAATAACATTGTTGACTTTCGAAAAAAGGATGAAAAATATCGCGAATGGGCTTGGGACGTGGTCCAAGCACTGGAAAAACACTGCCGCACGGAGTTCGGATTTGCCGGGTAAGAAATCAAAAAAAGAATGAATAAAAATATTATCATTTTCCGGGAGACAGAATTTCAAATCAATTCCAAAAACGCGTCACTTTCAATTTCGAAGTATTTAATTTGAAAGTATCTTCAAATTAAAGATTTAAATTTGCGGCTTTTGGGAACACAGAGGACAAAACAGATGACCATCTATTCTTTCTATAACGAATCTTCGACGACATCTTCTTTCTATAGAAGATTTAAAAAATCACCAATTCACACGTCTTTATTTTCAGCCTCAAAAGCGTGAAAAGCGGCCAAAAGAACGAAATCCAAGAATCGTTTCTTCTTGCGGAGACGCTCAAGTACCTGTATCTCATTTTCTCCGACGATGACTTGATTTCCCTCGACGAGTTTGTTTTCAACACTGAAGCACATCCGCTGAGGATCAATCCGAGCATTTATCAAAATTGAAAAAATAAAGAAGTTTTTTGTAGAAAAATAATTTTAATGACGCTAAAACCTAAACCTTTCTGTACAAGCAAAAACTACTGTTCATACTGATTTTACAGTATCTCTTCAAGATTTAAATAAAATTACACAAGCAGTTTTAATCGGAAACTAAGTTCAGAAATCTGCGTAAGAACCTGAGTAAAGGCTCGGCAACCTGTGTAAGTCACCTGAGTCAGGGTCTGAAAAAGCTTAAAAAGGCCCTGACTCAGGTTTTGGCACAGGTTGCCGAGCCAAGACCTGAGTCAGGGTCTTAAAAGCTCTTCTAAGATCCTGACTCAGGTTCTTAACACAGGTTTCTGAGCTGAAAAGCAAAGAAACTTGTTTCATCTAGCAATTCTTCCTGAATTTTTTCTTCAAAAGTAGACGTTCCTGGTTTTTAAAACGGAAAGTCTACGGTACTCAAGAGTAATTTCAAATTTGTATTAGCGATGTACGCATTTTCATTCGAAAACCAGATTAAGAGTTAATCGTCGAGTATCGCTCGAGTTCCCAATCTAAGATGATCAGACTGTATACTCCCTCATCAATACTTATAATTCCCGCGAGATTATGCAGGCAGACCTGCAGATTAGAAATTCATAATTCCCCAGAATATCGCAATGAAATCGGGTTAATCGTACCATCGATACTCTTATTTTGCCTTATTTAGAATTTTACTGTAGCATGTTGATGGGCAAGCTGTCGAGAAAACCTGAGTCAGGTTTTTAAAAAGCTTTAATTATAAGCCGCATAGCGGCTTTTCCATAAAGAAAGCCGCAAAACAGCTAAGCCAAAATTTTCATCTAGATCTATTTTTGAAATCCTGTGTAGAAAACCTGAGTCAGGCTTCGCTTTGAAATAAAAACCGCTACACTGCTTTTCATTTTAGATCTTTCAGACCCTGACTCAGGTTTTCTAGACAAAAAAATAAAAACTTCTTTTTTGAATCAAAATAGCTGGCCGATTTAAATTTGGGCAAGAGTGGAACTTCTCAATCCCACCCGAAACTGTTGTTGTTTCCTGTTTTCTTTTTGGTTTTGGTTGGTTTTGCAGGACGCCCAGCTCGTGAATAACTCAAAAGATAAATAGATAAATAAGTGCATTAATAAGAAGCCAAGTATTTATTCTGGAAGGCGAGTTTATTTGCATATTCATTCGCTGCAGAAGTACATTCGAAAGTACAATCTACTTGAATTCTCAAGTACCAGCAAAAATTCATTAAAACAGATGTATACATTTGTTGAAACAAGTCCACGTTGGCTGAAGTCCGGGTTTTATTTTTTTAACAAAACAGCTGGTAAAATCGAGGAAGCTTCTTTTCGGCCATTCTTTGTAGTTAAAAGTTCATACTTAGAAAAAAAAATCGGCACAAACCAAGAAAAGGAAGTGCATTTTTTGAAGACCAATAAGCTGGCTGTATTTGGCCTAGCGGCCAATAAAAAGCCAGATCCAAAAATTACTTTTCCCTTCCTGTAGTTTTGGGTCGCGACCTTCAACAAATGAATCTATTATCATCTCCTTTTTATCGAGAAGTAGTTGAGAGCGCCCTGAGATGACAGTTAGCATCTTAGAAGGTGAGAGTCAAGCTTGATTTCTGTCAACGAAACCGCATCTTTGCATAATCAGATTGAGCAGATTCGACGAAACATTAGAACAGGGTTAAGTTGGATCATCACGTGATTTCTCCAATCAGTCGAAAAGCTTGCTTCAGAAATATCAAAAAAATTGATTTATTAATTATTCTTTATTTTGAATTTATGATTATATGTAATTAAATTATTACCCACCATTTTAATAATTCGATAAACAAAAAAAAAAGCCGCGCTTTTGCGGCTTTCTTTTAATAAAGCTAAAAGCCGGAGGCAGTTTTTCGAGTCGAAAAAAATAATTGATGATAATCATGATTTTTAAAATTTTTAAAAAATATTGAGTCAAATTAAGTTTGCGGCTTTGAGTAAAAAATAGAGAAAGCCGCAGAAAGCGCGGCTTTTATTAAATAACTTTTATGTATTTCTTTTTTTTTCAGGATATTTTTGTTGAATAAAAAGAAGTGTTCTATCCGTCTATTTTCATAATTTCCAGACTGTCAGAATCTTAACAAACCAAGCTGAGAATCTGCCGTCCTTCCAAAACGCGAATTGATTATGCAGAGATAAAAGAATCGCAAATTATATTCCCGTACTTTCTGTTATTTCTCCCTGAGCCGTCAATTCTCCGCATGAGGGCGCAAACGCGATCCATTCCGCTTGAAAAGCAAGCTCCATGCTCTTCTCCCTCACCTGTCAAGCGAACAGAAAATCAAGGAGAAACTCTTTCGAAGAAACTTTTTTTTTCGTTGACGATTTCGAGGAGCCTGAAATTATGAGGTTTATCGCGCTGAGTTGCCTTTCTTCCGCCGTTTTCGCTATTTTGGACATGAATCAACTCATGGCGCTCAAGAATCAAGCTGCTGATAGCACAATGCAAAGTTCAAATAGGTAACTTTTTTGAACCTGAAGGGACTTGTGTAGAAACCTGAGTGAGGCCCTGAAAACAAGATAGAAAGAGATGATAACAAAGCTGTTTCAGGACGTAACTCAGGCTTCTTAAGGAGGTAGATATCAAGAATCGGGATTTTCTGGCAGACTTTTCTCCCAATCCTAACATAGTGACCGATGATATTTTTTGTTTTAATAATGAGTTGAGGCCCTTATCTCGTGCCTATGGGAGGCCGATTTCTAAATTTCCAGAAAAAAATCGCAATAAATGGCGTTGAAAACTCGGAAATCGCTAAAAATGACCATTTTCTTGGCAGACTTTTCTCGAAACTCTTATATAGGGAGGAATTTATTTTTTTCTGAGAAGTTAGATAAGACCCTTGTCTAGTTCCTATGGAGGCCAGAATTTGAAATTTCAAAAATTTTTATAAGAAAAAAATCGATTTCCTGTTTTTCACGATTTTCAACGAAAAAATAAAATTTTGAATTTTTATTCAGCAGTATTAAAATCATTCTATAGATGTTCCAAGGGGTTTCTGTTAATGTTTTTGAACCGAAAACTAAGTTATTACTTATTTAATTACTAAAAATTGGTCGATCTATTATAAAACGGGCTAATTTTCGAGATTTTAGAGGCGATTTTGTGAAAAATCACGTGGTCCAATAAAAAAAATTTTTGCTTACAAGTTTTCTCCTTGACGTCGAAACTATACGGAGAAAAAGTTTGAGGCGAAAAAATGGAAAATTTTTTTCTTGATATCAACCTCCTTAACAGGTTCTCAAGTTTTGAAACAAAATCTGAGCTCAAAAACCTGTTAAAAAACCTGAGTCAGGTCCTTCAAAGAGCAAAAAGATAGATTTAAATGACGAAATAGCTCTCACAGGGTCTGACTCAGGATTCAACAGGGGATCTCTAGAAGATTTGCCTACCTGTGTAAAAACCTGAGTCAGGTTCTGAAAGAATTTATAAGAAATACCATGGAATCAAGATGGCAATTAAATTCTTTCAGAACCTGACTCAGTTTTTTACACAGGTTTTTTAGGCGTGTTTGGGGCCGAAATCTTGACTGAAGATATTGTCCTTGTCGAATGAAATGAATTTCAGATGCGAGTTTGATAAGTGCATGAAATGCCTGGCCGTTTTAAAGAAGAAAGATACCACCAAAAGATGTAAGTCAAGTTCATCATCAGTTTCTTTTTTTTTATAAAGAGAATACCAGGTAGGCTTGTTTTTTTTTCATCTGCGGAGTTAATTCTTTGAGCAGCTCGTTGTTTGCTCAATAATTAATTTTCAAGGTTAACAGAAGTAGCTTTTGCTTGGGCCAATTATTCAGCGAAAATAATTTATCTTCGATAGTTTATTTATCTTCTTCTTTACTTTTTGCTCGATAATTGGCTTGATTGATCCTCGATAAACAAGTAGAACATCGCTCTTTTTCTAATAAAAACGAAAATTGTTCGATAAGAGCTACAAAAGACATAAATTTTTATCAAAAAAGTAAATTTTAAAATAGCCGATTTTAGCTTTGAAATGTGACCAAAATTTAACGAACATAAATATCCATATTAATATATCTTTTGACATCTACGGACATTTCTGGCTGGGCGGGAGAATAATTCTGTGGACAGAACTATTCTGTGAAAAAACAGAACTATTCTGTTTGAAACAGAACTATTCTGTGTCGAGCTTAACAAAAATGACTTTGATTATGTCGTAGATAGGATGGAAAAGGATTGACTTCAGTGACTGAAGTTCAGTCGGTCTTCGAATCTCGCAGCCAAAAACAATTAATAACAATGATAGTTTATAATAGAAGCTGAACCGAAGAGGCTATGAAGCACGCTACGGGCCTACGGCCCTTGCGCGCATTTTCTGATAGAGAACTCATTGGGTTGGCAGGGGCAGTCTTTTTCTACCGCTGGGACTCATTTTTGGCAGCAAACAACTTCTGCATTCGCAGAATAATAGTTGTTTTCGCCAAAAAAAAATTTTTTTTCACAGAATTATTCTCCCGGAAAGGGGGGTCTTATCGTGAGAATAATTCTGTTTTTCACAGAATTGTTCTGTGCACAGAATTATTCTCCCGGTTGCCCGACATTTCTCGATGACACTGACCATCAAAAGATGTCCTAAGATGTCAATTTCGATGGACATTTCTTGACATTTCTCGACATCTGCAGACATTTTGAGTTATTTCTACAAGTCGCAACATAAGGCTTTTTGTAAGTTAATGTCTCACAATGTCTAGAGACATCCTTTAATGTCAAAAGATGTCTATAGAAGTCATTTGACATCCCTTGACATTTCTCGACATCTCGAGACATCTTAAGACATTCATCAAGTCTCAAGATGCCTCTGAACATCATGCAACGTCTCTCAATGTCAAGAGACATTCTTCAATGTCTGAAAATGTCTCTAGACATTTAAGGACATTCTGAGACATTTATTGGTCAAAATTTCAAAAACTCGATTTAGTATCAAAAATATTAATAATTTTTCAAAATATAAACTCTTCGACTTCTTCAATAATTCTTGAATTCAGCTGCTTCGTACAACGAAGACGCAGTTTTCGGCTGCACGATGATGTGGGTCTGGCCCGATTGCTGCCCGCAGTGGCAGAATATGAACTTCCTTTCATAATGAATTTCGCCTCTGTTCACTTTCTTACTATTCTTGACTAAACAGACTTTTTGTTTCTAACGATAAAAACTTGGGATAAATAATTTAATTTCAATGTTCTGCAAAATAAATATTCGAGACAGATACATCCCAAATCTTTTATTTTTCAGCAGCGGCAGAGGAGCAACAAGTTTGGCTCTTTTTTGTACAAAAGTACTACCGCAAATCTAGGTCGCAAATCATTTGAGATTCTAGGACCTTCTTTTGGATAGCCAATAAGATTGCTTTATTTGGCCCACCGACCAATCAAAACCCTCAAAATCCACTTTCAAAATTATTTTCTCCCCACTAATCGTCTCAAAATTAATTTATCCTACCTTTCAGGTTTTGATTTTGTCCAGAAATTTTATGATTCTGATAACTTTTTCTCCGTGGTAATAAAAACAGAGTCGTAATTTCAGAGTCACGAGAGCGCTTATTCGCCGGTTTATGATCTTCTGTTTTTGAGAAGAGAAATTAAAAAAACTCACTTTTTGAATTCGAAGTCGAGAAAAAGTAGCTGCAGATGAGACAAGTAACGACACATCCAAAAGAATTGACGAGAGAAGCGGTTGAGAAATGGCTGGAAGGTTTTAAGAAGAAGTTGAAAAGAACGACGAGCAGAGATGATTTGGACAGACTGCTTTTGTCCGTTGAGAGACAAGAGTTTGAATATAAATGGAATGCTAATTGGGAGGAGGTTGTTTTTGAAAATGGAGAAGGAAAAGTTTTGCGTTGGGGCGAAGAAAAAGAAAAATGAGCGATTACCGCATTCCAAAAAACGATTCTTGAAAAAAATACAAAATTGAAAATCGAAAAATCGCGCGATCAGAATTGAAAGAAGAAACTGGAGAATGGATTCTCGACAAATCTTTCAAATCGATTTCTGAAGGAGGAGAAGCGATCGTTTTGGAAGAAAAATTTGGAGAATTGGACGTTGCCGTCAGGGTGCAGGCTTTTGACTCGGCGCTCTTTTTGGAAGAAGAGGAGGAGTTGAAATTTGAGATTCATCTTTCAAATGGTAAGAATAATTGTTTTATTTTTGATTTTTACATTCTTAGATTATGAAACCGCCGAAAACGACGAAAAATATGACGTTCCCGTGATCCCCCGTCATTCCAATATTATCAAGAATTATTGCAGCATAGAAGTCTTCTTGAGCGAAGACGAAGACAACGATGACTGCCTCGGATGGATAACGATAATGGAAAAGTGCGACTGCGATCTTCGAAGCCGACTCAAAAAAGAAGATCTCAACTTGGAAGAAAAAAAGAAAATAGCAGTTGGAGTGCAAGACGGACTTGATTATTTGAAGAGCGTCGGAATCTGGCATCACGACAAGAAGCCCGAAAATGTTCTCTTGAAAGATGGAGAACCGAGATGGGTCGATTACGGGACGTTGCAAGAATTAACTGGAAGAAGGAGCTTACGCGAAATGGGCTACGCGCGGAGAGGAAGCAAATATAGATACAGTAAATTTTTATGTAAGTTTTTAATTCGGTTATCTTGAATTAATTTTTCGTTTATTTTTTAGATTCTGGTTCTGCTGCTTTTTCGGGAAGTGAAGAACTTTGTAATGAAGACGGAGGAGAGGGATCGCCACTTCATATTTTGATTCTCTGCGACTGGAAGTCTGCCTGGAGTCTTCTTTACAATCCCATCGAAGAAGGCGAGCGAGAAATGATCAAAAATGAACTAAAGGTTTTTGGATTCTTCGTATTTTTTCGACAATTTCATTTTTTTTAGAAATTCAATGCGGCCTGGCTATCAAAAAAAACTCCAACAACCGATGAAATCAAAAGTTTATCAGAAATCATTTCGCTAAAAAACGCGCCTTCCCATTTTTGCCTGGACGATCCAAGCTTGACAAAATCCTCCGCGATGGCCAATCTCAAACAGAAAATGACGAAACAAATCAATTTCGACTTCAAAAACGTGACGAAGAATGTTTTGAACCAGAAAGAAAGCAATCTTTGTGTGCCAATTTCAGTTACTACTCTTTTGAGATGGGCCATCAAAAATGATTTGCGAGTTAAAAATGGATATTATGAATTATATTGTTCTTTTGAAAAAATCTTCACAATTCTGACGATGGTGATTTATCCGCGCAGTTTGGCTGGATTAAATTTAAATCCGAAATTCGAAGAACAAGAATTCCAAACAAACGAAATTGAGTTGCTTCTCAGAAGATTAAAATTTGAGACTTATTTGAATCCAAGTGGATGGGAAATTATTAAAAGAATGAGTAAAAGATTAATAAGAGGCAATTTTGATTTCGAGCTAGGTATCTTCACTTTGTTATCATAACTTTGAAAATAATAATATATTTTCAGTGCTCCTCCACGACAAATTCTCCTCCACCCGTCCCCTGACAGTCACCGGCGCCTACCTAAATCCCGACGGATCTGTGTTTTCCCACCAAATGGTGCTTGACCGCGTCGAAAACTCCAAATTCATTCTCCAAAACACACTCATCGACCATTCTGGCACTAAAATCGAAATTCCTCAGAACAGGCCATTCTACGCCGAATACAAAATGATGAAAGATTGCTACGACTTCTACAAAAAATATGAGTATCGCGGAGACAACGGCGAGATCATGACTCTGGCGAACGAGCAGATCAAAAATATGAAGAAAGAAACTTGGCACCTTCTCCCACAGGCTTATTCGATTATTCTCAGAAAATAATAAAAATCAATTTTCAAATGTTTGATTTCAAGTGCCTCGAATCATTCTCGTAACTGTAAAATTTTCTTAATGCTACTAATTAAAAATGACAATAAAAATGACGATTTCACTTTATTTCTTTCGAATAATCATCAATATTAAAAGTCGGGAAGCCCAATTCTCCAGCAAGCAGGCTTTTCGTATCTTCCCATTCCCAAAATCAATCGCTTCTTGAGTAAAATATAATATTTTTGATTTCAAAAGAAGGCGGAGTTTTCGTACTTGGTCAGTCATAATTCGGCACTAGAACGAAATGCTACTGCCGCGGGCAATGCTAGCGCTCATACTTATTCTCTTAAATTGACGGAACGTTTGCTTATTAGTTAACTAAAGAGAATTCAGAATCAGAGAAGAAGATAGAAATTATAAGCTTTCAATCTAGAGCTTGAGGCTCAATGTACGGGTATGTATCCCCTTAATTTTTGATACTAGAACTTATAATTAGAAGCAAGATAAAAAAATCCGGAGAAAAATTTTTTCTTTAAAATTTTTCCACTAAAAATAAAAGACCTTATTTTTTCAGACTGCGCTCAGTCCGCAGACGTCATGTATTCCTCATCTTCGCAACAATCTTCCTCGTCATTTTCCTGACCAACAACACAAATGCAGTTCACCGACTCAGGCGGCTCGACATCGAGTCGATCGACTGGAGCAACTACGAAGAGGACATCATTTCCCACGTCAAAGAAGAGCTCAATTCCATCGTGGAAAATCCCGAAGATTTTTTAGAATCAAAAAAAGACCGAAGAGATAGAAGAGAAAATTGAGGAAAATGAGAAAACAACTTTGACGGAAACATCATCAACGTCAGCAACATCGACAATTTCGACAAGTTCGACAATTTCTTCCTCATCAACATCATCATCAACAACAGAAAAAACTGAGAAGAGAATTGAGACGCCGAAAAGTGCAGAAAACAAAGAAGAAAATCAACAAAGAAAAAATGAAAAAGAGGTTGAAAATGAGCCAGAAAAACCATCCCATTCACCAGAACCGGAAATATCTCGAGTCAAAATCGAAAAAAACGCTCAAGAACCCGCCGCGATCGCGAAGCAAAAAGCGCTAGAAAACATCAAAAACATCTGCAGCCAGCCAAAATCCCAGAAAAAGAATCCGTGCCTTGGGTTTATCCAACAATTCCAGCTCCTGGCGAAAAGAAAAAGGGCCCGCCAGTAGTGGCAAAACGCTTTGTCGTGAAAAATTTCTGAATGCGACGAACATTCATATTTTTATCGATCGCTCCCGGAGAAAACTGAGCAGAGGCGGCTTTTACGGGCGTATATGAAGATGTGGATGAGTGTTAATTCCGACGAGTCGATGCTTCCGATGAATTACTCGATCGTCTCTTTTGATGACGAAAAACAAGGCGAGAAAGCGAGAAATTCGGGGATCTCCACCTCTGCGCTCGGAATTCAAGCGAGCTGGAAGAATACACCCTTCTCATGAAAGCAGTGAATCTCGCCACGGAAATGAATTTGAACGAAACCGAAGTCGCAATTTTCGCCTACACAACTGACCTCGTTGATTCCAGCGAAATCACCAGCGCGACCGGAAAATTGGCAGCGATCGACTCGGGTGGGGAGAAAAATATGATTTGCTTCAAAGGTTCTAGCAGGGATACGAATCATTATTCTAGTTGTGGAGAAAAACCGGTTTTTGCGCTGAGAGGAGATGTTGTCAAATTGTTGGCGAAAGAGATGGAGATTATCAAGCCTTACATGGGGAGCATTGAAGAACGCCGAATAGGTACATCTTTTTGTCTTCTTTTTATCGCAAGAAAATGATTAATTTTAGGCTGGTTGACTGGAATCGTCCGTGCTCGCTCGAAAATCGTAGGATTGGGCGTCAACCAAGACAACCACAATCTCATCCAAATGCCCTTCGAACTCGAGCAGTTCAACGACTTCTACGAGGACAACTACGACTGGGGAATGGATCGAAAGCCTCGAAAACTGATGGACTACGACCTGCCCGAAATTTACAGAAAACCAGCGGAATGGAAGATAGAAATAGAAATAGCGCCACCTTGCGACCCTTCTCCTTACTTGTATCTCGTGAAAACTTCCAGGTAAAAATCGAAATTGAGTCACGTGATGAAACTTTCAGGAAAAATTTTGAGCGTCGAAATTTTCTCCGGGCGTTTCAAGAGTTCGACAAAAACTCGACCAAGATCGAAAATCTTCCTCAAATGCGATTTTTGCTTGGAAAAGGAAAATCCTCGGAAGACCCTTCCATCGAGAAATTCATTAAAAAAGAGATGAAAGAGCACGGCGACTTGGTGGTTGGAAAGTTCATCGACGAATACGACAATCTTCCTCACAAAACAATGGCTGGCTATACTTACTTCGCCGAAAACTGCATGAAACCGCACAAGAAGCAGTACGTGATGTTTATCGATGACGATGTCTTGCTGGACGTCGAGCATCTCGACAGTTATTTCAAGCAACCAAACGCTAGCGACTTCACTTGCTTTGGATTCCTCGGAGAACATGCGAGGCCGAATCGATGGGGAAAATACAACGTTACAATTGAACAGTGGGCGGGCGGTCATTTCTTTCCGAAATTTTGCTCCGGTAGGATCTTTTTCCTGCTTCAAATTCTTTATGTTTCAGGTCCTTGCGCTGGAATGACGGCAAAAATGAGCGAGAAGATATATGAGGCAGCTTCTACGACGGATGCCAAGGGGTTCAAGCTTGAAGACGTCCTTTTTACAGGTTAAGAACTTTCTTAATGTCTACTTTTAGAGAAAAAGAGACATGACGAGACATCTCCTGACATTGTCGGACATCTTCGGACATCAAGAGACATCAAGAGACATTCTTAGACATCCCAATGTCTTTTGATGTCAAGAAGTGTCGCCAGATGTCTGGAGATGTCCCTGAATGTCAAAATGATAAAAAATTTTAACCAGCTCTTGATTTGCTCTCATCGTTGATTTCAGGCATTATTCGAACGAAAGCGGGCATCCCGGAGCCATCCTTTCAAAAAGACGTGTGCAAACATTTCGACCAAAAGACCAAGCAAGCGACGGAAATGTCGATGTGGCAATACATCCGACAGCTGTGCGCCCGGCGCAAATACATGTAAGAAACAACGGAAAAAAACAATGGCCCTAACTCATTTTAAAGGTCGACGATTCAAGATCTGGAAAAACTAGCGATCGCGTTCGGATTCGATCCGAATAAGTACGCGCACCTTAAAGTTGGCCTCCCCCCGGGCGTGTCGGCAAGAAAACCTCCCATCGTTGAAAAGGGGGTTTCGGTGGTAAAACCAGTCGACCTCGAGGGAAAAGTCGGAAAACCAATTTACCGAAAACCTGATCTTTCAAAACCCGGGCTATATCAGGCCCCAAAGCCGACAGTAAAAAAATCTCCAGTTGAAAAAGCTTCGCCTGCTTCTCAAGAAAAACCTTTTGCTAGAAAAAACATCCGAATCGCAGGAAAAAGCTAAAAAGAATCTTCTTTTCTGTGCAATCAAACCATTAGTTCCAAATGACAGATCATTCCAGAACAGTTCAAAATATTATATACTCAATTGAATAAACCAATTATTTGAAAAGAAAACACTCTCGATCGGGTTCAAGTACTGACGAAAAAATATCAAAGGCGGGGAAATGCCCTCTTCGTGAAAGTTTACAAGTGGCCTTGTTGCAACAAATGGGAGCGATGCTATTTGAGGAACAATATTGTTTCCGACAAATTTGCTAAAGCAGATCCTAGGCTCAAATAAAATCGCCCCGGAAGCAAATTTTAAATTTATCGGCGACTGTCGTATTTGTCACAAATATTTTTTCTATAAAAAATTCAGGCGTTAAAAAATGATAAAATATTGAAAAAAATGTAAAATGAGAGTTTTTTAATGATAAATTATTGTTTAACGATGTTTGTAAAACATGTTTGTTTAAAAAAGTTTCGAGAAAAAACGCCGGAAAAAGAAAAAGGTGCCGATGCGGGGAAACAAGTGAAGGTTAAGCCCTAATCGCCGCCTCGAAAGGGTTAATTTTGCTGCAACCGTTGTGCTCGGAGCTGAGCGCAGGGCTCTAGAAGACGCTGCCGTTATTAATTTACGCATTTAGCGGATTTTCGTATTTTTCGCCGGCGCCAAAGAAGAATTGAATTATGCACTAGAAAAGTAGCGCAAAGGGAATTTATGAATTTCGCGTTTTCGGGAAAAAAGAAAAGGAATAATCCACTACTGCTGTGTTTTCCGGAAGAGGGCACTGTTCGCGGTCGATTGGCGATTTTTATCCGGCACTGGGCACCGCAGAATGCGATTAAAAGCCCCGCTGTTCATTATCACCTAATTGGGAAGGACTTAGCCGCTAAGCAAGAAGAATTTGGTCGAGTTTACATCGCTCATGAAATTTAGCTGATTTTTAAAAAAGGGTAAAGAAGCAATCTTGCTCGATGAGCCCCCTTTCGCCACACTTGGAATCAAAGTTGGAAAGGAGAGCCACTCAATTGGCTTGTTCCATCCGGCGGTAGTGCTACAGTCACTAAGGAAATGAGAGGTACCCCCTTTTCATTTAATGTTTTCGAGAAGTTCAGAAAAGAAAAACTATTGAAAAAGATTGAAAACCAAAAGCAAACAAAGATGTGAGAGACATACAGAACTTCTCAATCAAATCCTTCCAGGCGAAGTAATTGATCAAAACCACAAGAAAGTGGGTAAACAGATCAAAAGCGATCGGACAGACTGTAGCTTTGGAATCAGAATACTTTGAGAAACAAAAGTAATCAAACATCCGCCACCCATCTCATTCTTACCCATCTCATTTCTTTTCTTTCCGTAGTTTCTTGAACAAGATCGCTTGGTGGAACAAAAACTATAGTTATTTAAGAAAACCCGTCAAAACGATGATTCTTTTAACAATAAAAGAATCTGATGCGTTAAAAATATCAACCCTTATTTCGTCAAAATCATCGTGAAAGCCGACCAATAGAGTCGCCTAACTGTTATCATTTCCATTTTAATCCCACTGAGTTGCGGAAATAAGCTTTCGTAATCGACAATTAAGTTTCTCAAGGAGCAAGTTGCTGAGTTAGTACCGCGGGTGGTCGCCGATTTTCGGTATCGCCAGGAGGGCGCTCTCGCTCTCTTTTAGCGCGCTAGGACCGCCGCTGCGCCGCGCCCCGCTCAATCAGCTGCGAAAAAAAAGACGAAAATCAAAGCCAAATGTAACAAAAGAAAATTACCTGATTACAATTTGAATTGAACAAGACCGATTCTTTTCAAGAGAGAATTTCAGATTCAAGAGAGATCAAATGAAGAGCTTGAAAAACTGAAAACAGAAATCGCCGAAGAGGAGAATTTTAGGTATGCGACCGCACATTATTGCATTTTGACGGGAGAGTGTTCGGAATTTTGAATCAGACCCAAAATACCACGCTTGTTTTTGAAGATTCTAGCGCTGAAAACGAGCATCTTTCATTTGCATATTATCCCAGAAGGAATTGAAAGCCTACGTGGCTTCTCATGACAACTCTTTTAAAGCCTGACTCAGGATTTCTACACAGGTTTCTGAGCACAGTTCATCGAAAAATATCTCCAAACCTTTTTTTAGTTTATAAATATCGATCGAAAAAAAGACGAGAACAATTTTATAGAGCGGAATAGGAAGCGCAGTGGGGAGGGAAGTTTTTTGATGTACGGGGACAGGGCATAAATCGATTTTTCATGCCGAGGGTGAGAAACTTATCCAGGCCACCCGCTGACTCGATATATCGACTAATTTTATATTTTTTAACACATTGAAGTGTTGAGCGAC